GCAGTTGATGGCTGCTTTGCCTACTTGAGACCCTGGCTTTAAGCCGTGTGGAACCTCTTTGAGCCACGATACAAGGTATGTGAGTGTGTGAGAATTGTACAACATTGAGTCAACTCAAACCATAACATACTACCGTAGCTGGCTGATGCAATGGCTTATGTGCCACTTGGCACCGTGAAACCCGCCAGGTTGGCATCCTTAGTTTCCACTTCCAGTCTGCCTTGCTATGATTCATTTGCTACTTTTGATGTTGCTACTGGGGGCGTTGAAACCCACCACTCTGCGGCAGTTGCTTGTAGTGACGATATCACTCGATCTTCTGCACTGGAGCCTTTGCTTGGACACTGAAGCGTCTGCCAGCGCGGATACTGCTGGTGGTTCTCCGGTCGTTGCCCTTGTTGCCGCAGTCTCTGCTGCGGATGCTGCTGCTATATGCAACGAGTGTACAGAATCTGGTGTTGTAGAACATAATGCTGTAGAGGAGACGGAGGTATCTACAGTGGAAGTGCTGCTTGCAGTGAGTGGAGGCGGCACGGGTGAACCACGGTGCTCCGCGCCAGGCCTAGCTTCACCATATGAAGCTACCCTGCAGGCGCACTCCCTATGACTCGCAGAAGCGTGAAGGGGAAGTCCGCAGGAGCAGCAGCTGGCGGAGTCTCGGTCGCACTGGCAGGCGGGCGACTGAAACGCGAGCCTCGAGTTTCCGGTTACTGAAAACGGTAGAATTGTGCCGACATCAAAGCGCACGGGCGGTGAGGGTAGCTTGAAAGAAGGCGAGTCAAAGCCAGTGAACCCAAATAACCACGCACCCTCTGGTGCAGGACACGCGGGGACCGCAAGATCAGGGACAAAGTCTGAACAGGAGCCGGAATTCTCCACGCAGGAGCGTGCTGGCGATTCGGAAAAGCCCTTAGGGGGAACGAAACCCGAGGGGAAAAGTCCGCTGTTGCTGCGGGAGTAGGTCCGTCGAATGGAAGAGGAGCGTTTGAGTGGGCGGGTCTCGTTTGGTGTGAGGGGGAGCGACGGACGATGGACCTTGGCGCAGGTGCTTGTTGCCGCACGAGTCGTACACGTCGAAGAAGCCGTCGCCGCTGATGTCGCTGAGTCGTTCGCATGGTCCACTGAAGCATTGCCCCCGCAGAGGTTGCGGAGCGCCATGGTGTGAGCGCTTAACAAGAGGAACCTACTACAGCTGGATGTCGAGCCGACGAGTTACGCTCCTTCCCTAAATTTTCAGAACGGAAAATACTACCAGACCTAGTCAGAAGTTATTCGTATGCTACGTGATAAATGATGGGTAAGAGAGGGTCGTGTACGGGGCGCTGTCGGAAGCTTGTAGGACGTTGACGATTTAATAGGAGGTACGTTGGGAGTCGGGACTCGAGAAATCTATAAATAAGATAGCACTAGCTGGACTGGAATGCACGTTGATTCGAGGCACGAGACTCTAGAGTGGAGAGTGGAGTGGGGGGAACGGCTCGGACAGACGAATCACGAGGCGGAAGAGAGGCGGCGCATGTGGCAAGCAAGCACTCGTCGGAGCGGAGAGTGTGTGTGGCGTGGCCTGGCCACCGACAGACGTCCAGGACGCATGAGGTGAGAAGCAGTACCGATCAGCGGGAAAGTCCCAAGGAGGTGAGTGAGGTGAGGTGATGAGAAGTGAAGTGAAGCGATGAGCTGGTTTCTCCAGGTTCGATCTAGATAGTTGGTAACTTGGATTGGCTGCGCCGCGTCTTTCTCTGCCGAGCCGACGAGACTCGAGTTCAGCGGCGGACACGGCACGCGCACAGAGCGACGCGGATGTCTGCACGGCAGAAAGTACTAGCCGCCAGAAGTTCCGCGCGAGAGAGAAAGGTGGGGCGAGGTGAGGTGGGGATGTTTGATGACGAGATGGGATGGCAGGAAGTGCTAGAAATTTCCTGCCTATTATATCGTTGACCGAACAATCAGGTCAAATTACGTTACGACGACAAGTCGCGTTTAGAGAAAATTGCGGGTTTGGGGGGGGGTACAGCTGCAAGGAGTGCAAGCTGCAGCTGGAGCTGGTTGGAGGCTCGGCATTTGCGTTCGTCATTCGGTCGGCTCGAGTCGCCATCGTCGTTGCACCGTGGTTCCTTGACTCGTCATCGTCGTCAGTGCAGCACCTGATGTTGATGATGGTGTGTAGTGATGTTGCCTGGTCGAACGAATGCTCTGTGGTGGGGTGGGGTGGGGTGGGATGGGGTTTCTGGGGAGGATGCGGGATGGAGGGAAGCTGAAGGAAAGGCCGAAAGGTCTGGAGGCGGAGATTCGTGATGGATGGCTGGTTGCCAGTCAGTGATTGTCGCCGTCGTCACACTGCACACGGCAATGCTCATCCGAGAGCGGAGCTGGGGGGGGGGATGCAGTGCCGATTTGATGCCGAGCCGCTCGTCATGCGGTAATCACGGGAATGCCGAGACGGAAGTGCGACTTGGAAAACATACCTGACGGTGGAAATCATCGAACGGCAGAGCGAGGGTTAGAGGCCAGACGGACGGCTCGATGACTTCTTCAGAGATCTTGATGAAGGGGATCGAATGTGCTTCTAGAGGCAGAGTCATTGTACCCAGATAACAAATGCTCGACTGATTCCTTCCGTCTAATCCCCAAGAAACTTATATAGAAGGTCCAAAACAACAACGAATTCAGCTGGGATAGTAGTAACTCAGGGGTCCCTTCCGCAAACTGGTCGTGGTCGAGGTTCCTTTCCATCTGACCTCCCTGTTTCGATTCAGTGCTTGGGCAGGGAGGAACCCCTCACACTTTCTGCGAGCAGCCCTTCCGTTTTTTTGCGACTTTCACGGCACTTACGACAACGCCGCGAAGTTCTCCGCGCCCAGATGAGCGACTCACGTGCGAAAACTACATGGTTACGTCTCTTGTATGGGGTACAGCACGCAGCTGGGAAAACTCTGGACCAGAAACAATTTCTCTTGTTCGGACTCATCAGTAACTTCACATTTAAACAAATGGAAGAAACAAGTTCTTAATGTTAAACGGGTATGGTGGAATCATGATGATTTGGTTAAACCTCAAAATCTGACATTGCATTGGTAAGACACTGCTACACGGCTGGACTATATTACAACAGTACAATTCTATATTGTGACTCTGTATAGTCTGTTACAAGATGTCGCAGGCAGATAGCCCCACTCGCATAACCTCGACATGTCACTGCCTCATTGTACACTGGTCCACGGGGTTACATCGTTTTAGGTTGCAGGCATGCAGTCACCTCCCACACCTGATCCTCCACCTGCCCTGCTGAATTCCTCCCTTCACCCTGTTTATCTCTCCCTCGACCCACCTTCGTCGTGCCCTCGAGCCACTTACTCCTCTCCATTGGCAATCCCCCCCTCTCATTCTCTTCCAAGCCCACACTCCTGCGCGGCTCTCCCTCTGGTCCATCCAACACATACCCCGTCTTCAATCCAACACCCTTGTCCTCGTTTCCTTTCTTCCCCCCACAAGGGCTGAGGGCTGAACTAGTTCCGGACACGAGGCTCAACCCGAGCCGGCGCCTTGGGCTGTGCATCGATCCCTGTGGCTGCTGTAACTTATCAATGCCCGAGATCTTATCGTTCCTCCCACAGCCACTGCCGCCGCCAATGCCACCGCTGCTGGTGGTGGTGGTGGTGCTGCCACTGGCACCCGACGTGCCGCCATTGTCGCTTTTGCTGCTGTTGTTGCTGCTGTTGCTGTTGCTGCTGCCGCTGATGCTCCCGCTGCTGGCCCCACTGCCGCTGCTGCTGCCACTGCTGCTGCTGCTGCTACTGCTGCTGCCGCCACGGAGAAGCGACAGCAACCACCGCCGCTTGGAGCCCGGGGCATGAGAGGACAGCGGGGCCTGTCGCTGGTGATAGCTGGCCGGTTGAGAAGGAGAGGAGAGAGACGGCGCGAGAGAGGAAGCTTGGAGAGAGTGACCAGAGGGGAGAGGAGACGGTGGTTCGGAATGACTCGCTGGGAAGGAAGGGGACATGCCAGGAGACGGCAAGAAAGGTGAATGCGGAGAGCTGGGGAGCGAGCCTAGAGGGGATAGAGAGCGTCTGCTGCTGGGGCTCGCGTTACTGCTGCTGCACACGCTGCTGCCGTTGCTGCCTGTGCTGCCGCCGCTGCTGCTCCTGCTCACCGACATGTGCTGCGGGCCGACACCACCACCGCCTCCAACACTCGACGACTTGTACAGCCAGAAGTCCGCTGAGTCTCGCCTCTCCCGCCCTGGAACGGCTCGCTCCGGCTGCTGCGATTTCCTCTCCAGCTCCTGCTGCGAGTGGCGGTGCTGGTGATGGTGCCGGTCATAGTGCTGCTGGTGCCGCTTCTGCCGGTACATCTGCCGCTCGCTGCTCTCCGCAACCACCCCTTTCTCTTTAACTTGCTGCTGCGTTTTCTCGTGCCTGTGCCTGTGACCGTCTCTCTGACCGTCACTGTAATTGTCGCGCCTATGCCGGCCGGACCGGCTGCCCGCCTCCCCTTCACTCCCACTCCCGCTTCCGCTGCGATTGCCATCCTTCGACCGCCGTCTCCTGCCCGGACCATCGCTCTCCGTCTCGCTCCCCGCACCCCTATCATGCTGCCGCTGCGGCTGCTGCTGCGACTGCTGCTGAGAATCATGCTGCTGCTGCTGCTGCTGCTGTTGCTGCTGTTTGCGGCGGTGGTGGCTGTACTTCTCCTTTTCCAGCACGTCTCGCAACAGCGTGAGAGACGACACGGCGTGAAGCATCCTCTCGCGGCTCGGACTCCCACTCTCGCTCCCGCTCCCGCTCGGGCTGCCGCTGCAACTGCCGCTGCCGCTGCTGCCCCGCCCTATCCCCCGACTTATCTGTCCCCCAACCCTCTCCTTTCCGCTTCCGCTGCTAGCCTCCCAGTTTCTCTCCGCGCCCCTTTCTATGCTGCCGGTTTGCGCGTTCCGCTCGCCGGCCCTTTGCTCTTGCGCGCGCCCTTCCGCTGCGCTGATGCCGTCCGCCCACCGTTCCGCCCGCCTATCTACCGCTGCGCTGCTTTCCACTCGGAATCGATCCACTCCCGCCCATGGCCCGCCAACGGCGGCGGCGATTGCGGCTGCAGCCGCCGCGTCCGTCAACCCGCGGTCGAGCTCTGTCGTTGATTCCTGACACGTGTCAGAAGAGGAGCGACCGATTTGAGGATAAGAGCCGTCGCCGCTCCCGCTTGCGATATTCCACAGACTTTCCGCTCCCTCGCTCGTTCGGGCGCTACAGGTTTCGCCGCTGGTGCTTCCGCTGGCGGCGGCATTGCTGGTCACCACGTTACCGCCAATGGCGCCGTCGGCACCTGCGGAGGCGCTGGCGGCTCCCCCGAGGAGGCTGGGCGCAGCTGCTCCGCCGCTCCCCGAGCGCGAAAATGCGCCATGGTGGGCGGGGGGTTGCAGATGCGGCGGCGGAAAACTGTTCTGACTCAGCGGGCTCTGGCAGCGGCTGCGCGGGCTGTCGAACAGGCGCGCAGCTGCGCCCTTGGCGGAAGCGGAAGGGCTCCGCACGGAGGGGCTGCGCGCTGAGGGGCTGTCGAGCGCGAGGCGGAGCAGCGGGTACGGGGAAGCGGCGGAGGAGCAAGAGGAGGAGACGGAGGGGGAGAGGTCGGACCAAGTGGAAGAGGAAGGGGAGGCGGAGGAAGGGGTGGTGGTGAGGGATGAAAGCGAAGGCGGTCCGCCGAAAGGCGTTGAAGCCGCGGAGCTAGTAGCGGTAGAATAGGAGTAGCACGGGGAGTTGAGAGAATCGGGGGAGTTGGGGGAGTTCGGGGAGTTAACAAGCGACGCCGGGGAAGGCTCCGCGGAACCTTCGGACAGGGAATCGTGGAGCGAGGAGAGGAAGAGAGAGAAGGGATGTGGGCGGTTTTTGGAAGCGTGGTCGACCGAGGGGGAGGGGATTGCGAGGTGCTCGAGGCGGCCGGAAAATGCGCGAGGGAGAGAGAGGCTTGAGATGGACCGCCATTGCTCCTTCACCTTGCCTAATTGCGGCAATGACGGAGGGGAAGCCGCCGGTTGCGGCTCCTTAAGGGGAAATAGGTTCGGCGGAGGGGACGAGGAGTCCGGGGGAGATGACTCTAGCGGCTCCAACGTCGGAGCGGCTGGTGGCGGAGGGGATGCGGAGGAGGCCAATGGGCGGGGGTCCTTTCCGCCGGTCCATTCTGCAAAGGACGGATCGCGCTGGTGTGAGATTTGCGGGGGAAAATCCTTGAAGACGAGGGAGGAGGAGCGCGAATGGCGGCGGCCGTGGAAGAAAGAGTTGGAACGGGAGTGGGAAGGCGCGCGGGTATGATTAGGCGCCTCCGCAGCGGGAGGCGAGCCGAATAAGGACATGAAGTCGAATTAGTATTACGACTAGACTAAGCTACCGAGCGAAAAAGGCCAGAAAGTGAAAACTGTCAGTTGCTGGCTTACTTTGATACAGTACAACTGGGAACAAAGCACGCGAATGTGGGCACAGCTACGCCTCGTTAATGTGGAACACTGTGAGTCCGGCGAAATTGAGATAAGCAGCTTGCATGGTAGATCTTTGCATCTGTTGGTGGCTGATTCGCAAGCTCAACTGGGACAAGTAGGGGGTTTGGTTGAAGGGACAGTGGGCCTCGCATTACAGGGACTATCCTCGCATTACAAGGTTGGTGGGGAACAAAAATGGATGTTGCAACTGCTGCTGTGCTGAGTCAAAGGCCCGTACAGTATCTGGTCTGAAGAGGGGGTGTTGGATTCTCGCAGCAATGCTGCTGCGATGGTGACTCGTTCGTTAGGAGAGGGAGGAGAGAAGCGGACGAGAGGGAGGGGAAAGGACGCAACGCAATGGAAAATGTGACGATGTGTGATGACGGCATGGAAAATGCAACAGCACTCAACAAGATTGGAGGGGAGGGGGGGATGATGGGATGGGACAATGAAATGGCCAGGGCTGGAGGGCCAGGATGAGAATGGATGGGTGGGACAGGGGGGATGGGCTCTGGCTGGGCTGGGAGGGATGGTATGGGACTGGAGGGAAGGACTATGCGCCGCCACCGAAACATGAAACACGCGATCGAGAAGTGTACGTGACAACAAGATCAAGGCAAAGGCGAAATAGTGGCAGCAAGGGCACTGCCCGACTCAAACATACTGTACAATATGCCTTGATCGCCAATGCTAAGCAGGGTGTAGACTTCTGCCAATGTAAAAAACATTCACGAACAATCTGCGGTTACCCTTTCTTGTGTTCCGCTTGCCCGCGAAAGGTTTGCGTGCACACAGTACCATCTGGACAATGGGCACGTGGACATAGAGGGGTCTCGGCAGGGCAGATGCCACTTTGGGTGGCACGCACGCTGGGTGAGGAGCGGGAGTGCGGAATTGCGGCGTTGGGGGATTTGGCCGCTGTGGTGTCATGGAGTGTTTTGGGATGCACGATAACGAAAGATCGCGAACTGCCAAATCTAAGATTGTCGCGAACGCTGTAGGTTGATGGCTGCCGATAACCATTAGCGATAATTTTGTCCAATGGCGTTCTCTTCTGCGTCGGCGACAGGGCAGTGGTTACCTTATTTGTGGGGGTTATGGGGAGCGAGAGGTTGCATTCGAGGTAGAGATGCTGTTCGTTGCAAAAGTGGCAAGTGCAGCAACAAATCGACAGAATGAAATGAAAGCCCCCGTCAGCATTGCAACGGCAACTTGCCCAGGTCCAACTCGAAGAGACGAGTTACCCAGAAGAAAACGTGTTGTTCTTCGGTTAGGGCTGAGAGGAAACTGGCCTCTGTATTAGAGGATGAAGTAAATTAAATAATGCAAAACATCCACAATCGTAACTGACGACCCGCAATATGCCGAAGGGACGAAATTACTACAAGCTTATGGGTAAGGTTTCTATACAGTTCCAAACTATGAACAAAAAGTTTACCCACAAGAAACGAGTTTCCATAGATGGGGAAACAAAGCTGCACGCGAGCAGCATCGCCGTTATTCTGGATACGATTCGAGATGGACTCCACGCTGTCAACTGACGATATGCGCAAGTAGGACTTGCCACACATAGAAAAAACGGCCAGATGTGGTGAACAGAGTGGCAGCTGATTCAGTACAGTTAATACAAAAAACAATAGTGGAACTTAAAAAACAAGGGTGCCTTTAAATGAAATCTATAAGATGTTGCTATCAACTGTATATAATATATCAGGCCTATGCCAAGTATAGCAATGCACTTGGCAGCAGAGTGCTAATATAACAGCGGGATTTTGGCTGTACAGGATTGGTCTGTTAATACTAGCAGTGAAGACAGCGGATATTTTTATAGAGTGACCTCATTTGTTATGAATGAACTTGCAGAGTGCGCAGTAAAACGAATAACGAGAATGAATGAACTACTGAATGACGATACAATGAAAGTGACGCGAATTTATAAGGAGAATCCTAGCTAGGCGAAGGGTTCGGGCTAGGATGGCTCGGAAAGTGTTGCGATTGGAGCGGTGGCGACTCGGAGGTGGTTCGGGGCGGAAATGTAGGCCGAACCGGGCTGACGCGTGGTGTTCGGGTTGTACTCGCTAAAATGCGCGTACAGTAAGGAATTGTAATTCCTTACATCATTCATAATTTATGTAAATGACTATCTGTAAGAGCTATGTAGTCATACTGAGTGAATTATTCATGCAAGATGGAACAACTAGAATTGCCCCTAGGTTCGAAGTGGCAAGACCGATTCCTTCCCAGCTTATATGGTAGTAGTGGTGAGCCGCCAGGCAACAGAGCTATTCCCAGTGCCGCCAAATGGACCTCAGCCCGCGACGTTGGGTGCCATGGCTGCTGCTGGTGACCTTGGGGTTCGCTCGCTTACATCGCGCACAGTCGCAGCTTCTCGACCCGTCACAAGGTGGGGTTCCTGCCAGGTGATACCTGGGGATTAACGAGGGTGAGCGACTCGGCTCGCGTTTCTCAAGCTTAAGGAAAGCCACGCCTCTGAGCACTTTAACGGCAATATTTTCTTCAGTGACTAGCTGACACTCAGCGCCTGTATTGCGCCCAGCACCCATGTGCCCGTTCCCCCAGGCCACCGGTAGTCCATTAGTTTACCCCTCCCCTGCCCGCCTTTCCTTGCTGAAATCCATCCTTGTACTTTCCGCTTGGCCCCTTGTGAAATTCCCACCACTCCACATGCACGCGTGCAATGCAATGGCACACGGCAAATGGCTCACGAACACATGGCACATGGCGCGTTGCGCATGCCACATGGCACATGGCGCATGGCACATGGTGCATGGCACATGGCGCATGGCACATTGGGTATGGGGCGCAACGCAACGCGTTTGTGATGCGATGCGATGATGTGAGCAGCGGCGGTGCTGGAGGAGTAGTGTCAGTCGGAGTGGAAGGTGCGGTTGAGTTGAGGTCCACCCCTTTCCCCGCCTTTTCTCGCTGAAATCCACCCCTTTCCAACGTGCGTGCGAGCAGCGGCGGTGCTGGAGGAGTGCCAGTCGGAGTGGAAGGTGCGGTTCAGGCAGTGGAGCAACGGCGGGGACTGCAGCAAGGCGGAGGCCATTCAGTGCAACGACCAAGGCATGATCACCAGAATGTGTGTGTGTCAGTCAGCCTGCCAGGCACCGCAATCCACCCACTGACATTGCTTCACAACACGCCCCACCGATGCACAGCACTTTACACCATTGCACACCATTCCACGCCACTCCACACCGCCTGACGCAACCTCTCCCACCTCATTAGCTTCCTCACGCATTCGCTCGCTCACGGTCCCCCTTCCTCAACGTCACGCCCTCCCTCCCTCTCTTCCTTCTTCCCTCCCTCCCTCCTCTACCGCTCTTCCCCTCCTCTTCCCACCTTCTCATGCGCTCTCCTCATCCCTCTCACCTGCATGCACCATGTCCGTACCATGCGTCATGCGCCATGTGCCATGTCTCATGCGCCATGTGCCATGTCTCATGTGCCATGTCTCATGTGCCATGTCTCATGTGCCATGTGCCATGTGCCATGTTTCATTCATCATGTCTCATTCGTCATGCCTCGTGTCCCATGTGCAATGTTATGCCACACACACAGGGCGCCTCAAGGCTACGTGCTGCAGGGGTCCCTGCCTGCTTCCATCGGCAACCTCGTCTCCCTCTCCTACCTGTACGCCCCTCCCCTAACTTTACACACCTGCCTCGACGACGCCTTAGTTGTTCACCCCAGGGTAGCCTGCCGTCCGCATAGGATATGCCTGGCTATCTGATGCTGCAGTTGCGAAGATGGAGCTCGGCAGACATGAAGTCAGTTCTTTCTTCTGTTTTTTGCTGCTGGGATGCAACTGGGATGGTGTGGTGTGGTGTGGTGTGGTGTGGTGTGGTGTGGTGTGGTGTGGTGTGGTGTGGTGTGGTGTGGTGTGGTGTGGTGTGGTGTGGTGTGGTGTGGTGGAGCATGGTTGGCAGAGACTTCTATGGAGCAAGGTTGAACGGGACCATACCTGATACCATTGGCCAGCTCACAGCTCTCACACACCTGTCAGCCCTCATGCCTCTGCTTGCCACTGCATCCTTGCCAACCCTATCCCACGCACCTCCTGCCATCCCTCCCCCTCCCTCTCCCCCTTTCTACCAGCCTGGTTCCACCATTTGTCTCTCCACCTCCACTCTCTCCCGCATGCCTGTTCCACCTTTCCCCCACCTCCTTGCTTCCGCACCCCTTATCCGGCTTCATCCGATGCTTACTTGAACCCCACCTCCCTTTTTCCCTCCTAATCTCCCCGTCCTCCCCCCCCCCCCCAATCCCCCCATCCCCCCCTCCCCCCCTCCCCCTCTCCCCTTCCACCATCCCTGCTCCTCCCCGACCCAGCTTACTATGGTTCAACGATCTGAGCGGCACCATCCCCTACACCATCAGTGCACTCACCAACCTTCAGCAGCTGTGCGTGCTCATCATCACCCCCTGCTGCCACCGCCCCCGCCCCTGCTGTTGTTTCTGCTGCTGCTCCTGCTCCTGCTCCTGCTCCTGCTGCTCCTGCTCCTGCTCCTGCTGCTCCTGCTGCTGCTGCTGCTGCTCTCGCTTCTGCTGCTCCTGTCACCAAACCACACCAGCACATGCCCATGCAAGTCACCCACCTGCCACATCACATCCCAAATCATCCCCTGCTTCGCAGCTTGCTCTACCGTATCCATCCTCCCACGCTGCTCATGTACCTCCCATGCCTTCCCCGTGCCGTGTCCCCCTGACTGCCAGATGGCTGGGCATGAACAAGCTCTCGGGCTCCATCCCAGACGAGCTCAGCGCCTTCACTCCCCTCACCTGGCTGCTTTTGAGGCGCCTCAAAAGTAGACCTCCGGTGCTTTCCCCTTGTCCCCCCCACACACACCGGCAGATGGCTGGGCATGAACAAGCTCTCAGGCTCCATCCCAGACGAGCTCAGCGCCCTCACTGCACTCACCTGGCTGTACGCACGCTGCTTCCACGCCCTGTGCCTTCCCTTTCCCTTCTCCACCACCCCCTCTTTTATCCAGCTGCCCCTTCCTGAGCCAGCAGCCAACCCAAACAACCATCCGCTTTTTTTTTTTTTTTTTTTTTTTTTTGCTCGCTCAGTAATCGCATCGCTCGTCGGTTCTGGATTACCCCTTCAGGCTTCAGCTTCCACCCAGCCCCCTTTTCCCTGGTCTCTGCCCCATCCTGTCCTTTCCTCCCAATAGCCCCTCGTGCCTCTCCCCCGTCCTGTCCTCTCTTACCTATCCCCTCCGTCTCCTCACGTCCCCTCCTTCTCTCCCAACCTCATCACTGCATCCCGCCCCCATCCCGCCCCCATCCCGCCCCTATCCCCCCTCCATCCCGCGCCCATCCCGCCCCCATTCCATCCCACTCTGTCCCATGCCTTCCCTTCCTCCCATGTGTCCCAACCTCCTCATGCATGCACGCAGGGACCTAGGCAACAACCGCCTATCAGGCCCTGTTCCTGATTCCCTCGGTCTGCTCTCCAACCTGCTTCAACTGTGAGTGAGCCTTCGCTGCTCTTGAGGGCCTGAGAATGTTCCACCCTGCGGTTCAACTGTTCCTGGAGCGAGAGAAGAAAGGGAGCGTCCTGAGCTGAGCCTGCGGAGTGCGTGCGTGCGTCTGTGCCCATGTGCAAAGGCGCGTGAATGCATCGGTGCCAAGCATTTTCTTTCTTTCTGCTTTGCTGTGCATGGTTGGCACAAGAAATGTGCCTTGGGTGTTCTAAAGAGCGACCTTGAAGCAATTGTAAGCGGCAGTGGAAATCGCATATGAAGCTCATTGGCGTATGTCTCCGCGGAAAGCTGAACAGCTGTAGGCATCTAGGTGGTGTTAAGTCCAAGATACGGAGTGACGTTCTTTAGAATGCCCGGGCTGAGAAATTCGAAAAACGTGCACCTGAGCATCCTGCTTTTTTTTTCTCTTTCTCTCCCTCCCTCCTTGCACACCACTTCCGCCTGCACAGCAATCTGGGTAACAACCAGCTGACTGGCAGCATACCTCCATCGCTGGGACACTCTTTTTAAGTTGCGCTCTGTGCATCTCCTCCCTCCATCTCTCTCTGTTTCTCCCTCCTTGCACACCACTCCCGCCTGCACAGCAACCTGGGCAACAATCAGCTGACTGGCAGCATACCTCCATCGCTGGGACACTTGTCGGCCCTTGACAGCCTGTGAGAGATTCGCACATGGGATGGATGGGGATGGATGGGGATGGATGGGGATGGATGAATGTGGATGGAGGCGATGGGTGGGTATGGTCCAGGATGGTTGCAGACGGTTGGGGATGGTTGGGAGCGGATGGGATGGAATTCTGGGCGACAGTCGTGGCTATCGAAACAATAGGCGCTAGCGGTGCAACTGCAGTGCTAGCGTACGAGCGTGTGTGAGTGAGCGAGCGTGTTTGTGCGTGCGCGTGCGCTTCAGTCTCGTGCTTTGGTGCATTCTTGCGTTGTCCTAAGTGGCAGCTGCCCCTCCCTTCCCCCCAATCCCTGCTCCCGGTACATTCATCTCTCTTTCCAAGGCTGCTTCGATCCCATCCCATCTCATCCCATCCCATCCCATCCCATCCCATCCATCCCATTCCGTCCCAACCCATCCCATCCCATCTTCTTCCCCCTTCCCCACACAATGACTGCTGTGTGCGTGGCAGCAATCTAGTTCACAACAAGTTCTCAGGGTCTCTTCCAGCCACCCTAGGCCAGCTCACCAACCTCACTCGCCTGTACGCCTCTGCCCTTCTCCTCCTCATCCCATGTCCCATCATACTATGTCCCCACGTCCCATGCTCCACAAATCCTCTGTTCAACACATCAATATTCCCTTGACAGTACACTCCCTCCTCCCCCATACCTTGTTTTCTTCCCTCTCCCCCTCACCCCTTGTCTCCCATCTCCTCCTCTCTCCCCCTTCCCATCCCCCACCTTTCCCTCTCACCCTTCCCCTCCCCCACTCTCTTTCTCCCCTCTTCCCTTTCCCCGCGCACCCCCTGTCCTGCCCTCTCCCCCCAGCTGGTTTGACAGGGACCGGGTGCAGTGTTGCGGCAGGGGCCCCGTGTGAGCTGTCTCAGCTGCCCTTCTCTCCTGAGCCGTCACAGATCTCTCTTGAGGTTTCACATAACTATTGAGGCTCCTCAAAACTCTCCCTCTCCCTCTCCTTCGCCCTGCCCCCCACCCCAGCTGGTTTGACAGGGACCGGGTGCAGTGTTGCGGCAGGGGGGCCATGTGAGGTGTCTCAGCTGCCCTTCTCTCCTGAGCCGTCACATACCTCTCTTGAGGTTTCACATAACTTTTGAGGCTCTTCAAGTCTCTCCATCTCCATCTGCCCTCCTCCCCAGCTGGTTTGACAGGGACCGGGTGCAGTGTGCGGCAGGGGGGCCATGTGAGGTGCCGCAGCTGTCCGTCTCTCGCTTCTGTGCTTCCTGCAGTGGCTTTTGTGCCTCTTGCACCAACGAATCAGGTACCCTTCTTTACTCTCACTGCAGTGGCTTCTGCGTCAGAAATTCCCTGTGCCAGGAATTTCACCTTTACCTGCCTCTGCCGCCGCCGCCGCCGCCGCCGCCACTGCCGCTGGTGCTTCTTTTGTGAACACTTTTGAGGGCTTTCAGCAGTGCAAGAGCAGAAGGCCTCGCCTGCTGCTGCTGGCACGGACGAACAGCATGTGGCTCCTTTGCTGAACTAGCCATGGCGGCGTGAAGACAAGGGGATGCTTGACGGTACTCCACTCACCGTGACTACTGCGCGAATATGCTGCAAAAAGCCTGCCACTCTTGCTTGGAGCCAGTCTCCTGGCTTTCAAGCAAGTGATAATTGCTGCATATTGTGATGAAGTTGTTAACACCTCCCCTCCCTTGCTCCCTTCCTCCACACCCGCTCCCCATCTGCCCCACCTTTCCCCCGCTACTCCTGCAGCGACTGGGCCGTCCAACTCAGCTGCTCCAACCACCACCACTACCACCAAGGCTTCGTCTGCTCGTCTCAATCAACCCAGATGCCTTCTGTCCCTCTTCCTCCTCCTGCTTCTATTCGTCTCTCTATTTATCAACAATTGATGGCCCTTTGGTGTTTTTACCAGTGCCAATATAACACCGCAATTGATGGCCCTTTGGTGTTTTTACCAGTGCCAATATAACACCGTGCATCTGTTTTGTACATTGGGTTGTTGTTCAAAAAGCTATTCAAGACCACATCGTTCAAGGCTACCGCACTGCGCAATTCGTAAACAATTTTAGAACTAAAATGCACCGTTCCGAACCCATGTAATTTCTTGAACAGCTCGTTCAAAAAGCTGTTTTGAACACGAATGTACCGCGCCCTGAGAAATACCATAGTACTGTATTGCAATCCATGGCCTCTTTTGTGTGGTTATTTTTGCTTAGTTCCCTAGAGGGCTTCTCTAAGCCATGTTGCACTACCATGTCTAAGGGTACATTCCGCTGTGGACATGCGTCCCAATCGATGTGTCCCAATCGATTCTACCGCACTGCATCTTATTACACCGAATTACACCCTAGTTTCAAAAATTTCGCTTCTCTGATTGAGTGCGGTTCGGAGCGGTACACCCGATTGGGACACATCGATTGGGACGCATGTCCACAGCGGAATGTACCCTAAGGCTCAAATTCTCATAGCTGATGCGAAGTTACAACATGAAAACACCGCAAACATGCAAATCGCCGCTCCCTCACCTCACCACCCAGAAACCTACACCCCTCACCCGCCCAATGCTCCCCAAAAAACCTATCTCCTGCCTCGCCCTGCCGCCTTCCCTCCCCGTCCTCTCCCAGCCACCGCCGCCCCTCCTCTCTTGCTCAGTGCCTTCCCTCTCGGCATCATCTCTGCAAGCTTCTGCACTTGAGTCCCAACCCCACCGCCTTTTCCTCCTCTCCCCCCTCCCCTCCCTCCCCCTTTCCCCATCTTGCTCGCCTTTGCCCCCTGGTACGACCCTCCGCCTCCCTGCCTCCCCCCTCCCTCACCACCCTCCCCCATTCCTCCCCCTCTCCCTCCTCCCCTCCCTCCCCCTCGACCAGCACCCGCAAAACCGCCACCCCTCCCCATCCCCCATCCGGCTCCTCTCCCTCCCCCATCTGCCCCTACTGCCCCCGGTCTACCAGTCTTCCTCCCGCGCTTCTCCGCCTGCATCTGGGCTTTGGCACGGGTCTGCTCCTGTGCTCGGAGAGACAGAGGCATCACTCTCACTGCTCGCCCTCGCACCTCTGCTCCCTTGCGCCGCTGAGACAGTGCTGTCCTCGCTGCCTCCTGTGGGGGAGAGAGGTGGGGCAAGTTGGGGAAGGGTGTGGACATGGCAAAATTAGGAAGAGAGCAGGTAGTAGGGAGCAGGCAGCAGGCAGAAAACCGAAGGGCTGCCAGTCTGAGTGCAAAAAGAGCAGTTGTAAGCAGCGTGTGAATGCTTTGAAACGGATTGCTGAGGCTGTGAAATGGCAGAGGTTTCTAGCCCATAGCACTACCTTCAGTCAGCGGCATGAGCAGATGTGCACAACAGGAGTGCAGAAGCACTTGTGAGGGTGCTCTAATCTTTTGCAGCACAAGTGAAGGCTGTTGGGATGCAGGAGCGAGTGCTCTAATCGTGTGTGGCAGCACAGCAGTACCCGTGTTTTGAAGAGTACAAAAGCAATGCCCTTGCCCTGGTTGGTGTGGCGATCCCTCACCACGCGCACCCCCTCCACATCCCCTGCTGTCACCGCAGGTGCTGAGGAGCGCGCTGCTGCTGCTAGGGGTGCTGAGAACAGCGATAGCACCTCCTCTTCCTGTGGGGTAGGGAAGAGTCGGAAGGGGGTCAAGGGTATGGTGGAGGTGGAGGGGCAGGATGAAGGGCATGGATGCATCATGAATCATGAATCCAGGGACCGGGGCACATGATGGCTGTGGATGATCAATGCAGCGTAGGATCCTGGCGTCGAGAACTACGCTGCATTGTTCACAGCCATCATGTGTGTGAACTATGGCGACTGGAACTTTTGCCATGTCATGTCATCATGGTGAAGTCACACGCGGTGCGCGCGCCATGAGTGAGTGAGAGAGCAGCAAGCGCCCCGACTCGACTCACATCAACGTCGTGGGGCAGGTTCCCCAGGAACAGCGACCGCTTCGGGTCATACTTGGCTGCTGCTGCTGCCGGCACTGCTGCTTCCTCTGCTGCTGCCGCAGATGCAGTGGCGGACTTGACGGGTGCGGGAGCAGCGGCACGATCCACACGAATGTGCCTCCCCTCAAACTGCGATATAGTGGCGCACAGGAAGAGAGGGTGTGGGTAACAGGGGAGACGACTTTTGAGACGTGTCAAAAGCTGCTGTGGCGGCTGCAGCAGCGGACTTGGCGGGTGCGGGAGCAGCAGCACGGTGCACCCGATGTGTCTCCACTCAAACTGTGAGTTGGGAGCGGACGGGGAGAGGACGCGGACACGAGGAGGGGTTGAGGCGGACAGGGGAGGGGGTGGGCGGGTGCAAAGGGGCGGACGGCTGGGGCGCACATTGGGGAGGGTGTGGCGGACAGAGAGGGGGGGATGGCATGGCATGGCATGGCATGGCATGGGGGGTTGGGGATGGCATAAGAGGGGAGCGGGCCATACCAGGGTCATGTTGAGAGCGAGTGATGGTGTGACGGAGTCTTGCCTCTTAAACACCACGTATGCATTGCAGCTGCACGCAGGGAGGAGAGGGAACGGGGAAGTTAGAGGACGGGGAGAGGGGAGGGAGGATTGAAGCAGAAGTTTAGAGTTTGTAGGGATGAGGAGAGGGGTGGTTGGGAAAGGGCGGGGGAAAGGGACGGGGAGGGGGATGAGAGGGAAGGGTGCAGTGGAAGAGAGAGGAGAATGAGGGTTTTAAGAGCGCAGCACAGCACAGACGGAAGGGGAGAAGAGCCGAATGGGAGAGGAAGGATGAGTTGCAAGCATTTGCGGTTGTACAAAAAAAGAAGCAGCTTTCCTTGCACGTAGGTCTTGTTGTGTGCATGCTTCACACCCAGAGCCCTACAATCCCAATCCCACGCATTTTGAGGCGCCTCAAAATGCATCCCAGAGCCCTACAATCCCACGCACTGCCCCTTTTCCGCCCTCCCCCAAATCCCTTCCCCCTTCCCAACCCCCCAGCGCACCTCTTGTTGGTGGCGGAGAGTTTGTTCTTGAGCACCGCAGACCGACGTGGCATCTTCTTAATCTGATGGTGGAGGACAGAGAGGGAGTGGGAGGCGGGGAGAGAGAGAGGGAGAGCGAGAGAGGGAGGGATAGGGGGAGGGAGAGAGCGAGAGGTGGTGGGAGAGGGAGGGGTGGTGGTAGAGGGAGGGGTGGTGGTAGAGGGAGGGTGGTGGTAGAGGGAGGGTGGTGGTAGAGGGAGGGGAAGGGACGGATATATAGAGCAAGAGAGGGGGTTGGTGGGAGAGGGGGGGCGGTGGGAGAGGGAGGGGTGGTGGTGGGAGAGGGAGGGATATATAGAGCGAGAGAGACGCAGCGACAAGGGCATAAGCTCACAGAGCTGTAACGGCGAGACCTGGGAAACCAAAGAAAGGCTGACTCACGTCATCAGCGAGGGGCATGGAGCGCAGGCGCACGGACTCGACAGGGCCGAAGGGCGTGAAGAGGCGCGCGAGGGCCTTGCGCCCCACGCCCACGGGCAGGTTCCCCACGAACACCGTGCGCCGCAGCTTCTCCTCGCGCTCCTCGCGCGCCTGCTGCTTCTCCGCGCGCTTCTGCGCGCGCCTCTCCGCCCCGGTCAACGCCCGCTCCGCCTCCGCCGCCCCCGCCGCCGCCGCCCCCTCCCCCCCCGCCGCCGCCGCCCCTGCTGCTGCCTTCGCCGTGCCCTTGCCTTCGTTCTCCCCCGCCCCTCCCATTTCTCCCTCCGCTTCCCCTTGCCTATCCTCCCTTTCATCTTCCTCCTCTTCTTCCTCCTCACCCCATCCAACTAAATCCCCCCCTAACTCGTCTTCATCCTCCTCCTCCTCTTCTTCCTCCTCACTTGAGCTGCTGCCGCTCTGAGCATCTACATCCTCCTCCCCATGATGCGCCGCACCTTCTTCTTCTTCTTCTTCTTCGCTCATTAACTCCGCCACATCCCCCGCCTCCTCCTCTTCGATCTCTTCCGCGTCATCCGCTCCCTCATCCCCACTGTCCGTCTCCCGCCTCTCATTCTCAGAATGGGTATTAAGCCCAGAACCCTGAACCTTCCGTGTGCTGTCCTTCGCCCTCCCTTTCTTCTCCTTCCGTGTCTTCTTCTTCAGCTTCTTCTTGTTCTTTTCATCGTTATTCTTACCGGCTTCCGCTGTAATCTCTTCTCGTTCCAAATCTGTCTTCCCCTCACTTCCGCTCGCTAGAACGTCCTTTTTCCCCTTCTTTTGCTTCTCACCCTCCTCCCCCTTCCTTCTCTTCTTCTTCTTCCCCACATTCGGCTGTGCCCCGCTCGCAGCTGTAACGTCCGCCAAATCTGCGCTCTCCCCCTTGCCCCCTGCGCCCCTTCCGCTTCCCCTTCCCCACCGTCCCCTCGACTCACTCCTCCGCCCCCATCCGTCTCGCTCCCTTTGCGCTTCTTCGACTTCTTTCCGCTCTTCTCTCTTACTTCAGCTTCTCCCTCCCCTTTCCCCGCGTGCCTCCGGAGCGCAGCGGCTTCCGCAAGCGCAGCGCTCAGCCTTGCAGATGGGGAGGGCCCTGTGCGCGCGGAAGGTGGGGGGGTTTTCCCGGCGGGCGCAGCTGCAGAGCCAAGGCCTGGGAAAGGCGCGGAGGGTACGGCGGCGCGGCGGAAGGGATTATTGTCAAAGAGATTGGAAAGGGCCGCCATGGGGGCGCGCGAAAGCGGGAGAGCGCTTCTAGCGCGGAAAGCCGCCGAGCGGAATGGCGGCGCTGAACGCGCGGAACTACGCAGGCGCGAGTGCGAGCGTCGTTTAGAAATGGCGATGCCAGCCGATGAGAGTGAAAAAAAGGATGCCTAGGAGTGACTCAAAAGTTACTAGTGCTTTTGTAGGAGTGAGGCTGTATAGTAATAGTTCCGTCGATAATTCCTCTGGCAGCTGGTTGGTTGGGATTGGGATGGGACGGGTTTTGCAACGGGGTTTTTGAGGGAAAAGTTGTAGAGCAAGAATTTTACTGAATTCGAGTAGTCGAGTGTAGAAAGGAACACTTGGTTCAGACTTCAAAACATCCCGACCAAGTCAGACGAAATCGCGTACAAAATAGCTCCGCCTTCAATCCCACCTCCCTCCCTCCCCTCTTCTAGTGGGCGCATTGCGCCAGACTTGCTACTCAGCGCGCACCTCCTCCTCTCCGCAGTCGCGCCATGCGCGCTCTCACACCGCACCCCCGGGCCGTCGCCGCTACCGCCGCTGCCGCTGCTTCCGCGTCTCCCCGCGCCTTCCTCCGTGGCTTCCGCCAAAGCTTCGCGCTCCCGCGCGGGCCTTCCGCCAGTCCGCCGCTGTGGCTGAGTGACGTCCAGCGCGCGGAGCGGAACAGCGTCGCGGGTGGTCGGCGCACTCCCGTCATGGCGTCGGGGAGCGCGGCGCCCGGCAGCGGCAGCGCGGCGGCGTATGCGGATGAGCTGGCGGCGGCGGAGAGCGCCGTTCGGCTCGCGTGCGCGCTGTGCGAGGTGGGTTCGTATGCATCGCGCAGGGTAAACGACGATAACTGTAACGGTAACGATAACGATAACGATGGAGATGGCGATGCGTGTGGCAGTACAAGATGGTGCATTGCTGCAATGACGGGTCGATTTGCTCGACCGTTGCTGCTCGACCGTTGCTGTGATCTCCGCTGCTAGCAACAGAGCTGAAGGCGTCTCCTTCCCTTCCCCGTCCTCGCTTCTTCCTCATTCCTTCATTCTAACATAAATCCTTCACCCTTTAGCCCACATGCGCCCAATATCCCCGCATTCCCCTGGATGCGAGCAATCAGTGCCTCCTCTGCTCCCCTCCCCCCAACCCCTCGGCGCCGCTTCCTTCCCCCCTCCCTCAACGAATCCCCCCACCACACCGTCCGCCGACCCCCTCTTCCTCAACAGTCACCAGAGTGCGTGCTGTGCTGTGTTGTCACCAAGTAGCCGTGTCGCTGCGTCATCCAATCTGCGCGCTCCCTTCGCTGATCCTCTGCAAATTCACCTGCTTGTTTCTGCCCCTCCCTTCCACCTCCTCCATCTCTCCCTCTCTCCCTCTCTCCAATTCTTCCTCTCTCCCTTCCTCTCTCTCTCTACCCCCTCCCCTCATCTCCCCCCTGCTCCCCCCGCTCCCTTCCACCCCATACCCCCCCAATCCCGCCTCCCCAGACGATGCAGCGCGGGCTGAAGGCGGAGGAGTCAGCCAGCAAGTTCTGAGACGCCTCATCAACAAAACTTTTGAGACGTCTCAAATCTCCCACCCCCCACCCCCCATTCCCATGCGCCTATCCCAGACGGTGCAGCGCGGGCTGAAGGCGGAGGAGTCAGCCAGAAAGTCCGACGAGTCGCCCGTTACCATCGCTGACTATGGTGCGCCCACCCGTGGCCCGTGCGAGGGTGGGGCATGGGGCGTGCCCAGTGGGGCATGCGCAGTGGGGCGTGCGGGGTGGGGCGTGCGGGGTAGGGCGTGCGGGAATGCCTCTTTTCCTGTTTTACCAAATTGTTCACTCACTCGCTCACCCCTCACATATTTGCATCAAAGAAACACCAACTTTGCCCCTTCCCCCATCCCATACTGTCCCATTCCATGACACCAAATTCGTCCAACTTTAGCCTCTCCACCTTCCCCTCCTCTCCTTCCCCTGTCTCCATCCCCCACCTGCCATCCCCTCTCCCCTCCCCGCTGCCCCCTCCCTCCCCTGCCCCCTGCCCTCCTCCCTGCGCCCCCACTGCCCGCCCCCTGCCCGCCCCCTGCCCTCCCATGCGCGCCCCCTGCCCGCCCCCTGCCCGCCCCCTGCCCGCCCCCTGCCCTCCCATGCGCGCCCCCTGCCCGCCCCCTGCCCGCCCCCTGCCCGCCCCCTGCCCTCCCATGCGCGCCCCCTGCCCGCCCCCTGCCCGCCCCCTGCCCGCCCATTGCCCTCCCCATGCGCGCCAGGCTCGCAGGTGCTTGTGGCGTGGGCGCTGCAGCAGCACGGGCTGCCAGGCGCCTTCTCCATGGTGGCGGAAGAGGTGAGGGAAAGGGGGGGTAGGCGGGCGTTGGGGGGAGGGTAGGCGAGGTGGAGAAATGAGGTGGGCTGCCAGGCGCCTTCTCCATGATGGCGGAAGAGGTGGGGGGTGAGGGGGGGGTTGGCGGGTGTGGGGGGGAGGGAGGGGGGGAAGAGAAATGAGGTGACTCTTGAGTCGACTCAAAAGTCACGGGGGTGCTGCAGCAGCACGGGCTGCCAGGCGCCTTCTCCATGGTGGCGGAAGAGGTGGGGGGCGAGAAGGGAAGGGAGAAGGGGAGAAAAGAAGGGGGATCTAGAGTCGGGGCGAATGAGGGGGGATGGAGGGGGAGAGAACGCACGGGAAACGAAGGGGACGGGAAAGGTGGGAAGGGGGGAGAGGTTTGTGAAAAAGAGGCTGGTGGAGGTGTGGGGATGGAAGGAGATTCTGTAACGACTGGGATGGGGGGACGATGAAGAGAGAAAGGTGGGTGCAAGGTAACGGGCCGAAAGTACTAGTTTTCTCCCTTTCTTCTCTGCTGCCCCCTCTTCCTTCCTTCATTCACAATCCCTCCCGCTTCTTCCTTTCCCCCGCACCTGCTCGCCCCTCCTCCTCATCTTCCCCCTCTGCACCACGCCAGGACTCCACGCAGCTGACGGCGCCAGAGGGGCGGGGCGTGCTGCAGCGACTTTTAAGGCGTCCAACCAAAAGCCATTCCCTTCCCTCTCCCCCTCCCCCTCCCCCTCTCCCTTGCCCTCCCCTTCTCTCTCCCCCTCCCTCTCCCCCCGCCCTCCTCCCCCTCCCCCTCCCGCTCCCTCTCCCCCTCCCCCTCCCTTCCCCTCCCACTCCCCTTCCCCTTCCCCCTCCCGCTCCCCCTCCCTCTCCGCACCACGCCAGGACTCCACTGAGCTGACGGCGCCAGAGGGGCGGGGCATGCTGCAGCAACTTCTAAGGCGCCTCAAAAGCCATCCCTTTCCCTCTCCCCCTCCCTCTCCCCCTCCCTCTCCCCATCCCCTTCCCTTTCCTGCTCCCCGTCCTCCTCCTCACCACACCAGGACTCGTCCCAGCTGACGGCACCAGAGGGGCGGGGCATGCTGCAGCGCATCACAGCACTGGTCAACGCCACCATCGCGGGCAGCAAGGCATGGGGCGGAGGGGCGGTGGCGCCGCTGAGCGAGGCGCAGTTGGTGGCGCTGATCGATGCGGGCGGCGCGCAGGGAGGGAAGACCGGGCGCCACTGGGTGCTGGACCCCATCGACGGCACGCGCGGGTGAGCTGGTTGCTTCGTCAGTCAGTCGGTCATGCCTTGCTTGACACGTCTCCCCCCCCAACACTCCTCTGGTTGGGCGCGCAGGGAGGGAAGAGCGGCCGCCACTGGGTGCTGGACCTTATCGACGGCACGCGCGGGTGAGTCAGTCCGTCTGTCTATCTGTTGGTCGGTCGGGCAGGCAGGCAGTCAGTCGCTCGGTCGTGTTGGCACGTTCTTGTACAAGTCAGAGGCGCCTGAAACACCAACTGGTCTTTCCCTCCCTCTTTCTCATCGTTTGCTTCTCCAACCAACCCACCCGCCATCACACACGTCCGGCTGTCCCCCTCTCTTCTCCCCCATCATCTCCCTTGCCGACCCTCTGCTCCCTCCCACCCAGTCCTTCCACCCTTCCGCCCCCAACCTCCCTCTCCCCCAGTTTCCTGCAGGGGGATCAGTACGCAGTGGCGTTGGGGCGGTTAGACCAGGGTGAGGTGGTGTGCTGTTTGCTGCCCCAACCTTCCTCTTGATCTCCTCCAAAACCACTCTCCCTGCGGTCCCTACCCTCCTCCTTCCCCTTAGCCACAGCTTCATGTGGGGGGACCAGTACGCAGTGGCGCTGGGGCTGCTGGATGAGGGAGACGTGGTGATGGGCGTGCTGCTTGCTTCTCCATGCTGCCCCTTCTCCTCTCAAACTACCACCCTCCCCGCGGTCCCCCTTCCCCCTCCCCCTCCCTTCCCCCGCAGCTTCATGCGAGGGGACCAGTACGCAGTGGCGCTGGGGCTGTTGGATGAGGGAGACGTGGTGGTGGGCGTGCTGGGCTGCCCCAACCTGCCGTGTGCGTCCATAGCACGCGGGGTGGACGCCGCAGTGGCTACTGGAGAGCCCGTGGGGTGTGTGTTCTCCGCCGTGAAGGGCCGCGGCACCACCGTGCAGCCCCTGCATGAGCCTGTGCCGCCTAGACAGGTGAGAGAGGGCTTTTTGGGATGTCTCACATGTATCGTCTCCCATTCAACCTGCCGTGTGCGTCCATAGCGCGCGGGGTGGACGCCGCAGTGGCTACTGGAGAGCCCGTGGGGTGTGTGTTCTCCGCCGTGAAGGGCCGCGGCACCACCGTGCAGCCCCTGCATGAGCCTGTGCCGCCTAGACAGGTGAGAGAGGGCTTTTTGGGATGTCTCACATGTATCGTCTCCCATTCAACCTGCCGTGTGCGTCCATAGCGCGCGGGGTGGACGCCGCAGTGGCTACTGGAGAGCCCGTGGGGTGTGTGTTCTCCGCAGTTAAGGGCCGCGGCACCACCGTGCAGCCCCTGCATGAGCCTGTGCCGCCTAGACAGGTGAGAGAGGGCTTTTTGGGATGTCTCACATGTATCGTCTCCCATTCAACCTGCCGTGTGCGTCCATAGCGCGCGGGGTGGACGCCGCAGTGGCTACTGGAGAGCCCGTGGGGTGTGTGTTCTCCGCCGTGAAGGGCCGCGGCACCACCGTGCAGCCCCTGCATGAGCCTGTGCCGCCTAGACAGGTGAGAGGGCTTTTTGGGATGTCTCACATGTATCGTCTCCCATTCAACCTGCCGTGTGCGTCCATAGCGCGCGGGGTGGACGCTGCAGTGGCCACGGGGCAGCCCGTGGGGTGTGTGTTCTCCGCTGTCACGTGGCACGACCATGCATCCCCTGCATGAGTCTGTGCCGCCCACACAGGTGAGGTGGGGAAGGTGGGGAGGTGGGTAGGTGGTGGGGTGGAAAGGCAGGGGGGTGGGAAGGTGGGGGGTTGGGAAGATAGGGGATGCTAAGAGGTGGAGAGAAACACGGACATTATGAATGACATTATGAATGACATTTTGACATTATGAATGACATTATGACATTATGAATGACATTATGACATTATGAATGACATTATGACATTATGACAAACAGGAGGTAGCTACCTATGTGGTCCCTGTTCATGGTTGTGTGTGTGCGGTTGGCAGCTGTTTTTCTGCATGCGTCATTCTGCCTGTTATGTCTGCGTGTATGTGCGCGCGTGCATGCATGCATGTGTCTGGACTGGATGCTTGTGTGCACGCATGCATGCGCCTGGATCCTTGTGTGCAATCATGCGTGCAATCATGCATGCATGCATGTGCGCGCCGTGGCAGCAGGTGCAAGTGAGCGGGGAGAGCAACCCAGCCATGGCTACGTTCTGTGAATCTTACGAGTCACGCCACTCCAAGCACAACCTCACCGCATCCATCGCACAGGTCTGTTTGCCAGCATTTCACCACCTCCCACCATTGCATGGCACCCCTGGGCCAACCCATGCCCACCCCATGTCCACACCACATGACCATCACATGTCCACACAACATGACCATCACATGTCCACACCACATGACCATCACATGTCCACACCACATGACCATCACATGTCCACACAACATGACCATCACATGTCCACACCACATGACCATCACATGTCCTCACCGCATGACCATCACATGTCCACACAACATGACCATCACATGTCCACACCACATGACCATCACATGTCCACACAACATGACCATCACATGTCCACACCACATGACCATCACATGTCCTCACCGCATGGCCATCACATGTCCTCACCGCATGCCCACCACCACCCCATGCCATGATTTTCCCTGCTCTTCTCCTTGGGGTTGCTGCCTAAAGTCACCGTTTATCACCATCCATAACTGTGCATCCACCGCACTCATTTCCAAGCACCACATGCCTGTCCCTCTTACTACCCGCCTGGACCCTCTCACTCTGACACCTGCCATACCATCATCCATCCAACGTCACACCTTCACCCCCACCAAACCGGCATATCAACTGAGTCCCATCCTTCTGCCCCTCCCTTCACCAGCATCATTCTCCTCCCCTTGCACGCTCTAATCCCTCCACTCTCCCCTCTCCTCATTTTTCCCACTCTCTCCCCTCTCTCCGCCTGCCCTCTCGCTGTCGTTCCCTTTGCACAAAAAATAGGCGTTAGGCGTGATGACACCCCCAGTGCGCATTGACTCGCAGGCCAAGTACGGAGCCATGGCACGCGGCGATGCCGCCATCTACATGCGCTTCCCACCGGACGGATACCGGGAGAAGATCTGGGACCATGCTGCTGGCAGCCTTGTCATCTCTGGTATGTGTGTGCGCGATGGGATGGGGTTGGCTGGGGTGGGAAGGGATGGGATGGGATGGGATGGGATGGGATGGGATGGGATGGGATGGGAGGGGATGGCATGGGAGGGAAGGGGATGTGGGACGGGATCAGATGGGGCGGGATGAGGCTGGACGGGACGGGACTGAACGGTTCGTGAGGGGATGTCAGACTGCCGGGATGCTGATCGGCCTGCAAGAAAATGTTGTGTGTGTGTGTGTCGTATGTTTCTGCCTTATTTCACCAATGTTCTCATTCGTTCTGAATCCTTCTCCATTTGAAACACTTGCTTTCAGAGGCCGGAGGGAAAGTTTGTGACGCAGCAGGGCAGCCCCTAGACTTCTCTCGTGGTAGGTTCCTTGATTTAGATACGGGTATCATTGCAACCAATGCTTCACTCATGCCTGTGCTGCTTTCGACTGTTCAGTCCGTGCTTAGCAAATGAAAGCACAGCTAGAGATTTAGGTCTTGTCAGCTTTGTAGTGAAATAGGATTTCTTGAACATTCATAACAGCCGCAAAAGAATTGCTTCTCCCATAAACAGATTGTGTGTTGTAAAGGTCTCAATGCTACAATGCTACCTTGCATAATTTCATTGAACAGTGTAGCACTTCTGTGACTAGTCCAGAGACTTGCAGTAACTGTTGGCGACCAGCTCCACCACCACACACGGATAGGATATTTACACTTTTCCACACACCTCGGGACCTTTTGTCGGAAAGCCAACCATGTGGCCCAGATGTGCCAGCATGGTACTGCGTGGATAACCACTATCCACTTCAGCAGGCTACTTGCATATAAACATTTCGTTTTTAAGGACACCTCCCCAGCTTCAACGGTCATTCGGAGGGATGATGTCTAAGCATAATGTACAGAACGAGTAAAATTGGCGGTAAAAGAATGCCAAATAGTGTACACCGTCGGGATGCTTCTCCGCACGTGAGAGTGCTGTTGCCGCTGCCCGTCATTTCGGGACTACAAGTATCCAAACAAGAGATTTTGTGCATTGCAATCCTGCTTTGCAATCGCCAGGGCTTGGTTTGGTGGTGGCAGTTGTAATTATTACGCACGCTTGTAGCTGACGGATCGCAGGAGGTTCTCTTGTGGGGTTGAGATCGACCGCCTTTTCTACAAGTACCCCTTTTCTTCGACTCGTTTGTAGATTTCAGGGAATCCAAACCACGCAATTGTGCAATGTTTTTGGGGATAAACGCTTAGAATAGCAAGTTCAATCAGCTTTCAAAACCAAACCGATAAGGTTTTCAGTACCAGCCTAGTCGAATTTTGGTCAAATTGCGAGAGGAGGCACCTTGTATTTTGGTTTGTTTAGGGAAACATCGCGCTCTAACGTTCTGACGGCTGAGGGGGAAGGCTGCGGCGAAATATCGCGCATCGACTTGACCGCGATGCCCGTCAGAAAGGGCTACACCCTCGTTCTCACACATCTCACCAGCGGGCGTCTGGCAGGCGAATTTTGTCTTATTAAAAATGTCTAAATGAACCATATTGAAACATCTTTAACCGCTCTCCACCATGTTGTTTCTTCCTTCAAGTTCCCCTAACTGAGGTCAGTCTAGCGAGAACGAGGGTGTACCTACCAGCTGTGGAGACAGAGCGAACGCGATCCGGAGGCTGTTGTGCCGTCTCCAGCGCAACCGTATTCAGTAGGTTCCCACAAACTCGAATTTGGGCCTGGTGTCAGCGACTTTGCACACCGAGGTTTTTGCAAATTGATTAGGTAAGGGTCAATGCTGCCATGAGAGGGCTAGAGGAGCAAGTTCGCAGAGCACGACGCTTATTCTCAAACAAAACTGGAGAGTGTTACAAGTTGGCTGGTTTGTGGTTCGTGACCCCAAGCTCGACTTTCACCGTAATGCATCCACAGTTGTTATCTCCAAAACCTACAGAACCAGATAACAAACCATCAGATAATAACCCATGCCAACATCTGCAACCCAGACCAGACTGACCAATGTCGAATTGATGATGATGCTTTGGTGTGCAACCTTGATCACCCTAAATGGTCTTGTGACTGCGCCCTGCTCCCAAACCTTCCCTGTCCCGAACCGAGCCAAGTCTCCAAACCAAAAACCCACTTTAAATGTTTGTTGCCTTGTTTTCTGTGACATGCGGTGTGGAGGAGGACCTGACGGCCAACGCAGGCACGGCCATGTGGTTGGGGGCTGCACAGTACGTGTACATGCAGGGGCAACTCCTTCAGACCCAGATACAGGATTCAGCAGACAGTTCCAAATGGGTCAGGGTGATTTCAGATACTGTATGCGTCGAGTTGCAGGAAGGCTTGACGAAAAATACAGTACAGTACCACTTGTTGGGAGAGGCGCGTCTAACTGATTCGCTTTTACTACAGGACTGTACCTAGACCATGTGTGAGGCACTCTCGACTTTTGACAAAAAGTGGCACCACATAAGCTTATGTAGGGTGCTGAAGGAATGAAGAGGGACGATGGCTGGTGTTTTGCTAAAACCGACTGCTGAAGTAATGAAGAGTTCATCCTCCACGCCATGCATTAAATTATGGGGCTAGGTGTGCCCGAGATTGCCCTACAAACATCCTTTATTTCCAGGGTAGTAATAACCGAGAGTATTTGCGATTGGAAGTTCCGGATCCAAGGCAAGCCAGATTCGCCAAAAGTGCCAACACTGTACTGCACTGTATCTGTGAGCAAAATATCTAAAAATATCAGAAATCGCGTCGTTGGAAGTAAACCGAACCAAATGGTTCGAAGCGCTGAAGCATGATACGGTTGGGGGTGGTTCTTTCAGTTTCTCCACTCTTCCCCATTCGCCCATTACCCAACCAATGCCCCCTCCCATCCCGTCCCATCCCGTCCCATCCCGTCCCATCCTTCACACAGCATCCTTGCCGATGGCATCATGCACTGTCTACCAGCTCATTCGCCCTTCCAGAACTGGCCTCCACCCTGCCTCTGATTGTGTAAACGTGTTGTTGCAAGTCTCGCTTGACTCAGTGCTTGACGAATTCCTGGATCCAGTGCTTAGTCGGTGCTATCCAGTGGCGCAGTAAGATCGCATCGATTTACCTTCGGCTGCCAACTTATTTTCCTCAGGTCCCCAGGGTTTAGTATCAGGCGCCCTTTTTTCCAAGATACTCTCACCCATGTAAGCACTCCCGCGGTCCCTGACGCAAGCCAGTTGATTCAAAAAGACCACTCCGGTCCGTCCCCTCCCACCATCCCGCCCTCTCGCCGCTCCCCAACTCCAGCATTAGGATATCCCCATGTTAGAAAATATTCGAATAATCCAATAATTTCTTTCGACCCTAGGAGTGCTAGCGCAGCTGCCATCAACCCCCAATCCCGAATGCTTCGTAGCCAAGTATCTATGGCTACCACCGTCAGCTGCACCGCCCGTCCCGAGCAGCCGCCCGTCTCCCTACACACCGCTCCCCTCTCCAACCTGTCCGGGTTACCACCAGCACTTCCCCATTTGCCATATTCGCCACATCATTCGGCAAATCACTCGCAACATTCGCGGCAATCGCCGTACCTCGTGTCTGAAGCAGTCGCGCCACAAGCCGCGCAGCTGCCGCCGCCACCACTCTCAACTCCCGCGGCGGCCCGAGGGTTGGCACTGCCGATGGTATCGCCCCCAATTATATCGGCCCCACTTATACCGCCCGCTGTTGCATTGGCGCCTCCGGTTCTATCGCCGCCAATTGCGCCGCCCGTACAGGCACCACTGCCGCTAACCGATAACCTATCAACCATCTTGAAGTTCTCCCAACAGTTCCCCCCTCCCGTCCCCCACATCCCCGCCATCCCCTCCGCCCCCGCTCCCACCAATGCCTGCGCGCGTCCCGCAGCAGCAGTTATGCGCCCGCTCCCCCCGTCGCTGCACCAGAGCCTCTGCAAGCGCGCCCTCGAAACGCGCCACTGCCAGTGGGACGCGCAAACGCCGTTCTTCCCGCCGCCCGCCCTCCCCTCGCCGACGCCCAGCCTCCCCTCGCTTCCCCCCTCACTTCCCCCCACGCTTCCCACCTCACTTCCCCTCGCACTTCCCCCCTCACTTCCCCACTCACTTCCCCCCTCACTTCCCCACTCACTTCCCCCCTCACTTCCCATCTCGCTCCCCGCACTCCCCGTGCCGTCCTCGCCGCTTCTCTCGACATCCCTTGCAGCGACATCTGCCGCGCTAATTTATGGCGATGGCGACAATAGCGCCGGCAATAGCGACGGCCATAACGGCGGTAATGGCGCGGGCCCGTCTACTATCACGGTCCCGAGCCCTGTCGTTATTTCATCGCTTTCCTCGCTGCCTCGACCTCTATCTCTCACTTCCGTTCCGTCGCAATACGCGTCGCAGCTTTCGCAGCCGTCGCGGCCGTCGTCGGCGTCGTCGTCGCCCGAGCTGTCGCAGCTCGTGCCGCGCTCGCCGTTGCTGTCGGCGCCCGAGTCGCACTCCATCCAGTCCATGCACGCGCACTGTGCGACTGTGCCGCAGTCGCCAGCGTCGTTGCCGGATAGTTTGTCGCAGAGCCCTCAGCAGCAACAGCAGCAGCAGCGTCGGCATCAACAACAACAGAAGCAACAACTGGGGCGACATTATCGTAGCCCGTCCGAGGCGGCGCTTGCGCGGCACGGAGACCACGAGTTATTCGTCGCTGCGCGCGTCGACTCGACAGGGCTCGTCGCTGCGCGCGTCGAGTCAACAGGGCTGGTCGTTGCGGGCGAGAAGCGCGCATTTCCGCCCGCCTTCTTGACCGCCGCAGCGGGCCCCGCGGAGGTGGCGTCGCAAGTGGCGGTAGATGGAGGGTGAGTGGCGGAAGAGTGAGCGGGAGAGTGGCGGGAGAGTGGAGTGGGAGTGGAGGGTGGGGAACGGGCGGAGGAACAGTGTAAGAGTCTTCGACGTCTTTGGGGTGATAAATAAAAGTAGGAGCAATTAAACCCCTACCCCCCTCCCTCTCCATTTTTCCTCTCCCTCTCGCTCTCCCGCTTTTTCGCTCCCATACCCGTCTCTCCCCCCTTCTCCCCGCTTCCATTTGTCAGATTTCCCCAGCAGAAGCGATCTTGCCCGATTCTCCCGACCTCCCGCAACGGCGCCGCTTCTGCCGAGGAGCGCGGAGAGAGCCGCGCGCACCTCAAGGGGAAAGCCGCCTGCACGGGGGACGCGCAGCTTGCGGAGAACGACAGAGCAGCGCCATCGTCGTTCGGAGGAGCAGCTCCGTCCGCGGTAGCAGCAGCGTGGCTGGCACCCGCGGCTACTATTCCCCACCCTTCTTCTTTTGACAGCTCTCCAAAATACACGGCGATGGATACGCGCCCCTCCTTAAGCAGCGACGGCGGGAGAGGCATGGCGGGCCCTGCCGGCATGCCGGCCCTGCGAGATGCTGCTGCGAGCAAGCGAGAAGCCAGCGCAACAGACGGTCGTACTGCTGCTGCCGCCCTTGCCCATGCCCATCCATCTGGTGGTAGTTGCAGTGGCGGTGGCGATTGTGGCAAGGGGAGCAGCAGCAGCAGCAGCCAGCATTGTTGCACAGGCAGCGGCGGCGGCGGCGGCGGCGGCAGTGCCGACAGCAGCATCCTCCCGTGCGTCTCCACCCCTTTCTCCTCGCATCACCACGCCGCCATTCCCCGCACGCCCGCGCCCCTTATCCCCGCCATAAGCACCATAAGCGCAATGAGCGTTATGAGCGGAGGCGCTGAGACGTACAGCAGCAACGGCAGCAGCTGCGCTCATTCTATCCTTCCTGCTGCTGATTCTTCCCTTCCTGTCCTCCCTGTCCTCCCTATCCCTCCTTCCGCTCCGTCTACTCCGCCTCCCCCTTTCACTGCTTATGACCCGTCCTCCCCCGCTGCTGCTGCCACCCCCTCCGCCCCTCCCGCCAGCCACAGCATTAGCGGCTCCCAAACCGCCCTCCTTGCTGCGCCTGCGCCCACCTCGTTCCGCTCCCCTCCTCTCGCCCCGCGCGCCCCTCCACACCCCCCCGCTTCAACCTCCTCCTCTCCCCACGTTCTCGCCACTCCCCGCGCCTTCTCCTCTCCTCGCATCTTCTCCTCCTCTCCGCACCTCCTCGCCTCTCCGCCTCTCACCCCCTCCTCCTCCACCACACCACCCCCACACTCCCACCACGGTCTATCACCTCTCCACAGCCGAGCATTCCAGGCGAAACTCTCTGCTCCCCCCTCCGCCTTCTCCTCCCCCTTTTCCCCCGCCTTACCAGCGTATCCCCGCGCCCCGCCGCCGTCCCCTGCACAATCCTCCCCGCTAACACCACCACCAGCAGCAGGAACACCAGCCGCACCAGCACCACCACCACCAGCAGCAGCAGCAGGCAGCATGAGCAGTCCGCACAAGGCCCAAGTGCCAGGGAGTCCTGGGATGCCTCCTGCAGGGCTCAGGGCAGCCACCATCCTCTCCATTATGGGCGTAGACGGCGGCCGTTTGGGCGTGGACGGGGGCCGTTTGGGCGTGGACGGGGGCCGTTTGGGCGTGGACGGCTGCAGGGCTGAGGGCAGTGGCAGTGCGGATGGGCACTGGGGTCAGAGCACCATCCCCTCCTGCCCCCGCTCCGCGTCGGCTCCATTGCCTGCCTCCCATGCCGCTCTGCCCACCGCTCTGCTCTTTGCTGCTGACGCGAGAGCCATTGCTGCTGGTTCTGCTGCTGATGCTTCTGGTGGTGGTGCTGCTGCTGCTGCTGGTGCTGCCGTTGCTACTGCCGCTGGTGCTGGTGTGGCTGCTGCTGTTGGCGCCGCTGCTTTCCAACCCGTGCTCGTACCTCCTCCTCGCACAACCACGAGCCCTGTTTGTGCTTCGGCTGCATGTGGCGTCCCCAGTTGCTGCAGTCCCGCTGCTGCTGCTGCTGCTGCTGCTGGAGGGGGAAGCGCAGGATCAAGCTCTTCTAGCGCGCAGCACTTGCACCTGCAGGGGTCTGGTGTTGACGCGGCTCAGCAGCGTGTTGACTCGGCTCAGCAGCAGCGTGCATTGACGCTCGCGCTCACGCATGCGCACTCACAACAGCGCATGCATCCGCACATGCACCCAGACGTGCCACAGCACATGCACACGGACATTCATACGGGCATGCACGCACGCATGAACACACACACGGCACAGCATGTCCGCACTCAAACAGCAGTGGATGGCGGTACATACAGACCCGTGGACGAGCAGCGGGTGACAACACCCATGCTCCCACAGAAACATGCTCCCAGCCCCACTCAGCAAATCCAGAAGCTTGGAGCAGGCTTTCCAGCACCTGCCGAAGGCTCTTCGCCAGAAGCAGCAGGTTCGGCAGCAATAGCAGGGTCGGCAGTAGCTCCAGGGTCGGCAGAAGCAGCAGGGTCGGCAGCAATAACAGGCGCACGAGACAGTGTTGCTCAGAAGGAGAAGGCTCAGAGCCAGGAGATGCCGCTACAGCAGTGGCTGCTGCTGCAACAGCATCAGATTCAGCTGCAACTGCAGGAGCAGCAGCTTCAGAAAGAGCAGCTTCGGGAGCAGGAGAAGAAGCAGCAGCAACAACTGCAGATGCAGCAACTACAGCAACAGCAGCCACAGCAGCAGCAGGGGCAGCAGCAGCAGCAGCAGCAGCAACAGCACCAGCAACGGGGGCAACAACAGCAACAGACACAGCAACAGCAGCAACAGCAGGTGCAGCAGCAACCGCTGCAGAGCTGTGTCTCTCTTCAACCAGCAACACAAGGCATAATCAGCACCATGTGCTCTCCTCCCACAGTCCTGACCAGCACCACTCACCTTCCCACTGCTCCCACTCAAGCCCCAATTCTCCCCTCCATGCTTCCCGTCCCCTTCCCTGCAACCCCTGCCACCCCTGCAACCCCTGCAACCCCTGCAATCCCTGGAACCCCTGCCATCCCTGTCATACCTCCTAGTCCTCCCATCTCAGCCACCCCTCCTGTGACCCCACTTCCTGTATCTCCTCTCTCTTCAAGCCAAACTAGCACCTCTGCTGCACACAATGCACAGAGTATCGCACAACAGACTCCCATTCCCGCCCACAAGCCGGACCACAACCCATCCCCCATTCCTCCCCACGCTCCAGCATCCCCTTCTCTTCCCCACACACGCGCAGCGCACAGCAGCAGCAACCAAGCGCCAGCAAAAGCTGTCCCTTTCACGGCGTTCCTCCCCATGCCCCTTCGCACTGCAGCCGCCACGCTGCCGCTGCCCTCTGCCCGTGCCTACACCATCCCTGCACTCAAACCCATGCCTCCGGGCCTTCACCCCATCTCTCCTGGTGTGCGGCTCATTCCCTCTTCTCCGCTCCCTGCTCTGCCAGTGCGGTGGGGTGCGGCAGCAGCAGCAGCAGCAGCAGCAGCAGCAGCAGCAGCAGCAGCAGCACCTGTAGGCCGCAGCAGCAAGGCCGTGCCTCAGCAGAGGCCAAGGAGGCAGCAGCGGGGGAAGCCACCAGTGAAGGAGCAGCAGGCGGATGGGACGCCGCAGCTGCAGCAACAGCAGCAGCAGCAGCAGCGGCAGGAGCAGCAGCAGCAGCAGCAGCAGCGGCAGGAGCAGCAGCAGCAGCAGCAGCAGCAGCCGGGCAGTAGCAGGATCAACAGCGACAGGGCTGGGGTAGTAGGTGCAAGTGGTGAAGCGGCAAGCTCAGTGGGCCCGGGAGGGTGTGTGGCGACACAGCAAGTGGCAGCACTTGCGGCAGTTGCAGGGGGAGGAACGGCAGGGGGAGGAACGGCAGGGGGGAAACGTCAGGGGGAGGAACGGCAGGGGGAGGAACGGCAGGGGGGGAAACGGCAGGGGGAGGAACGGCAGGGGGGGAAACGTCAGGGGGAGGAACGGCAGGGGGAGGAACGGAAGGTGGAGGAACGGCAGGTGGAGGGACGGCAGGTGGAGGAACGGCAAGTGGAGGAACCGCAGGTGGAGGTACGGCAGGTGGAGGAACGGCAGGTGGAGCTGACTCCAAGCAAGCAGGCATGCAAGCAGGCGTCGAAGCACCTGCCTCTGTTCCATTCGCAGCCATAAGCGAGGGTCTCAGTGAGAGCAAGCGTGATGGGGCGGGTGGAACGGCCAGTGGTGCAGCAGGGGAAGGGCAGATGGGGGGTGTGAAAGCACACTCAGGAGGAATGGGTCAAGAAGATGAAGAGGCAGCTAAAGGGAAGATGGTGTGTCAGCAGCATCTGGGAGAGGGGCTGTCTGGGTTGCCGGCGCGGCAGGGCGGGGGAGGAGGAGAAGTTGGGGTGCGTGAACGTGGCGGCGATGGCTGTGAGAGAAGAAGGGAGCACTGTGAGGCAGGTCCTGAAGGGACCAGGTGTGCAGGAACCGTCGGCGAGGCAGGTGGTGGTGGTACCTGCAGAGCGGCGGCACGACGAGAGGAGGAGGATTTGAGGAGTGGCTGCGGAACGGCTGGACAGGGCTGCTCAAGTGGAGTTGGCTGCTCTTGTGGGGTTATCCACCGGGAAAGCGAGTCTAGCTGCAGGAGAGGAGGAAGCGAGGCTAGCTCTGCAGCAGCGGGGGATGACAGCAAGGGTAAGGCGGTAATCGAGGAGGGAGGAGCGTGTGTGCAGCGGCGAGAGGGCAAGCAAGAGGGTGGGCGAGTGGGAGAGAGAGAGGGTGAGCGAGAGAGGGAATACTACCACTATGACCGCAAGGGTCGAGTTGCGTGCGGGCCAGAGCGGGGCTTCCCAGAGAGCCTGAGTAGAGATGCTGCTGAGTGGTTCCGTAATGAGGGGTGGATGGTGGGGGAAATGGTGGGGATGGCCGTGCCAGGCATGGGAGAAGGGGAGGATTTGGCCTGTGTGGATGAACAGAAGAGAGTGTGGAACAGTAGGAGGGAGAAGCAAATGGAGGTGGGTGTGGAAGGATCGGAAGGTGCTTGTTCTCAACCTAACATGGCGGACGGGGTGGTAGATGGTGAGGATGGTGAGCACGGTGACGAGGATGGGGCGTTGCTGGGGTTGGATGGAGTAGGCGAGATAGAAGACTGTATGGAGAGTGTGGTGGAGCTATGGGGCGAGCTGAACGATGCTGATATCGCCAGCATCTGCTTGTGACGTCTGAGCTCACCATTGCTGGATATAATATCAGTATCATTACCCGCATAGCATGTATGGAGTTCTTTACTCGTAGAACATAATAATTTGGGCATGTGCCTGCCTGTGCATTGTGATAATTTAGAGCATTGGATTTGTTGGACCCCTCCAAACGCATCTTCTCCCTACCAATTTGGTGGGTTGAATTCTGAATGCAAACGCATTCTTGATAAAAAACATGGAGGGTCTAGTGTGGCTAGTGGTCGTGGTCCCACTCAAAACACCAGTAGAGTAGTAATCAGCCATGATGAACAGAAACAGAACAGACTCCTATGGTACCGTATGTCGTGTTCTACTCCTACAACTACGTGCTGCTGCAACATTATCAAATCTCATTTCCGGCTATTTAAGTAGCAAACGAGCTGTGAGCTCCATTTCAGGCGGCTGCTGCGCTCGCCCCGGTCATAGGTTCATCCGCGCAACAAGGTGTTTCACAGTGTCTCGACAGCAGCTCGTGCGTGAGGTGTGGACAACAAATGATGTGTTGAGCAGATGGGAGTGAGAGAGCGAGAGAGGGGATAGAGAAAAGGGGGAGCGAGAAGGGGAGTGCGAGGGATAGTGTGGGTGTGAGAAAGGGAAAGGGTGAGGGAGTGGGAAAGGGAGAGGGATTGGGGGAAGGGGGAAGGAGAGAGGAGCACATGGAGTGGCATATGAACAATGTGTGGATGAGGAGGTGGAGGAAGCACAGTGTCAGTGGCAAGTGTACAGAAAAGCTGGGTTGCTGCCATGTGCAATCATTGGATGTTGTCTAATGATTTACGCACGCATTGTCGCACTCTCCTGTTGAAACAGTCACAGGGGGTGGAGCACAGAGATCAGTTTTACTCCACAAGGTTGTGATACAAGATAAAGGGTTGCAGGAAGGCATGGCAAAGGAAAGAGAAGAAAGAATAAAAACGTAGCAGTGAGGGGTGGAAAGGGGAAGGGGATGGGTAGCGGGATGGGGAGGGGTTTGGGGGGGAGGACGGGAAGAGTGCAGCGAGAAGGGATGTAAGGGGAGAATGGAGGCGTACCAAGTACAGACATAATGTGAAAATAGGCACATAGTACGGCACCTGTTGTAAGCCTGAAGGTCGGAGGAGAAAAGTTGTGCTGCTTCGGGATTGGCTGGACTAGAAGGGTTGGGGTCAGTCAAAAGTGACTGTAGAGAGCGTGGTGACAAAAGAGAAAGGGGGAAGGGGAACATGTGGAAAGAGAGAAGCACACAGAAATAGCGGATCAAGCACAGCAGGCGCAACAGAAATGAAGCATAGTAGCTTTTAGTGCAAGCAAAATCGAACCATGCAGGAAGGAGGCTCATATTGCAGACGAATGACTTGAAGCAAGACGAGAACGGAAAGTAGAAGGGAAGGGAATGGGATATGGGAAGGGAAGGGAAAACGGAGGGGAATGGGATATGGGAAACGGGGAAGGGAAATCATAATACATAAGACGTATGGAGCAATTCCAAGCAATATACCCCTTCCCATACTCCCACACACCCTGCCACAGTCCTTTCAAACCCTGACGCCCCCCTCTTGCCCATACAGTCTCATCATCACATTCCACTATTCCAAGCAATATACCCCTTCCCATACTCCCACACACCCTGCCACAGTCCTTTCAAACCCTGACGCCCCCCTCTTGCCCATACAGTCTCATCATCACATTCCACTCTTCCCTTGCACGCCCTCTCCGGCACCGCATTGCATGCCACATGCGTGAGCTACCTGGATGGAGGTGAGGATGGTGCAGATGTTGTGGCACGGCGACCACGCGTCCTGAATGATGTCCATGCAGAGCGTGCCGTCGTTGTACACTGCATGCACGCATGCATGCACGCGTTTAAGAAACAAATCAGAAGAAGGAAGAAAGCAGAGACCAGCGGCGTGTGGGTTAGAACGTGAGGAGGCGCCTCAGTGAGTGGCTGACCACCCAGGCTTGCATGATGTCCATGCACGGTGTGCCATCGTTGTGCATTGCCTGGGGGCACCTCATGCATGGGAGAGTGGCGCATGGAGGAACGCGGGCACAGGAGAGTGACGGATAGGGCAGGGACCCAACGCATCAGTCGGGCGATGCATAAAAAATGGGAGACGCCATGGGGTTGAAGGGAGACAGAGGGGGGGAGGGAAAAAGCTAAGGAGCAAGACGGCGGGAAAGAGGGAGGCGGAGAGGAATAGGGAGCCAGAGAAGAGTGGGGGGGGGGGGGGAGGGCGGGAGAAGAGGGAGAGGGAGGGGGAGAGGAAGAGTGAGGCGAAGGGGAAAAAGAAAGGGCCTGGACTGACCGTTGGGGTGGAAGACCTCGGATGTGAAGCGCACACGCGGCGGCTTCTCTGGGTATTGCTCGCTGAATATCAGGCGCAAGGAGAAAATGCCGCCTGCGAGGTGCGGAAAGGAGAATTGAAAGACGGGAGGGGGGGATTGGGGGTGGGGGGGGGGGGGGGGGGGTGTCGGGGAAGAGCCGGGGGGAAGGGGGAGTAGCGGAGAGAGTAATAAGACACGCTGAGAAACCTTGGCAATCTAAAGACTTCAAAACTTTAAATTGGCTGGCCTCGACAAAAGGAAAACGAATGGACATTGATTCTTCTTAATAGCCACTCCAACCGCTTCCAATTAACTGTCGCGCGTGCTTGCTGCTCTAGCTAAACCCGCTTCAGCGCTACCCATCATCTCCCTTAAGCCTTAATCTACGGATGAGGTTGCTGCAATGCCTGCATGGCTCAGAGTAACAAAACGCATCATACTCCACTTTATTAACATTCTAAACCAAATTCCTCGCCTGCACGAAGCCCGCTACCTGCATATCTTGACTCGCTTGCGTCTCGTGCGAGCGTGCGCTGGGGTATGAGTTACCTTCCCAGGGTGACTCATCCGGGCCGAAGATGGTGGCGCTCCACACAAAGAGGTTCTCATCGCTCTGCGGACTCGCGCTGCACCCCTGCTCAAGATAAAGAAACCGACCACCACATACACATACATGGTATACAACACACCATGCGCCATACACACGCCAACACGAGGGGCCCATCAGACAACGCACACGACACCGCGAACTTTAGAATGTGTACCATGCGGAACAAAAAGTTCAGGAGATAACGACCAGGCAAGGGAACCGAGCGAGAAGCTGTTTTACAAACACAGGGTGAAAATTATGGTAATTTTCGGTACCTCGGGGGGTTCCTGCCGGATGGCCTTAAGGTCCGACATAAGTCGCAGCTGCGACGAGGACATCATGGCGACGTGACGAAGCCCGCGTGCTGCGCGCTGTGCGCTGCGCTGCGATGACGACGACGAGAGGAAGAGGAAAGGACGAGGACGAGGAAGGCGAAGGAGGCAGCCGAGACCGACGACAAGTTTCGAGGCGCCTCGAAAGACGAGTCAACGGGGGATGACGAGCTAACGCGGCGACGAGGGGACACGTGTCGGGAGGATGCGATACTACGGTTGAAGTGGTAATTGGCAAGGTAATCTCGAGAACGGATGCTTCGGTAACGACGCAGAGGAGAGTTCCGCCAACGACAAACTGACTACTAGCTGATAGACATGGATAACAATGGGCAAGAACGGGGATGACGGGTGATGGACACCGCAAAGTCGGACGCGCCCGAGTTGCCTCCCAGCTCCAACTAAAACCCGTACGCAACTGGCAATTAGCGTAACGCGTGGAAGACAAGGCAAGTGTTTGTACAAGATTACGGTAGAACAAAACGACCAACCATCCTTCCACGTGTTTTGTCCATGAATGTCCCTTCTGCGAACCCCATGGTATGGCTTCTGGAAAGGTCATCAATAAACGCAGAGCTACAAATGGGCGAGCTAGGGTGACGCACGTTATCTAACATTTCGTTGCGTTCCAATGCGGTGTGTATTTTGGAGGTGGGATGCATGGAAGAATCCCAGGGAAAGGGGAGAAAGGGAGCGGTGGATGGGGTAGTGGTTGGAAAGGGACGCGTGTGCGCGGCGGTCCCTGGGGAACTGAGGCCATGTGGGGGTTTTGGTTGAAGGGGGGTGACGGTGAACGAGCCAGCCCGGCGTAAGAAAACAAGTCGGTTGGGTAGGGTACAGCACGAGGTTCCGCGTGGATGGATGGGTGGTGTGGAACGAAATGAGGGCAGCGGCGGCGGTTTGTGGTTCGGGAGCACCTCGAACCTACAATTTGGTTGGGTCACGAGCCCCAGCTGTACAGCAGGTTCGAACGCTGGAAAAAGCAGGCAGGGAACTTATTACATGCGTTGTAAGCTGTTCCGTGAACTCCTCAGGTATTCATCGCACTAGGTAAGTGTGCCTTATCTAAAACAGGTTAACATTTGTCTATCTGTCATACAATAATCTAGCATGGAAATGGTTCGTTCATGAAGCCCTTCCACACGAGACAGCACCAGCCGCGGCAACACAAGCACTATCCCACGACTCTAATCACTGCCCAGTTCTTCGCACATCCATGCGTCTCCTCCTCGACACGACAGCTTTTCCACAAGTCCCTTCCGTAGCACTCTCGCTCTCGAGTTAGTCCTGCTCGCAAAGTCCGTCGCTTGGTGTCGTACAGCCACTTCCCTCACATCTCGCGTCGCAGCTTCACGATGGCTCGGCCGAGCGTGCCGGGCGCGGAGTCAGCTCCGACAGAGGACAAGTGGTACCCACTCGTTCTCGGGGACTCCTTTCGCCCCAACGCACCCGTCCAATACTACACGCTCCGATGTGCGTTCGCGCATGCGCTTATAACGGGGATCGGGGATGCAATTCGAACTGTGTACCTAGTGGGTGGAATTCGTGTGTCGGAGACGATAGTCGAGGTAAAAAAGGAAGGGAGCGGAAGCTCTCCGACCCTTTCCGCCAAACCAACCTCTTCCTCTCGCCCCCCTCCCGTTCCTCTCGCCCACCTCCCGTTCCTCTCGCCCCCCTCCCGTTCCTCTCGCCCCCTTCCCGTTCCCCTCGCCACCGTCCCCTTCCCCTTTCCCTTTCCGCGCAGACGAGTTCAAACCCGCATCCATCGATTCCGCGCGCCCAGGCACGCTGCGGCGGGGCGGGGAGAGCCGCGGGGAGAGCAAGGTGGGCGTGGAGCTTCCGAACAACCAGCCGGGGAAGCCGCCAGTGGAATTCGAAGGCCACGTGGACCCGTGTCGCGACCAGGAGGGGCTTGTCCTTTTCGACGGGCGCTCCTTCCGCCTGGAGCGCCTGCACTACGCTGTGCGCAACCTGCGCCACATCCGCCTTGCCAAGGAGAAGCCTGCAGGGACCGCGGGCACTGTGGGCGCGGACGCGGGGGGAGCCGGGGGGGTGGCGGGTGGTGGAGCAGGGGGCGCGGGAGGGGGAGATAAGGGAGGCGCGGCGGGCGCGGGTTTTGGAAGCGGAGGAGGAGGGGGAGGTGGAGGAGGGTGGAATTTGAATTTGGACGAGGGGAAGGGGTTTGGAGGCGCAGGGGTTGGGCATGGGAGCAGGGAGGGGGATGTGGGCGCTTCTCCTGGTGGTGCTGGGAGGGGAGAGACTGGTGGCGCAGGGCAAGCAGGGAAGAAGTCACGAGGTAACACTCTCGTCTCTTTTGCCTTATGCTTCCAGTGGCGCCCCTCTTGTAGTGTCAGTCAGCGGTATCTATGCACAAGGGTTTCCCGTGGCGCCTCTCTCTCCCCCACTTTCCCCCATTTTTCCCTTTGAATTCCTGCATTTTTCTCCTTCCCTGTCCGTACGGCTTCTTCCAGCTCCTTGCTCGTGCTCTCAACAAAATTCGGCCCCGCTCTGTCCTGTCCTGTCCTGTCCTGAGACGTCTCAAACGCCACTTCCTCCTGTCCCCGCTGCCTTGGCGTGTCTCATGCAGAGCGAGATGGGACAGCGGCAGCAGGAGCAGCAGCCAAGCGCAAAAAGGGCAACGCTGCAGCAGCAGCAGCGGCAGCAGCAGCAGCGGACACGGCGGCGGCAGGGAACGAGGCGAGCACCATGCCAGGCTCGTTATCTTCTGCAGTGGCTGCTGCTGCTGCTGCTGCTGCAGCTGCTCGGGAGAGCAAGGCACTGGCTGGTGGGGGAGCCGGTAGAGGAAGAGGTGTGGGCGAGGGGATAGGTGCATCAGGCGCTGCCAATGCTAGCAAGTCGAGAGATCACGGTGCAGGGATGGGCAGAGGTGCTGCTGGTGCTGCTGCTGCTGCTGCTGGTGGTGGTGGTGGTGGTGGAGGAGGAGGAGTAGGAGGGATGGGAGATGGAGCAGGACGGGCGAACACAGGTACTGGTTCTTTTGCTTCGTCTGGGTTAACTAGTAGGGATTCTTCCGGAGCGGGTTCCTCAAATTTCTACGCAAACAAAGCAGCGGGCGTTGAACAGATTGAGCTGGGGGTTGGTGGGGAGGAGGAGGAGGAGGAGGTGGAATACGAGGAGATTGAGGTGGAGGAGGAAGAGGAGCAGGCAGCAGGGGATGCAACTGCGTCTGGGGCTGGGACTGGGACTGTGACTGAGACTGGGACACCGTCGAAGCAGCAAGGGTCTGATGGGAGTAGTAGTTCCGCGAGTGGCAGTGGGAGTGGGAGTAGCAGTAGCAGCGGGAGTGGTAGCAGCAGCGGCAGCAGCAGCAGCAGTGGGAGTGGGTCTGATGACGACGATGATGATGATGAAGTGGGGAATGAGGAGTCTGCTAGCTCGGAGGATGATATCTGCTGAGCAGACAGGCGTGTGTGGGGGTTGGGAGCTGGGTGGGTGGGTGGATACGGTATCTGCAGTGCACTCTCTGCGCATTGCTGTTTCCTGTGCTCTGTCGGCCCATGGTTGGGTTGCCGATCGCCGGTTGTGGCCACCGTTTTGGGTTTTGCAGTGGGAGAGTTCGGCGACGGCATCATGTGTTGTGTTGCCTCTTGGGAATAGGGGTGCCGTGCTCCTGCTCCTTCACTCAAGTGCGCCCAGTGACCAGCATCTAGGTTTTGAGGTGCTGCACTGCAACGCAATGGATGGACAAGTCTGCTCAGGGGTAGGCTGTGTTGGCCTCTCATTCATTTCTCGTTGTCCAGCAGCACCACAGATTGTTTTACTGGTAAAATAAAAGGCATATTATGTTGTCTCAATTAGAGGCACAGCTTCTGGTGGGGGAGTATTGTTAGTGGCATGCAGTGAGTGAGTGAGGTCTTGTGCACCGTGCACATCACATGCTATACATTGTAACAACTGAAAGGTAACTCATGCCAATTCCACAGCAGCAACACCCGAAGACATCTAGTCACACACTAGCACAAAACCCACACCCAAAACATGTGGTTCACACAGATGGTTCTGCTACGGCTGGTTGGGTGGAACGGTCTTGCTAGCATCGATCAGGTTTCCCTGAACGCCCTTGCCATTGCTGCCAGATTTGGGTTTGGAGGAGAGGCTGCTGTGTAGGTATGGCACGAGGGGCCTGGGAGCTCGGGTTATGCGGTCAAAAGATCTCATGCACACATAGCCTGGTGCGGTGAGGTGGATGGGATGGGAGGAGGGAGAGAAAAGGAGGGGGAGGGGGGGGGGGGGAGGAGAGAGGAGAGCAGAGAGAGGGGAGAAGAGAGGAGAGAGGAGAGAAGAACAAGGATGGAATGAGAGGGTTTGGTGGTAAGATTTTCGAAAGGGATGGAGAGGGTGCTGTATATGAAGTATATGGTTTTTGTTCAAGGTAGTGAGAGAGAGCGAGTGATTCACATTCAACCCGCGATGTATCGAATAACAGCGCTGTGCTCTGCTGCAGGGCATACCTCGCCAAAAGACTGACTGGACCTGCAGCGTTGTGAGGCCTGAGAAAGCAGCGAGGAGAGGAAGCACAGAAGGAAAAATGAGTTGCCACAAGTATTTGAAACAGAGAAGCAGGTGGTGTAGGTTGGACAGGTGGGACAGGCGGGGCAGGTTGGGCAGGTGGGACAGGTGGTGTAGGTTGGACAGGTGGAACAGGCGCAACAGGTGCAACAGATGCAGCAGGAGAATTAGGTTTCACATAACGGGAATCGGTGAACCATGAAGGTGTTCTGTGTAAGGGCAATTGGTGACGAATAGAAGGTGGTAGACCTAAAAAAGTGCTGCATGGTGGTGAGAAGGGTACCTCGGAAGATGGAGGGGATGGAGGTGCCACAGAGCACGAAGCGGCGGGGGAGGCGCCAGAGGAGGGAGCGCGGGACAGCAAGAGGCTGCTTGCTGGTGGCGGCATCTGCAAACACCTGCAGTGGCAAAAAATAGGGGAAAAGAGAAGAAACAGCACAATATAAACGAGATAGGCAGGCAGGCCAGTATTGAGAATTCTCTGAAGGCGAGCATGGTTGCTAAGGGACGTACCGCATGAACAGCTCCGTTGTTCCATGTGTGGTACTCACATGCTCGCCTTCAGAGAATTCTCCATGTGTGGTTGCTAAGGGACGTACCGCATGAACAGCTCCATGTGTGGTACTCACGACCTCGCAACTTCAGAGCCGACTCAAAAGTCACCTCGTTGTGTGGTACTCACCTCGTTGTTCTGAAAGTACGTGCCGTTCAGGGGGAAGCTTCCACGCATTGCCGTGCGGCATGGAATCTGACGGCAGCCCGGTCGGTAGGTGGATAAGTGAGCGGGCAGGGCGGGCGAACAGTCAGCGTGTGGGAGAAGAGTTAGGGGGTGAGGAGCGAGAGAGAGGCGTGAGGGATATTTGAATGAAACAGGGGAGGAGGAGTGAGAACAGGGTGGAAGAGGAATGAACCAGACGCAAGATATAGAGAAGGAAGAGGGAGAGACGGGGTGTGAAGAGATAGGGAGCACGAGCAAAGGGGAGGCCAGGCAGACAGTCAAACCCAGAGTGGAGACATGCCCCTGGAATCACCGAATTCGATGCACGCATTTGAACACAATTTTGTGAAAACTTTTGAAAGTGATACAAGCATAGCCAACCCACCAGCAGCGTCCCCGGCACTGTTTGCTCTTGCTCCAACGGTAGCCGTTGGTGTACCGCCACCACCACCACCAGCTCCACCACCGGCAGCGCTGCCAACACCAAAACCATCACCAACACCAACACCACTAGCAACACCGTTCCCACAGCTTTGCCCCGCAGTCGTCCCACTCCCCACGCCCTTCCACGCTGCTGCACCGTCACCCTCGTCATCTGTCCCCTGCCTTGCATTCCCGCCAAGCACCCCCCCTGCGTCTTCATCCTCTACCTCCTCCACCAACACCACATCCCCACGCCCCCCTCCCTCCACATACTCCTCCACAGTGACCTTCCCAGCACATCCCCCCAATCCCCCCCCCTCGCCTGCTGCTGCCCCTTCTGCTGCTGCCGCTGCTGCTGCTCCTCCTCCTACTAGCACATCTGTCTCAGTCACCTCTTCAATAACGACTTGCTGGAGCTCTGCTTGCCCAGGCCCGGCCGGTCTGTCCCTGCTTTGTCCCACTGGATCACTCTGCCCTTTCCCTGCCATCCCCGTCGCCCCTCCAGGCCCCTCGGCCGCTGTAGCCCTTCTCTCTTGTGCCGCCCACCGCTGCTGCTGCTGCTGCTGCTGCTGCTGCTGCTGCTGCTGCTGCTTCTTCTCTGCCCCCTGCTGTGCTCCTGCTGCGTGCGTTCCCCTGTGCTGCTGCTGCTGCTGCTGCCGCCGCTGCTCCTCCTCCATCTGCCGGGCCATCTCTGGAAGCGTGGGCGTGACAGGCAGGGTCTCGCCTGGGAAGAGAAGGGGAGGTAGGGAGGCACGGAGGCACGGAGGCAGGGAGAGGAATGAGTAGGTGTTAATAAGCAGCACAGCACAAGGGATCTGGGAACAAAAAGGTTTTCTGATACTAAAAATCTAGAAGAGAGAGAAAAAAAAAGAGAAGATCAAGGAGGAACTACGGCCCCCAAAATATTCACAAAAAGCAAGCAGAATCGTGCCATCAGCATCTCAACGCGGAAAGTACAATCCTTTGTTCCCAGGGAGTCAAGAGAAACCGTGCCTTTCCTCAGTCAGCAGCATCGCAGTTACCTGGCCCCCAGAGAACAAGCAGGTATGGGCAGCGGTCCTCTGGGTGACGCGGCTCCAACTGTCACAGAGAGTGGGGTAGGGCGTGGGACACAGAGAGGGAGGAGACTTTTGAGTCGACTCAAAAGTCACCCAGAGAACAGCCTATGTTGTTTTAGAATTCTCAGAGAACAAGCAGGTGGGGCAGCGGTCCTCTGGGTGACGTGGCTCCAACTGCCACAGAGAGTAGGGTAGGGCGCGGGACAGAGGGAGGAAGGGGGAGAGAAGTGGGAGAGGCAAGAGGTGAGAGGTGAGAGGTGAGAGGCAAGAGGTGAGAGGTGAGAGGTGAGAGGTGAGAGGTGAGAGGTGAGAGGTGAGAGGTGAGAGGTGAGAGGTGAGAGGCGATGAGGGGAGAGCAGAGACGGGTAAGGCCAGAGGGGTGATGGAGATGGGAGATGGGAGATGGGAGATGGGAGATGGGAGATGGGAGATGGGAGATGGAATAGTAGGAGGGGAAAGCGGGGTGAGAGAAGTGGGGGAAGGACGTGAGCGGAGGGGTAGTGAGCAGGCAGAGAGAGCAGTGGCAGGAAGTGGTAAGTGACGCCACGAGTAGGATTGAAAAGTGGGTGGTTGAAGAAAAAGAGAGGAGGAAGCGGATGGCGAACGTGCGATGAATGAATGAAGCATACCTGGGGCTTGGGGAAACGGAGGGATCACTTTTGAGAATTCTCAAGAGAGGAGGAAGGGGAGGGCGAACGTGCGATGGGTGAATGAAGCACACTTGGGGCTTGGGGAGACAGCAGGATGAGTTTAAGGGAGGGAGTGCGCGGGTGGGTGGTACCATGGTATATTGTGTAAGTAAGCGCCATAATAGCATGCCATACCATAGCACGAGATGCTCACCGATTGCAGCAGGGGTGAATCGTCCGGCAGCTCGTACCTGCAAGCAGCATTGAGGTGCATGGTGCATGGTGCATGATGCATGGTGCATGATGCATGGTGCGTGGACAACAAAGGATCATAAAAATGAATCATCTGCAGGTACCAACCACACTGCCATTCTTGAACTTTTGAGAGCTCTCTAACGCCAATCTAGGTCAATCAATCCACGTCACTCTAGGCACACTCGGCTGACTGGCGGCACTGAGAGCACGGCAAGCGTGGGGGGGCAGTGCAGTGCAGTGCAGTGCAGTGCAGTGCAGTGCAGTGCAGTGCAGTGCAGTGCAGTGCAGTGCAGTGCAGTGCAGTGCAGTGCAGTGCAGTGCAGTGCAGTGCAGTGCAGTGCAGTGCAGTGCAGTGCAGTGCAGTGCAGTGCAGTGCAGTGCAGTGCAGTGCAGTGCAGTGCAGTGCAGTGCAGTGCAGTGCAGTGCAGTGCAGTGCAGTGCAGTGCAGTGCAGTGCAGTGCAGTGCAGTGCAGTGCAGTGCAGTGCAGTGCAGTGCAGTGCAGTGCAGTGCAGTGCAGTGCAGTGCAGTGCAGTGCAGGGCAGGGCAGTGCAGTGCAGTGCAGGGCAGGAAATGCAGTGCAGTGCAGTGCAGTGCAGTGCAGTGCAGTGCAGTGCAGTGCAGTGCAGTGCAGTGCAGTGCAGTGCAGTGCAGGGCAGTGCAGTGCAGTGCAGGGCAGGGCAGGAAATGCAGTGCAGTGCAGTGCAGTGCAGTGCAGGGCAGGGCAGGGCAGGAAATGCAGTGCAGTGCAGTGCAGTGCAGTGCAGTGCAGTGCAGTGCAGTGCAGTGCAGTGCAGTGCAGTGCAGTGCAGTGCAGTGCAGTGCAGTGCAGTGCAGTGCAGTGCAGTGCAGTGCAGTGCAGTGCAGTGCAGTGCAGTGCAGTGCAGTGCAGTGCAGTGCAGTGCAGTGCAGTGCAGTGCAGTGCAGTGCAGTGCAGTGCAGTGCAGTGCAGTGCAGTGCAGTGCAGTGCAGTGCAGTGCAGTGCAGTGCAGTGCAGTGCAGTGCAGTGCAGTGCAGTGCAGTGCAGTGCAGTGCAGTGCAGTGCAGTGCAGTGCAGTGCAGTGCAGTGCAGTGCGTGGCTTGCGCACGGAGCAATTGGAAGCTTGGGGAAAGACAGCGGATGGTGCATGGCATGGGGGCTCACACGTAGTGCACGGTGCGCAGGCGCTGAGCGGCCTTGAGAGGCGGAGGACGCATGCACGCTGCCACGTCCTCTGGTATCAGCACCACCGCCCTGCTCCTGTCCTCCTCCCCATCCCCATCCCCATCCCCATCCCCATCCCCATCTCCACCGCAGGATGTTTCTCGCCCAGTGTCATTCACACCATCATGCACACCAGTGCTACGATCAGCAACATCACCTCTATCACGACCCGAACGACCATCACCACGCCGCCCCTCCCCGCCTACCCTCATCCCATCCCCCACAAACACCATCCCGCCTCGCGCCCCATCACCTGCACTTCCCACCTCCCCTCCACCCCTGCCCGGAACCCTCACAAAACCTCGCTTGCCTCCTCCTGGCCCGCCAAGCTCATCCACCACAGGCATATCTTGGGACGACGACTGGCTCTTTGTGTTCCCATAAGGAGTTTCTTCAGGAATTTCCTTGTGTTCTGAAACAGGGCTGCCTGGTTCCTCCACCACAGGCACCGCAGTGGACATCACCCACTCGCGCGAATCCAACTCCTGTGCGTGACTCAGCCCCCCACATCCCTCCCTTGCAGCCCATTTCCGGCCGTTGAGCTTGACACCTGCAGCGCCCGCACCCTCTCTCTCAGTCTGTTTCTGAGGCGTCTCAAAACCCTCGGACCTGACAGCTCCTGCATCCCCACCCTGATTCTCAGCAAACACTCTGAAGCTGTTCTCTCCAAATCCTTGCTCCCTTGCTCCTCTCCCCGTCTCTCCACCAGACCGGCTGTTTGCATGGTTACTTTTGGGAAATGCTCCATCAGCACGAAAGAAGGGGTCATCATTCCCCTGCTCTGCCCCTGAACCTGCTCCTGTTGCTGCTTTTGACAGTACCTCAGCCTGACCATGTGCCGAAGGCTGTGGCGTTGGTGTTAGTGCTGGCAAACGAGGTGTTCGCGCGAGCGCTTGTGGTGTTAATGCGTGTGCCTGGGGCATTAGTGGATGCGCCTGGGGGGGTGTTAGTGCATGCGCCGGTGTTGCCATCTGTATCTGCATTGGCATCGGCATTTGTGTCGGCATCTGCACTGGAGTTGGCATCTGCACTTCCATTTGCATCGGCATTTGCATCAGCATCTGCATCTGATCCTGTGGCATCAGCACCATATTCTCCCAAGCACCCTCCACCGTGCTTGTGAGACCCTGCCTGCCTCCCTCACCACGCCCAGCCACTTCCCTTCCTACGGCCTTTCTAGGCACCAACTGGGCAGGCGATACTCGAGGAGAGTTATCCGGCTTCTTTAATGCTATTGCTGGAGCTGGAATGACATGCGCTGCTGAAGGCTCAGCTAGAAAGAAACGCGTTGCTGCTGCTGGTGCTGCTGCTGCTGGTGGTGCTGCTGATGGTGCTGATAGCGATGCTGATGCCTGTGCACCCAGTGCCAATGCTGTTGAACCCCCACCAGATGTTCCTGCTGCAACTGCTGCTTCGGAATGCCAGGCACCGCATGCTACTTGCCTGTGCTGTCCCTGCTGCTGTTGCTGTTGCTGCTGCTGCTGCTGCTGGTGCTGCTGCTGTTGTTGCAAGCGCTGTGAATTAAGCAGCTGCGTCATACTTCTGAACTTCCTCACAGCGTTGCTTCCACTCCTGCTTCCCAATGCACCCCAACCATGCTCACTCACCGTTGCTGCTGCGGCTGCTCTGGCAGCAGCAGCGGAAGCAGCAGCAGTGGGTGATGCCCCTTCAGCCCTCGAACCCCCACCACTTCCAACCACCAAGACGCCATCAGCATTCTTGGCGGTTGGTGAGGCTCCATTGCCCCTCGCCATCCCATTGCCGTTCATCCCCTGGCTGTTGCCTCCTCTTGCTGCTTCCTTCCCAGCCTGTGGTGTTGGCTGCTTCCCCCCACCTCCACTGTTGCTAGTGTTGGTGTTGGTGTTGCCTTGAGGCGCTGATGCCAGAAGTGGGCGGTTGCTGGGAGGATGGGAGGGGCCACGAGAGAAGGGAACGCGTTGTGGTGTTTGGAATTGATTGCTGATGCGCGTGTAGGGAAGTAGAGGGCCGGAAGAAGGAGGGCAAGAGGTCATAGCTGGATCTGAAGGCGAGAGAGCGGAGCGGTGGGTGTGAGAGAAAGGACGGGCAGGTGGAAGGCAGGAGATCTGAAACAACTTAAACGAGGCTAGTTGGACGGGGCAAGGTGGGGGACAAGGTGGACGGGGCAAGGTGGGCGGGGCAAGGTGGGGGGGACAAGATGAAAGGGGCGCAATGGAAGGGCGTACGCATTGAGGGCGCTGTTGAAGTGCTGGCACTTGTCTTTCATGGGACACGCGATGCAGTTGGGGCTGCGCTTGGTGCAGTAAACCTTTCCAAAAGTGATCATGTGGTAGTGCAGCTCGTAGCTGCAGTTGGGAGGGACGGGACGGGATGGGACGGGACGGGCAATGGAGGCACGCAGAGGAAGAAGGAAAGCGTGCTGGTAGGTCTGTCGCTCAAATCGGAGAGGGAAAGATGACAGATTGCAGGAAGAAAGAGATACAGCAGGTGAGCAAAGCGAGTAGCGAGGTGCAGAGCAGTGCAGACTTCGGGGTGAGTGAAGAGTGACGTGTACAACAGATCACAAACAAGGCAGCCCAGGCCATGACATGCAGCAGCGCCATGACATGTCAATTCATGCCACAGGGTGTTTTTGAGAATTCTCAAAAACACCCTGCCAAGCCATGCCAGGCCTTGCCATTGCCACGCCAAGCCACACCCTCCAAGGCCATGCCACACGCTAAGTGCACTGAGTCACTGACAGCATCTCCTGCGTCATTCCACATAGCCGTGGCCACAGGTACCGCTGTAGGCTCTCCTGAACTGGGTACCTGGGGAAGGGTGGTAGGTGGGGGCAAGACCGAAGGAACAAAGGAGCTCACTCGCAGCAGTTTACAAAAAGGGAGCCTGGGATTCGTGAACAGAGATTAAGATTGACTAAGCTGGTGAGGGATTTGTGAACGTGGGCTAAGCTAGTGAAGAGAGCATGAGAGGTGATGGAGCATGAGAGGTGATGGAGCATGAGAGGTGATGGAGCATGTATCAGTGAGGCGATTGTGAGTGAGCCAGGGCTTGATGGTCAAAGCTCAGGAAATCAGAGTTCGGATCCAGCGGGTGGAGCCTCCAAACTTACTACTGTCCCTGAGGACCGCCAAACTTACTGCTCCAGCAGGTGAAGGTGCAGGTCGCGCGGCAGGGGCTCCAGGGGCACCCACCCCAGCCGCACACAGATGCGCCCCACGTTGGTGTCCACCTGGTGGTTTGGTTGTACAACGTTCAGTTCAGAAGTACAGGAGGAAAGAGCAAAGTTATGTAGCGGCAACTTGGTATTACCGCAGGCAAACACAAGTGTGCCCAACGTTGGTGTCCATCGTGGGGTTCGCATAGCATTGAGAGGGACAGTAGGGACGAACGAGGTTATTGAGGGACCTCACATAATAGCTAGCTAGTCGATAAGCTGACGAGCTCTGCAGCTAGCTAGGTAGCTCACAGGGAAGGCGAGGTGGCGCAAGCAGAGGAGGCGGATGCACTCCGTGCTCTTGAGCCCCATGCCCCGGATGCTCACTAGGAACTCCCTGCTCGCATGCATGGTGGCGACACACACGCACGCACACACACACACACACATACACACACACACACACACACACACACATGGGAAAGGAGGTAGACTAGGGGAGTCACTTCTGAGAATTCTCAAAAGTGCTCTTGAGCCCCATGCCCAGTATGCTCACTAGGAACTCCCTGCTCGCATTGCATGCATGGTGGCGACACACACGCGCATATGAAGGACGGTAGACCAGGGGTGAGAGAAAGGCAGGGGAGGTAGGCGGTAAAGGGTGGTGGTGGGTTGGGATGGGTCAGCATGAAATAGGGTGGGGGAAGCTACGGAGGTGCACTGTATCGACATATGGACGGGGGCAGGCGGGACGACGGAGTAAAGGGCAACAAGTGAAGGGAGGGTGAAGGAGCAGAGGGAGGGTGAAGGAGCGGAGGGGAAACGGCGGACTGACTGTGCGAGCCTGACAGGCAGTGCATGCAGCCACTCAAGACTGAGCGAGCCGTGCTGCATCTGTAGACGAGTCAGAAGAGCCTGATGAGGGGTGAAAAAAGAGGATGGGGCCCTCGAACATGGGTTATACATGTGATGACCAGCGGACAAGACTCGGTGTGCAGAAGCAATAGCATTTTGAAGGATGCATTGTGGTGGGTGGCACTGCGGAAAATTGAGAGGAAAATTAGCAGGAGACAGTTGGTGCCGGATTGTTGAGAGTCTTAGGAGAGTTCTTATGAGCCGAGCGTTGCCTACCTTGATTCGACCGGCCAGCATGGCAGACATGCCTCTATCCGCAATGATGCGAGCTAGTGTGACCACATCGGTCTGTGACACTGCATGCCAGTCCACACACTCCTGCACCTCCTTCCCTCCCACTGACGCCCCGCCACTCAGCCCAGTCACGGCAGCTCCCAGTAGGCTGCTGTCACTTGCAATGTGATATGTTGCCTGCTGTGGGAGATCTGTGCCGTCGCGATCACCCGTCGCGATCACCCATGTTTGTACCGCTCACCACCACCACCACCAGCAGCATCACCACCATCATCACCATCACCAGCATCCAGCATCACCAGCACCACCAGCACCAGCACCAGCACCAGCACCACAATCACAATCACCATCACCAGCAGCAGTGGCAGGGGCAGTAACAGAGAGGAAACTCGAACTTGCTTTTCCTGTGGCTTCCAGTCTTGCCCTAACCTCATCACCCCCGTCCAACCTCGTCGCATCACCACTTCCCTCCTCAACACTCCCCCCTTCAACCCCCCCTACCACTCTAACATCCATCTCCATTGCCACTCCTACCACTCCTCCCACACCTGTCACATCCCCTGCCTCTCCTGCTTCTCCTGCTTCTCCTGCTTCTCCTGCTTCTTCCACAACCAAGCATGCCTCCTTCTCACCCCCCACCACACCCTCCTCTCCCACCACACCCTCCTCTCCCACCACACCCTCCTCTCCCACCAACTCCACCACTTCAACCACGCGCACACACGGCACCTCCTCAAACCTCACCCCATACTCCTCCGCCTCCCTCCTCTCACTCTCCCTCCTCCTCTCCTCCCTTCTCATCCTCAACAGCACCTGCTGCCGCATCTCCTCCCACTCCCGCACCCGCTGCTCCTGCTGCTGCTGCTGCTGCAGCGCCCTTTTTTTCCCACCAGACACCTTGAACCCACCAGCCTTCTCCTCTCGCACTGCCCGGGCTGTGTACTCAAGCCCAGTCCATGTCCTACCCTTACTACCTTCTCTAACCCCTTCTTCCAGCACCCCTTGCTGTCCTTGCTGCTGCCCTCGGCTCACCGAGTCATCTTTGCCTTGTGTCAGCACTTCAACCAGTGGCTTCACCTTCGCTGCTGCATCCAACACAGGAGTGTTTGGAGGATTCTCAACAATCTCTGGTACCTCTTGCTGTCCTTGATTTACCAAGACTTCACCTTGTGCCAGCACTTCAACAAGTGTCTTCATTTTCACTGCTGCATCTGCAACGCCTCGTTCACCTTGCTGCCAACCGTCCCCCTCTGCCTTGCCCTCTTCTCCATCCTGTAACAGCGGCACACACTCCATCCCTCCTCCGCCCACCTGCTTCCCTCCACTGCCCTCCTCTCCACTTCCACTCTCCCTTTCCGCCCTCCGTCCACATCCCCCGTCTCCTCTCTCCTTCCCTGTTTCCTCCCCCTCCTTGCGCCCCTGCTCCCCAGCTCCTGCCCCACGAGCTGCTAACCTGGTTTCACCACCGCACAGCTGACTGGGAACCTTGTGATGCTGGTCGTCACAGTGAGGGGCCGGAGCACTGTCTTTCAGCGACAGATGTTCCACAGCAGAGCAAAGCGCAGACAGCAACCCCACATCCTTCCCTGCAGTCTCCTTTTCAATCCCTCCAGCATCCCCTCTCTCTTTCCCTATAGCACTACGTGTAGGGGCAGCTGTAGCACCAGGTGCAGAGGCAGCTGTAGCACCAGGTGCAGAGGCAGCTGTAGCACCAGGTGCAGAGGCAGCTGTAGCATCAGGTGCAGAGGCAGCTGTAGCACCAGGTGCAGAGGCAGCTATAGCACCAGGTGCAGAGGCAGCCCCTGCTGCATGCGGATTGCTGGGCGCTGCAGCAGCAGGCTGCTGAGATGGCGCCGGCGTAGCCCTGTTGTTGTCCCCACCCGGCCTCTTGGGGGGAAAGCGAGACGCCAAAAGCATGAAGGCCGAGCTGCCGGGGAGGGAAAGAGTGACACAAAATGCTGAAGAGGATGGGACGGCGGGATTCATGGGGGGTTGATTGATAAAGGCGAGGCGGAGGTAAGAAACACGGGTAAGAGAGAGATAGCTTGGAAGAAAGTCTGGTGACTTGGGGAATGAGTTTGGGTTGAGTTTGGGTGACGAATAGTTGCAGCACAGAGCAAAGTGGCACGTAGAGATAGGGATGGGGATGGAGACACATGGCTGGCTGCACCTGCTGGCATGGTCGCACCTGCTGGCATGGTCGCTGACGTTCTGAGTGAGGAACGCCCCTATCACTGAGTCCAGCACGGACCCTCCCCATGGACTGAACCGCCTGTCCCCTGAACGCACAGGCAAGAGAGACCGGCAAACGGGCATGAGTCATGCTCTCAAGCCAGGGTCTGATGCGAGTCAAAACTCACAAGCTCCCACTCACCATCCAACCAGCCAACATCTCCCCCATTTTCCTACCAAGCACATGCGATGGATAAACACATCCAGGTTTTTAGCAACCAATGAAACATTTCAACCAACCCTCCCACCCACCGTCCCACCATCCCACCCTCCCACCGTCCCACACCTTGCACGAAGCGCATGCGTCGAATGAATACATCCACATTCTCCCTCAGCTGCCGCTGTGCCTCGCTCCACTTGTCCCTCTCCGGCCCCTCCAGCGCCTCAGCCCACTCCAGCATGCCCACCGGCACTGCCTTGCTGCCCCCCTGCCCCTCTGTCTCCGAGTCAAACTGCACTCTGGGCCGTGTGTGTTTGTCGGGTTTGCCCTTGCTGGGTTTGGCCTTGCTTCCGGTAGGCTGCATGGGCAGGGTTGCACGCACTGCTAGCTGCATGCACGCAGGAGCAGCAGGGGACTGCTGCTGCTGCTGCTGCTGCTGCTTCTCTGGCTGTTGCTGCTGCCCTTGCTGCTGCTGCAGCTGCCTGGGGTTTTGATGCTTGGGGCGATGGTGTGTTGGGTGAGAGAGCTTGGACTTCTGGAGCTGGGGTGGCAGGAATAGAAGGAGGTGCTGCAGCAGGAGAAACAGTAGGAACACCAACAGCAGCAGCAGCAGCTGAAGGACCCACCTGCACACCTTGTCCTGGTGGCACTCCCACCTGACCCACCACCTGTAGTTGGCTTCCTGATTGCATCATCCCATCGCCCATGTGCCTCCCGTCCCGCATCCCAACCCTACCAATCACGGCACCAGCCACAGGAGCTGAGGATCTAACCTCTCTCCCAACTTCCACCTTCTCAACCACTCTCAACCTCTCTCCCACCCATGTCACATTGTCAGGCAATGTCATTGCCTTGCTGCCTGGGCCACTGACAGGCACTGTCGGCGCCTTGCTGCCATGTGCTGCTGCTGGTGCTGGTGCCAGGGGTGTCTGGACTGCATTAGTCACTGCTGCTGCTGTTGAATGAGGCAGCTGGGAGTGTGCTGCTAGTGCACCGGCAGCGAATCCTGCAGTGAACGAATGCAGGGTGAGGTGCGCGGGCAGATGCGACGGGAGGTGAGAAGGGAGGTGCGAAGGTAGGTTTGGGAGGAGCAGGTTTGAAAGGAAAGATTGAGCTGCTGAGGTAAGCACAAGGTTGTGTGAAGGCTCAGGCAGTGGCGATGGGAGCGGGGGAATGGAAATAAGGGGTAGCAATGAGGGAGCATGGCGATTGAAAGGAGGGCGAGGAGGAATAAGAGAGTTGAGCATGAGGGGAGGAGCTGGGGCGCGAGGGGCGTTCTGAGGAGCAATGGCAACGGGAGGAAGGCGTGACGGAAAAGAAAGAGGTGTTGAGGGGCCTTCAAGGGTGGAGGGGCCGTCAAAGGTCGGAAGTACTTCACTGCGTGGGTCAGTAAGCACAGGATTGACAGCAGGGGGAGGTGGAAGAGGAGGAAGAGGAGGAAGGCGAAGGGGGGACAGAGACGAAGGGAGTTGTGTAGGGTGCTGGAATGGGGTATTGTGGGTAGTTGGGGTGTGAGGGGCAACAGGACGTGCAACGTGCGGTGTGGGAGGGGAGAGGCAGTCACGCGAGGCGTTGGTAGTAGCGCAGGCAGCGGAACGGAGGGGTTGCGGGAGAGATGGGGTTTGTGGGATAGACGGAGGTTGTGGGATATGCTTTGATAGTGGCTTGTTGTACAGAAGCTTTTCAGTACAGGTGGAAGGGGAGGAGGAGAAGGAGAAGAGCTCCCGCCTTGGTGGAGGATGTAGAGAGGCGGCAGGGGAAGCAAATGGAGAGGACTGCATGGAATCTGAAGCAGAAGGGAACGGGGGAAGGGTTGGAGAATCAAGGGGCTGGTGGGCTAGTGGAGGGTTGCAACGGAGAGGAGGTGGATCAGGGTTAGGGATTGAAGGGGCAGGAGTCTGGTGCGCGGTATTTGAGTTTGAGAAAGAAGAAGAGTGAAGAGGGGCGGAGGCCTGAGAGGCAGCAACAGGATGATGGACAGCAGGAGAGGCAGCAGGAGAGGCAGCAGGAGAGGCGAGAGTGCAAGAGAGCAGAGGAGGTGGTGGCAAGGGAGAGAGATTGGCACGAGTGGGTGTCGCAGTGAGTGCGGGACGAAGAGCAAGGGTTGGTGTATGGTCTATACCATCTGCACATTGTGTACGATCTGATCTAGCTGTACAACCTATACCATCTGTACGATTCGCGCAAGTAGTGCGAGCACGAGCAGTGTGAGCAGTATGAGCAGTGTGAGCAGTATGAGCAGTGTGAGCAGTATGAGCAGTGTGAGCAGTATGAGCAGTGTGAGCAGTATGAGCAGTGTGAGCAGTATGAGCAGTGTGAGCAGTATGAGCAGTGTGAGCAGTATGAGCAGTGTGAGCAGTATGAGCAGTGTGAGCAGTATGAGCAGTGTGAGCAGTATGAGCAGTGTGAGCAGTATGAGCAGTGTGAGCAGTATGAGCAGTGTGAGCAGTATGAGCAGTGTGAGCAGTATGAGCAGTGTGAGCAGTATGAGCAGTGTGAGCAGTATGAGCAGTGTGAGCAGTATGAGCAGTGTGAGCAGTATGAGCAGTGTGAGCAGTATGAGCAGTGTGAGCAGTATGAGCAGTGTGAGCAGTATGAGCAGTGTGAGCAGTATGAGCAGTGTGAACAGAGCAAGCAGTGCTTTGCCGGACTATGGCAGCGGGGGGTGTAGAGGGCATGTGGGATGGGATCCGCAACAGGTTCGCAGGAATGCGGAGTGAGCCTTGCAATGATGCAAGGATTGGAGGATCATGCTGGGTGGTGAATGTGCTTGCTACACTCTCTTTCAACGCTGCCACGACTTGAGGCATCAGATAGTTCGAGACTATGGCTTGCTGCCACCCTGCTGCTGCTGCTGCTGCTGCTGCTGCTGCTGCTGCTGCTGCTGCTGCTGCTGCTGCTGCTGCTGCTGCTGCTGCTGCTGCTGCTGCTGCTGCTGCTGCTGCTGCTGCTGCTGCTGCTGCGACACTTGCTGCTGCTGAGCAGAGGCTTGTTGTTGTGAACGCTGCAGGCGCACGGGTGCAGAAGCGGGGAGTGGTGTGGGCGGATGCAGGGGTGGATGGAACGCATGGCCGTCCGTTGTTGCATCGCCAGCGGTAGCAGCAGCACCGGCAGCAACAGAAGCAGCAGCAGAAGCAGCAGCAGCGGCGGCGGCGGCAGCAGCAGCAGCAGCAGCCGCAGCAGCTGCGGCGGCGGTGGCAGCAGCAGCGGCAGCAGCAGTAGCAGCAGCAGCTGCTGCCACTCCTATATATCCTACTCCGCCACTGCATGCACCACCCCCCTTCACGCCCACACGCCCTGGACCATCCCCTGCATCCCCTCCTCCGCCCCCTCTCTCTTCACCCCCTGGTTCCCTTGCACCTAACTGGCCCTTCTTCCCTCTTCCACTTTTCTTCTTCCCATCAACCACCCCACCCGAGCCTCCCTTACCCTCCGTTCCACCACCCCCATTCTGCTTCTTCTTACCGTTCTTCACACTCCCGTTCCCAGCGTCACCCATTTTCTCCCAGCACTTCCTCCATCCGCTCCTCCTCTACCTCCCCCTGCACCTCCACCCCCCATCCCACCATCCCGCATCACTTTAGGCCGCGGGTGCCGCTTCCTCTTCAGCCTCCCTTTGCCTTCCTTCCCGTTACCATCGCCTCCCACGTCCTCCAAGTCCCCCCCACGCCCTTGAACACCAGATTTCCCCTTCTCGCCTCCCTTCCCCACTCCTCTTCCTCTTCCGCCTTCTTCTCCTCCCTTCGCCCCTTGTCGGTGTGATTTGTCCTTGTGAGATGCATGGGAGGAACCAAAGCCCTGCTGAGTCGACTTGCCGTTTCCATCAGCTGCTTCTGCCTCCTTGCCACCACTGCCATTCCCCAGTACCTCTTCTTCTCTGTTGCTCTCCTCCCCATCCTCGCTCTCCCCCTCCATCTCATCGTCTCCCTTCCCTTATCCTTCTTGCCCTCATCCTCCTCCTCGTCTTCCTCCCCCCCACGCGTTCTGCCCTGTTGTGACAGCCAACGTATGGCTAAAGGTACATTCTCCAAAGCATCCTCATCATTTAAATTGCAAATTCCCATACTTACTCCCACATCATCAGCACCAGCACTACCACCGGCATCCGCAGCAGCACCAGCAACAGCAGCAGCAGGAGCATGTGAGCTATTCACAGGGCACCCCCCTGTAACCGCATCACTGTTGTTCCACGTTGGGAGAGCTGACTTGGTGACGCAAGCAGCAGCAGAGGCCCAAGGGTTGGTGGTGGTACCGGCATTGGCAGTGGCAGCGGCAGCAGCGGTGCCAGTTGCAGGGGGGCAACGGTGGGAGAAGGGAAGAGAAGGTGACTGATCCTGAGGGGACGGAGATGGGTACCGATGACAGCGGGTGGGAGAGAGAAGCAAGACGTGCGAGTGGAGGAAGGGGAGAAGGAAGCGGCAGAGGGACGAGGAAGGAATGGTGGAGGAGGAGTAGCAGGGAAAGTGGGTGGGGAGAAAACAGTCCTCTGCTGGGTGGGCGTGGAGGGAAGGGGCGTGGAGAGCAGGGGCGTGGGGGTGTTGTTAAGAGGAGGAGAGCTGGCATGACGCTCTGCTGTGTGGAAGCGGGCAGCAGCAGGAGAAGCAGCAGGAGGGGGAGACAGCGGAGCAGGGGCAGGAGATGCATGCAGGAGGAGCAGGAGGAGCAGGAGGAGCAGGAGTTGCAGGAGTTGCAGGTGGAGAAGGAACAGGAGGAGCAGGAGCAGGAGGAGCAAGAGGAGGGTGGTGCATGGCTGAAGGGGAGGAAAGAACACGCATGCTGCCGTTGCAGCTGCCCAGCCCCTTGCTCCGCTCACTGCGCTTGCCTTTACGAGCATGGAGCCATGGGTCAGGTCCAGCGCTGTCTGCAGCAGACGGCGGTAGGTTCAGGTCCAACGAGCCTCTGCTGCTGCTGCTATGCGGCGAGATTGGGTGCGGTGCAGCTGGGCGAGGGAGTGGTGCAGATGGGCTTGAAAAGGGTGAAGGTGGGCGGGTATGCGGTGCTGATGGTTGCAGGAGGGGAGCCGAAGGTGGTGGATGGGAAGGAAGAAAGGGCATTAAAAGATTAGGAGATACGGGAGGCGTAGGAGAAATATGAGAAACAGGAGAGATAGGTGAGATAGGAGAAATTGGAGAAACAGACGGAGTATGCGGAGTAGGCGGAATGGAGGCGGCAAGGGGGGCGGCAAGGGGGGCGGCAGTAAGGAGAGAGTCGGGGCTAGTAGAAGGTGATGCAAGAGGTGATGATGCCGCAGGCAAGGGAGCGGAAGGAGGTGGCATGGCATGGGGTAAATGCGGGATGGCAGCTGGGCAGGTTGGGGGGGAGGAGGCGTGTGCATGGCCTTCCTGTGTCAAAGGTTCAGCGTCATCGTATCCATGCGCGAGTGCATGTGCATGTGCACGTGCATGTGCACATGCATTTGGGCTTGTCACAATGGGCTGGTCGGGATTCAGGCCAGCAGGAGCAGAACCAGTAGGTGAGGACACGACTAAATCTCCCAAACCCCTCGCATTCTGCCCCTCTTCTTGCCGTGACTCAACTCCTTCTCCCAGTCTTCCACCCACCTCCCTCGCTTCCACCGCCCTCACTTCCACCGCCCTCACTCCCGCCGCCCTCACTCCCGCCTCCCCACTCCTTTCGCGCCCCCCTCCCTCCAGGTCTGTTCCACAACGCAACAGGCCATCACCATGGTCGCCAGGACTGTCATCCCCTCCGTGCGAGCTAACCACTCCCATGCCACCTGTGTCATCCGTGACTATGGCAATGGCGATGCTATCGCCAGCAGCAGCTGTGCTGAAAGCAGCAGGGGCAGCAGGAGCAGGGGCAGCAGGAGGAGCAGCAGCAGGGGAAGCAGCAGGGGCAGCAGGAGAGGCAGCAGGGGCAGCAGCAGAGGCAGCAGGAGGGGCAGCAGGGGCAGCAGCAGAGGCAGCAGGAGGGGCAACAGGAGAAGCAGCACCAAGGGCAGCCGCAAGGGCAGCAGCAGAGGCAGAAGCAGCGTCAGCAGCAGCGGCAGCAGCAGGGGAAGCAGCAGGGGCAGGGATATGAACCATACCCTCGAATGTGTACGGATGAGTGGAAGCCACCGCGCCTACCGTCGTTAAGGTCACATAACCACCGGCATCAGCAGCCAACACTGCCTCCTCACACGCGCTCTTCCTCCTCTTCCGCACACTAGTCCCCCCCCATCTCAACACCCACTCAGCGATAGACTGGCACTCCGCCACAGCTGTCCCTGCCCCTGCGCCTGACCCTGCAGCTGCTGCTGCTGCTGCTGTTGCTGCTGTTGTTGCTGCTGCTGCTGCAACATGCACATGGCCCCCATCGTTCCTCGTCACTGTACTCTCACCCTCCTCGCCCTCCTTGCCACCCCACCTACCACATCCACTTCACACACTCTTTGACGCACTTCTTCTTCTCCCGTATCACTCCTTTCACCCATCAGTAATACCAGCGATCGCTTCCCTCGTCCACGCCATGCCCTGCCCTCTCCCCTTCCCCTTCCCTCTCCCCTTCCCCTTACCTCTCCCTCCCCTGCCCTCTCCCCTTCCCTTCCCTCCTCTCCCCTTCCCCTTCCCTTCCCTCTCTCCTTCCCCTGCCCTCTCCCTTCCTTCCCTCCTCCCCTTCCCCTTCCCTTCCCTCTCCCCTTCCCCTTCCCGCTCCCCTTCCCCTTCCCTCTCCCTTCCCCTTCCCTCTCCACTTCCACTTCCCCTTCCCTCTCCCTTCCCCTTCCCTCTCCCCTTCCACTTCCCTCTCCCATTCCCCTTCCCTCTCCCCTTCCCCCTCCCTCTCCCCTTCCCCTTCCCCTTCCCTCTCCCCTTCCCCTTCCCTCTCCCCTTCCCCCTCCCTCTCCCCTTCCCCTTCCCTCTCCCCTTCCCTTCCCTCTCCACTTCCACTTCCCCTTCCCTCTCCCCTTCCCCTTCCCTCTCCCCTCCCCCTTCCCTCTCCGCTTCCCCTTCCCTCTCCCATTCCCCTTCCCTCTCCCCTTCCCCTTCCCCCTCCCGTTCCCGTTCCCCCTCCCCTTCCACTTTCCGCTTCCCTTCCCCTTCCCCTTCCCCTTCCCTTCCCTTCCCTTCTGGAACCTTTTTCCCCCATTGTGTCTTCCTCCACACGCGTCGCGCCCAGCGTCAGCGCCACTCCGCCAAGCCCCACCCGGGTTCCCGCCAGTCCGCCGCGCTCCGCCCGCCACTGCACTCGTCCGACCTCCCGCAACCGCTGCGACTGACGGCCGGAAGAGGGTACGAGTGCCGACTCCCATGCTGCCACGTCGGATTCGGAATTCCCAAGGTGTTCCGGCTGGAGAAGAGGAGCCGAATTAATACTCACGGGAGTGCTAGGCGCAACTGGCGCAGCCTCGCGCCGTGCTTCGGTTTCTCCGCCTGAAAAAAAGGCTGCTCCTTCCATGTTCTGCCAGCTTTTGTACAGCCTTACGGTCTCATTCCGCGAAATTGCCGCAATGTCTCGACTGCATGACTCGTTCATACTCGCATATGATGCAGGAAGTATAGCTCGTGTCAGATTTTGCTGTCTGTCAGCAGTAGGCCAAGCTGCTGTCGCGTTTATCCGCTACGCAATGTGCTGAAATCCTGTGCGTAATTCGCGCCTATTGTTTCCTCTCAAATGCCCCACTCCTCATCCAACATTATTGACGTGGAAAGGGAAATTCGGCTTTTGCGGTGTCAGGGGTCAGGTGTGACGAATTCGCCAGCAGCCCTGTCACACACGTGCCCAGTGACAAAATATCATCCTCATCCAACTGACCTCCGCTACAAGCACATCCCGACTCTCCTCATCAGCCGGCATATAGTGTTCTAGCCTTGGAGCCCACAATTACTTATAAAGGGATAGACTGAAATTTCATGTTTCAGTTCACCTGTAGAATGTAATTTTAGTTAGAATTTTTTTATTTTTAATTATCAATAGAAAATTCTCTATAGAATATTATGACATAACAACAATGATCGGAGAAGAAAAATGGTAAGCGTATATTATAGCTGATGTCTCTTTATGGAATGTTTTCCAGCCGAGAGATTCCGTGCTACAAAAACCCATTACGACCTTGTTGGACCCCTGGTTTGCGAGAGCAGTGGATCTGCTTCCACAGTCGGTTCGGCAGGAGATGCCACCCCTTGCCTTGTGCACCGCTGATCCGCCTATGCTGCTCTTCCCCACACAACACCGTCGCCTGGCGGTTGAGAGCCTCCAATCTCTTCGAGGCATGGCCCACAACGATGCCACCCTGGCCCGTTTGACATCCCTTCAGGGCCCGGGGGCTGGGGCGTGGGTTTCTGCCGTTCCTTCGCACGAGGAGGCTACCTTCACCGCAGCCGAGTGGAGCATCTGCGCGTCCATGCGCCTAGGCCTCCCTATTCAGCAGCTGATAGTGGCCGGCAAGTGCGCGTGTGGGTTTGAGTTTGCTGATCCCTCTGACCCGCATCATGCCCTTCGCTGCAAGTATCAGTATGCACCTTCTCGGGTTCACGATGCGGTTAAATTTGTGGTGGCGAAGATAGCTAAGGGTGCGGGTGGGATTGTGACCATGGAAGACGACACGTTGCTCCCAGGGAAGAGGGTTGATGTGGCGGTTCGGAAACTGAGGGAGGGGGAGGAGCACGCGCTGGAGGTTAGTGTGGTAGATCCTATCTCGCTATCCGCGCAGCACCATGGACAGATTGGTCGCAAGGTGGGTTTTGCCGCGAGAGAGAGAGAAAAGCGGAAGACGGCGGACTACAAATCGCTTCTACAGCGGCATGGGGGAGTGCAGTTCACACCACTCATTGCTGAGACATGGGGATGCTTGGGGGGGAGTTTTGGACGGTGGCTTAAGAAGCAGGGTGACGCGCAGATCGAGATAGCAAAGACGAAAGGGGCGGCGCGAGCTACGGGAAAGGGTTTCTCGGCTTATTTGCTCGGATCGCTCAAAGCGGCTGTGGGTGTGGCTTTGCAACGGGCTCAGGCGCGTGTGATCTTGTTACGCGCGGCGTCGATGATGAGAGGCCCAGAGGCTGTTTGGGTGGAGCGGGAGGATGTTGAGGAGGAGATGGGATGGGATGCTCCGTGGGCGGATGCACCATACTTGGTAGACATGCGGGTTTAGGGAGTGGGTTTAGGGGGGGAGGTTTGGTTCGATGGGAGTGCAGTTGGGGTGCTTTGATGGGAGGGCTTGATGGTGTTTTAAATGTGTGTGCTATTGGGGTTTTCTTGGGGTTGTGTGTGCTGCTTTTTCTTCCTTCTTCCCTGTTTTTCTTCCTCCTATCATTTTTCCCCTATTCCCCTCCTTCTTTCTTCCTCTCTCCTTTTTTCTACTCACGTTATTCCTCCTTTTCTCCTCTCTTCCCGTTTCCACTCCTTTTCCTTGCGTAATTATGCTACATTGTAATATTTTAAAATATGAAAAAAAATGAATTACTTCCATACAAACATCAGGCAGTCATAATATGTTATGATTTCCACACTTTCAATCACATTCATCGTTCATCAACGTTCTCCTTGTCATTCGGAGATACTTGTCTCCTTGTCTCTGTGATGTGCGTATGGAGATGTTTGTGACGAGCAGTATGTATGGACACACCGTCATGGACCTCGGATCCATCCATTTCTAAACCGTAGCAACCATTCATTGGTTAGGGTTTGCTGCTTGTGTGCTCATTTCCATGGCTGCAGTCCATGCTTCTTCCAATTGCTGCCAGCACACCCGAAACAACGCCTCCAGCACAAGAACAGTGACCAGAGCAGAAACCGAGCAATCTTGTGTTGGACCCAACGTATTCCAGTTCTTCCCGTCAGCACTGTAGCCACGCCAGCAGCGGCGTCCGTTCCGCCTCCGTTCAGCAAAGCCACATTCTATGGAAAATGGCGTTCTTCGGCAATGCTAGACGTTGCGAGCCGCTGAGTCTCTCCATGTCTTCACACAGCATTTGATATACCGTACATTCCCAGAGCCGCATATGCTGGGGATTCTGCACGACCGTTACCCATTCGCTGTCCATGAGCTCTCTGACCGTTTCGATCCAGCCTTGGGCTGCCCGCGTGCAGTCTGCCACGCGAGCCACCGTTGAGTACTCAAAGCTGAGAGCGCACGTCGGTCCATACTCCCTGCTCCATACTCCCTTCTCCCGGTCCCCTTCTCGAGCCAGCCGCAATGCTCGCCGAGATTCGCGGTGAGAGTGCGGTGGTCGGAAAGTCGTCTCCCGACCCGCCTCGGAAGGACAAGAGCAGCGGCGGCAAGGACAAGAGCAGCAGCGGCAAAGAGAAGAGCAGCAGCGGCAAAGAGAAGCATGGGAAGGAGAGGCGAAGAAGTCTGGATGGGGGGAAGAAGCACCACGGTAAAGGCAAAGGAACGTCGTCAGAACCTCTGTCGCAGCAGCAGCAGGAGCAGGAGCAGCATGGGTCGTCGCATGGGTCGTCGCATCGTGATCGCGAGGAAGGAGAGGGCACGGACGCGACGTTTCGCAAGTGGTACAACAGTAAAAGCCGCAAGCTCGCGCTGCTGGTCTCGCATGACGGCAGCAGCGACCCTCACAAGCGCGCCGAGCCCGCTAATACCACTGCAGCTTCAGCTACTACTGGGACTGCGGCTATTAAGGCCACCACTCCTGAGCAACACGGCTCGCAATCCACGCAAGGCAATGACGCGCATCCGCATTCCCAGCATCACACGCCGCATCACACGCCGCGCACCGCCTCCCGCTTTCACGGGCTCTTCCGCAAGTCGTCCACCACCGACTTCCCACCCCCCGGCGCGCTCGACTCCCCTGGCGCAGCCGCGGACGGCGGAAAAACTCCCCCCGCCGCAGGCGCGAGCGCGGGCGATGTGACGCCGGAGCAAATGTTATCCCCCGCGATGCTCTCTCCGGTAGATGCGCACGCGCGAGGCGGGGTGGCAGCGGCGCTTAAAAAGGGCATGTGGAAATTCAACGCGCTTCGGCGCTCCGTCGGATCCCCCGCAGCGTCCGCTTCCGGAACGGGGGGTAGCGGTACCGGTAACAGCGGCGAGGTGTGTAACAGTGGCGAAGACACGGGGGTGGGTGCCGAGAGCAGCGACGCTAGGCCCTCCAAATCATCGTCGACACTAAAGTCCCCTGTGGGGAAGACGCGGAGCAGCGCAAGCAGATGCGCAGAAACTGCAGGTGGTACAACCACCACAACGGCAGCGACAGCGTCCGCAGCAACAGCAACAGTGCGACCGCAGACCGCAGACGCCGCTACTGCGAGCCCCAGGGGCTTCATGGGCGCATCGTTCTCCTTCTCCCTAGACAGGCGGAAGGAAGCCGCGAAGAAGACCACCCTGCTCCCGCGCACCCCTAGCCCCCTCGCCAGCCCTGTTAATTCAGGCGCGCCGGGCGGAAAGGTGCCGAGTGTATCGAGCGCGGAGGGCCCCGGGGCGGTCCCGGCGTCGTCCCCGCTGTCCACGCCCTCGCCGCTGCTGACTCCGCTGGGCGCGGAGGGCAGGGGCAGGCGGAAGTCGCTCCTGGACTGGGACCTCGTTTCCCCCACGGCCGCGGGGCTGCTCGGGGGAGCGTCGCGCATGTTCGGGCGGGAATCGCGCAAACAGCAGCAGCAGCAGGTGGGAGGGGGCGAGGGAGGAGGGAGTTCGGCGGGCGTTGTTGCGTGTGTGAGGCCGAACACCAGCAGCGGCAGGAGGGTGGCCCGTCGGAGCAGCACGGGAGGGAAGAAGGAGCTGAATAGGTCGCCTGGTGGTGGGGACAGCCCCGCTGGAGATGACGCAGGCGCAGGGAGAGGCGCGGGAGGTGGGGTGCCTGTGTCTGTATCCGATAGTACTCCGCATATGGTGCTGGGACGAGCAGTGGGTGCGTCTAGCTGGCTCAAACCACATGACACTGCTGCTGCTGCGACTGCTGCTGCTGGAACTGCTGCTACTGCTGCGACTGGTGTAGATTCTTCTTCTGGAGTAGCAGCAGAGGGTAGAGGAGATGGGGAGCAAGCAGGGGCGCGTGCTGCTGCTGAAAGTGCGGCGCCAGAGCAGCGCGGCATGCAGCAGCAGAATGAAGCGGGCGGCGAGGGGCAGGGGGGGTTACAGGTGGGCGTGGGGGAGGGAGGGCTGGGAGGAACCGACAGGGTGGATTCGGGCAGGACTATCAGCTGGGAGAGAGGCCTGGAAGGCGTCGGGTTGGGAACAGGCTCCTTTGGTGGCCTGGCTGCTGCCGGTGCAGGCGCAGCAGCAGCAGGGACAGCGTCTGCTGTCGCAGCTTCATTTCGCAGGGAGCGGCGACTGGGTCGCAGCAGGTCCCGAGCAGCAGCAAGTGGAGAGCTGCTAGCGCGAGCAGTGATGTCCCCTTCTCTCCTCGACTCTGATCCGCTGCTAGCCGTAGATGCTGCTCTGGCTTCCGTTGATGCCTCCTCCTCTGCCGCCTTCTGTGGCTCAGGAGAGTTTACCCTAGATCAGGTTCTTTCCCCGCTTACTGTCCCGAACACGCCCAGCGGCAGCATCCCCAACACGCCATCGTCAGCTATTCTCTTCTCTCCGCGTAGTGGTGCGCATGCGTGGGTCACGCCTTCCCCCCGCCCCGCGCGTAGTCCCAGGGGGTCTAGCGTGGAAGGGGCTGCGGCAGCAGCAGCAGCAGCAGCGGCGGCGGCAGGGGCGGTAGGGGGAGCAGGGGGGGCAGGGGGGAGTGTTGGGGCGCGCAGGCACCAGCGGCACCGCAGCAAGTCGCGGTCTGGCGCGGATTTGGCGGGAGTGCTGGCGTGGGGGGAGGGCGGAGGGGCAGGACTCTCGGCTCTGGGTGCTACGAGCCCGCGTGGTGGCAAGGGAGGGATGGTGGGCGGAGAGAAGGAGGGCGAGGGGAAGGAGAAGGGGGAGGGAACGGGGAAAGGTGGCGGAGGAGGGGATGGGAAGGCAGGAGGGGAGGGGAAGGCAGCAGAGCGGTCGCACTCGCACAGACGATCCAAGTCTCGCGTGCGACCAGACATGCTGCATATACCGCCCAAGCACCACGGCGAGGCGTGGGCGCAGGGAGGAGGGCCCAGAAGCGCGCCCAATGCCGCTGCCGCTGCCACAGCTGCTGCTCTCAGCGGTGCAGAAGCGAATGAGCGGCGGGAGCAGAGGCAGAGGAGGAGGGAGAGGAGCCGGTCCAGGGTGATGGTGGAGGAAGGGCAGGTTGGGCCTAGTAGCGTGGGTAGTGGATTTGGCAGTGGGGGTTCAGGGGTGGATGGGGCTGCGCATGGGTTGCCGCCCCTGTCTCCTCGCATCATCCCACACACCCCTGCTTCCTCCTCCTCCGCCGCCGCCGCTCTTGATGCTGCTGTTGCTGCGTTGCCGCCCCCTTCTGCTCCTAGTCTGCCCATGGCAGTAGTTGCAGAAGGTGAGGAGAAGGCGGAAAGCAGAGTGTCAGTGGAAACAGCGGCGGCGGCAGAGGTAGCAGGGGCAGCAGAAGCAGCAGGGGTAGCAGAAGCAGCAGGGGTAGCAGGGGTAGCAGCTGCAGGAGACGGTGATGCACCAACCCCCTTCTCCTTCCCCACCACCCCTCCTGCTGCCATCGCCCCTCCTCCGTTACCCGTGCCTGTTGCAGCAGCAGGTGCAGAGCGGTGTGTGAAGGCAGAGAGCGGTGACAGGGTAGTGGAGGAGGTGCAAGAGGGGCGTGAAGATGGTGTGAGGGAAACGATGGGGGAGGCGGGACTGGATATGAATGGGGATAGCCGTGGAGATGGGGAGGGGGAGGCAGGGGAGGAGGGAGGGAAGGGTATGGCATTGACGGAAGCGGGAGGGAATCCAGAGGGAGAAACGGGGCTGATAGGCGTGCCTGCAACGCTTGTGCAGGCTAACTTGGCGGCTGTGGAAGGGGCCGGCGCAGGGGCAGAGGCAGAGGCAGATGGAGGGGCAGTGGCAGGGGTAGAGGGAGGGGCAGAGGCAGACACAGGGTTAGGGGTGGATGCAGGAGTTTTTGCGGGCGAGAGGGAGGACGAAAAAGATGCTGCTGGGGACGAGAGCAGTGGTGCTAGTTTGCCTGCTGAAGCGGAGAGAGAAAGTGCTGCAGCAGCCACTTTCGCTGCTGAGAAGGACAGTGAAGATGAGGAAGCGGAAGGGGGGATGGGGAGGGCAAAGGGCGGGGCACGTAGGGTGGAGGAGGCGGGGAAGCAGGAGCAGGGTGAGAGCAGCAGCAAGGCGATAGAAGAGGATGGGGCAGGAGGAGGAGGAAGCAGAGGAATGGACGCTCTTGTGGATGGAGAGAGTGGTGAGGCGATGGTGAAGCGGATAGAGGGAGAGATGGAGATGGAGTTAGAAAAAGAGGGAGAGGTTGAGGCAGGCGTGGCGGCTGTGGTGACTGTAGAAAGCAGCATGCGTGGCGAGCATGATGGTGTTGTTGATGTCAATGATAGGGAGGTACCGAAGAGAGAAGTGGTGGGTGAAGAGCGAGAGGGAGGGAAAGGAGGGGAGGGAGGAAAGAAGGGGGTGGTGGAGGAGGCGCCGCAGGTGAGTGTTGGCGTGGAAGTTGGAATGGAGAGTGGTGAGGCGGGAGGAGAGAAGGATGAGGGTGATGGCGAGCCTACGAGCCCGCAAGTGCTGCTGCTGAGACAGGAGGGAATCAGAGGGCCTGCAAGGGATGTCGTGCAGGAGGAGGGAGAGGAGGGCGAGGAGGATGAAGAGATTTATGAGGACGAGTTAGAGGGTGAGTATGTTGATGGAGAGGAGTTGATTAGTGACAGTGAGGAAGAGCTTATGAGTGAGGATGGCGGGTCTGTGAGTGGCGATGCTGGGTTTGATTCCGAGTACAGTGAAGCCATGTATTCGGAAGGGGAGGCGGGGTATTCTACAGAGGGGGACGGAGAGGAGGTGGGACGTGAGGAGGGGAGTGACGAAGCAGGGCGGGTGAGGAGGAAGAGGGGAGGAGGGGTGGTGGCGAAGGGAGGAGGTGGGTTCAGAAGGCACGGGCACGGGCACGGGCATGGGCATGGGCATGGGCATGATATTACAGATGAGGACGAGGTTTGGAGTGAGGAGGTGGAGGTGGAGGAGGAGGAGGGTGAGATGTCTCCTGGTGCAAGCAGACACGCGCATGTGCATGGGAGGGGGCATGGGAGGAGTCATGGGGGGATGCATGGTCGGAAGCATGGGCACTCACACGCTGGCAAGGGGAGCAGGGGAGGGCATGCGGAGCGGAGGCGAAGGGGTGTGGTGGGGGGACGGGAAGGCGCGTCCAGGCGCATGTATGGCGACGACGAGCACTCAACGGAGGAGCAGGAAGAGGAGGAGGAATACATAGACACAGATGAAGTAAGCCCCCACAGCTACAGCCGCAGCCACAGTCACAGCCACAGCCATGACCATGAGGACCTAGACCTAGACCTAGAGCATGAGGAGCTGGATGGTGTAGGTGCAGGTGGTGTGGGTAATGACTATGACCATGACCATGACCATGACCATGACCATGACCATGACATACACGAGCCCATAGACGAGGACATGCCTCCAGAGCTGCTCTATGTGCGCACGCTCTCCATCATGCGCCGCCCAGAAATCGCCCACGCGCACGGGCATGGCCACGCGCACGGTGGTGCTCCTGCCGTGGCCGCAGCCCGCGCGCTCCACCGGGAGTTTGGACCCGTGGCGGCGGCGAGAAGGCGCGCGCAGCAGTGCAGAGACCATTGGTCGTGGCTGTTCATGCAGTATCTTGAGATGATGCTGCAGCGCCTGGCGGGGCAGGATGATGATGATGACGCTGTGTCGCTCATGCCCGGCGGTGCAGCCCCGCATGCGTTCAGTATGGATGATGAGGAGGAGGAGGATGAGTGTGTCGTGCCGTATGGAACGAGCCGCGGTGCAGGAGGTGGGGGAGGCGGTGGGGGAGGCGGCGGTTCATCTGCGTCGTCGTCCCGCGGCCGAGCAGGGCCGGTGTCTTCTCTGTCAGATCGGTCGTGGTCCGATGCGGCGCCTGTGTGTGTTACGCGCATCACGCACCGCCGCCGCAGCCGGCACTGGTCCGCCACCGAAGCCGTGCGGGAGTTTGAATGGGTGCGGCGGAAGTTCAGAGGAGTGGCGGACAGCGCGGAGAAGCTCAGCGAGGCGCATGTGGGGGAGGTGTTTGTGGCAGGGCTGGCCGTGTGGCTTAAATACTGGGAGCAGTGGGGCGAGGTGAAGCCGCAGTGGGTGGTGGAGGAAGAGGAGGAGGAGGAGCAGGCGAGCAGGGATAGGGAGAGGGATAGTGTGAGCGGAGGTGGGAGCAGTGTGGGCGAGTTTTTGTCGCCCCGGTTTCCTGACTCTGCTGGTGCGTCTCCTTTGAGGGATCCCTTGGGGAGTGGTTCTAGCTCCCCCTGGAGAGAGAGGGAGCGGGATAGGGAGAGGGATAGAGAGAGGGATAGAGAAAGACCTAGGGAGAGGGAGCGGGAGCGGGAGAGGGAGAGAGACAGGGTGCGGGAGAGGGAGAGGGAGTGGGAGAAGGACAGGAGGAGGGAGAGAGAACGGGAGCGGGAGAGGGAGGGTCATGGGTCGTACCGCTACTCATACGATGGCGGTGCCGGTGGCATGGGCAGGCAGGAACGCGAACTGAGCAGCAGCAGCAGCCGGCACGAGCAGCACCATTCAAGACGACGCAGCCACGCGAGCAGCACAGCAGGATCAGCAGGAGGCGCTGCCGATGCGGGAGATTTCTCAGCAGCAGCAGCAGGGCACGGGGCAGGGGTGGGCAAGGGATGGGGGCCGGAAGGGAGCCTGCAGGCCAGGCTTCTAGCAGAGGCGCTAGGCACAGGGCCGCCACAGCCAGCCACGTGCTCCCATGATGATATTCTCCTGGTAGCCGGGCTAGGCGCGGCGATTAGTTCCTGGCAACCTGCCACGGCGTGCATGTGTCTGCTGCGCCTGCTGCACCGCATCGCGCGCTTCGAGCTCCTCGCGAACAACTTCGCGTGGCCGCGAGAAGGGTCCCTCTTCCGGGAGGGATCTGGGGTGCTGCTGGGCCGAGAGGGCAGCGGTAACTTTGCCTTGCAGGCCAGAGCAGCGTCGTCTCGGTCGCTCACGCCGCCTGCTCGCGCTTCTGGCTTGGCTGGGTCGGGGAACGTGGGGGGGCTGCTGGGTGGTGCTGGTGGGGGAGGAGGAGTGGGGGCGGCGGCAGGAGCGGCAGGAGGTAGTGCAAGTGGGGGGAGTCAGCCCGGGTCTCCTGGGTGGACTCGACGCCGTGCGGTTTCTAATTCTGGGCCTTTGGAAGGTGTGGGTGGTATGGGCGGGGGAGGAGGATATGGTGCTGGTGCTGGGGCAGGGGCAGCAGCAGCAGCAGCAACAGCAACAGCAACAACAACAGCAGCAGCCGCATGCGAAGCACAGTCTGCTGTCCTTCCCCGTTGCTTTCCCCCGTCCCTCATCCCCGTTCTTCAGCTCCAGAACCTCCTCCTCCTCCAACCCCACATCCTCCTCCATGCCTCCCCTGCCCCCCTCCGCCTCCGCCTCTGCCTCCTCCCCACCACTCTCCACACTCACGCCGTCCTCCCTCTCCTCATCCCCCCACACATCTTCCTATCTCCAATCTTCCACTACCGCCAGCACCTCTCTCCTCTCCTCTGCCCCGGAACTTCCCAGTTTTGGCCGAGTGCTCAACGTCAGAGTACCCTCCAACCTCCCTGCCTGTCGCGCCTTCATCCTCTCCTGCCTGAAAGCCGTGCTCACGGCATGCCACGACCGAACCCTCACCCACCCACAACACCCCCTCCCTTCTGCCGACTCTCCTTCCTCCCCAACCAACCCCGCATCCACACACCACCACCCGCTCGCCTCCTCTTCCTCCCCGCCCCACCCCAACGTCCTCTTACCAAACCACAAAACTCAGAAGCCCTGGCAGCCCATGCGGCTAGCAAGCCTCGCGGAGGTGGCTTTAGCAGAGGGTATCGCGCGCGCCAAGCACAGCAACCTCTCGGAGCGATGCGAGGAGATAGACCGGTTGTACTACAGCCTGGGCCTCGGCCCGGGTGTTCTAGCCATGAACCTCGCGGCAGAAATGAGGGAGATGAAGCATTTACACCCCGACGATCTCGTCTCCCTCGCTCTGCATATGGAGTCGCTGAGGTTGGAGGAGGCGGCGTTTCACGTGGTGCTGTGTGCGGTGGCGTCTGGACGGCTGGCGGCTGATGGGTTTGACCATGTGATCCGCATGGTGTTTCAGGGCAGCGGGGCCGAGTCGGTCAACGCGAGATTCGCGCGGCTTGCTAGTACGGTGAAGACTGCGCATATCGCGACGGTGGAAGGCGGAGGAGGGAGTGGGGGAGGGGGAGGAGGAGGAGGAGCAGGTGGTGGTGGTGGTGGAGGGGGGGCGGGCAACGGTCCTGGTGCTGTTGGCGGCGCTGGGATCGAGCGCAGCAGCAGCGGCATGAGCACGAGCAGCAGCATGGGCATGGAGCGCAGCGGCAGCGGCGTGAGCCGGCGCGACCGACCAGCATCATACGTAGCAGAGCTGGCAGACGCCATGCTTCGATGCACCGACATGAAGCTCTGCCACCCGTGGGCGTACGAAGTGACTCTCAACTTCCTCCGCATGCACTCCCGAGGCTTGCTCGGCGGCCCCGGGGCGGCCGGCGGTGCACTCGGGGTCTCCCGAATGGGCAACGTTGTGGTGGACTGGAGGGAGAAGGAGCTCAGCGCGCTTGTGATGCTCAACCGCTGGCTGGGAAGCGGCTGCTGCTGCTGCTGCTGCTGCGGCGGCGGCTGCGGGTGCGGGAGGGGGCGAGGTGGGAGGAGGAGAGGAGCGGGCGATAGAGTTGATAGAGAGGATGGTAGAGCCGGCTACGGAGGTGGGGTGGGCTGTGTGGCTGCGCATTGGAAGGAACATTGAGACGGAGCTGCACCTGCCGCTGCTGCTCGAGTCCATGCACGTCAAATCTCTCATGCACACATACGAGGTGCGTGGGTGCGCTAATGGATTAGCACAAGGGGCTGTGTGTTCATCCGCAAATGCTCACTTCCCCAGCGGACTAAGAAATCCTCTTGTCTATCTCTGCGCCATTGCCTGTTTCTCCCTTGTTCAATGCGCAACCCAGGCCACCACCCTTGTATGCCAATCCCTCTACCCTCCCCACCCCTCCCCTCCCCTCCCCACGCCTCTCCACCCCCACTCACTGCCGCACTCCCCCAGGCCATAGACGAGGAAGGCTCCTGCGCGGACCCACTAGAACTGGAGGTGTTTGATTGGGGCCTGCGAGGTCTGCTGCTCGCCCTGCCTGACTCCACATCCCCCGCCATGCGCCCAGCGGCGCTGCTGGAGATCGTGTATCCGTTGGACAAGGAGAAGCCCGACCTCTCTCTCACTGACCATCGCCTCTCTGCCACTTTCCCTACGCTCCCTCCTCCCCCCTCCCATGCTCTCAACCCCCCAGGCCATAGACGAGGAAGGCTCGTGCGCAGACCCACTAGACCTGGAAGTCTTTGACTGGGGCCTGCGAGGCCTCCTCCTCGCGCTCCCTGACTCCACGTCCCCCGCCCAGCGCCCAGCGGCGCTGCTGGAGATTGTGTATCCGCTGGACGAGGAGAAGCCGGATCTGTCGCTGGCGATCGCCTCTCGCCTTGCTGCCACTGTGGCTGACTCCCGCAAGTGGCCCATTGCGGACGTGCCGGCGCTGGTGGCGCAGATACTCACCATGACCGATGACTGTGAGTGTGTGGGAGGTTGGCGTGGATGGGGGCGGTGGTAAAATTTCAAGGGATGTGCTGCCGCTGCTGGTCGCGCAGATAATCACCATGTCAAGGGATGTGACAGAGAGTCTCTTTGGTGACTGCTGGGTCGGTGCTCGTTCTGCAGTGCAGATACGCAGCACGATTGGTCCCTGTGGATGCGTGTGGGGACAGTCGTCGAACGGCTTTTGAGGCATCACAAAACATGTGTTGGCGTTGGTTGCTTAGATATTCCTTATTCCTCACGATAACTGACCATGCTGTGAGTGGCTCTTTCTCTCTCCCGTCCCCCTCTTGCCCTCCCCTTCTTTCCCTCCCCTCCGGCTTTCCCCCTCCCCCCCCCCCCCCCCCCCCCCTCAGGGCATTTAAGCAATGAGCAGAAGTCGCGGGCAGTGAACGTGGCGTGCCGGCTGTGGGGATGGGCCATGCCCAAGCGCGCGCAGCTGGTGAAGCAATGCGATGTCAGTATGGGCTGGGGGGACAGACACAAGGGAGGAGGGAGAAAGGTCGTGGGATTCTGGGGAGGGTGAGGTTGTGTGGGATGTTGAAGGGGTGCTGTGCAGCTCCATTTGAAGCTTGGGGATTGGGCTTGATGGAATTGTGACCCATACTGCCTCCTTTCTCCTAGGCTCTGAAGCCTGTGTTGTTGGTTGTTGGAAGCAGCTTCTGCATTACCTTGCCTTGATGTTCGTCCTACCCGTGGCCCGTCGTCGTTCCCTCAAGTTAGATTGCACCACTTGTCAGCTCTCACGTGATAGAATATTGTTTTTGAGACGTCTCAAATGTGATCCTTCTTATGGCTCGTCGTTCAATGTAATTAGATTGCTCGTTCTATCAACTCTCGTCACACCATGTCATGTCGTGTCATTTCATGTGGCGTCGTCTGGCGCGACATTGCATCGGTCACTTGATGAAAGAGTGTGGAGATGTTTCCTATGTGTGCGTCATGTGGTGCATGTGTGCATGTGTGCGTGCGTGGCAGAACGCGGAGGAGGTGAGGGAGGTGTTGGAGAGGAGCGCTGCTTCTATCTGGCGCTCCGTGGGTGCCTCAGGTCAGACACACATGCATGCATACACACATGCACACAGGCCCGCATGCACTCATGCGCTCATGCACACATGCTCTCATGCACACAGCCACTCGTGCACATGCACACATGCGCACATGCACATGTGCTCGCATAATGCACACAATCACGCATCTGCATATACAATCACACCTGCAGACACGCACGCACCTTGCACAATATCTTTCTTCTCTGATATTATCGCCTGTGCATCCGTTGTGCAACTGAATGTTGTCTTCCACGACCATTCTCACTCTCCACCTCCATATGTGAATGCAACTCCCAACTCTCATGCTCCATTCCACCTGCCATCCCCGTGCATGCATTTGCACAATCCTGCCTTCATTTCACATCACATTCCCTTCTGATGTGAGCTCTCGCTCTTTTGCTCCCCACTAATTCATGCTTTATTTGCCCTCCTAGCAGGATCATCACCTCGAAACATTTGAAATTGAAGCTCTGCACAGGCGAAAGAAACTGTGTTGTTTCGTGGCCCCATGTAAAACTTCCAGCATGGATGAAGGCAGGGTGCTTTTTCCACTGGATTCTGTGTGGTGTGTGTATGTACAGTATACCATGATACTGGTACTACTGGTCCGGTCCGGTCTGGTGCTGTCCGGTGGTCTGTCCTACCCATTTGCTACACGTGCATGCTCTGCTGCTTCCGTACTTATTGGTGTCAGAATTAGTAGGCAGGAACAGAAATGATGAAAGGAGGGTTTGCACTAGCAGCAGTTGGCATACATATAGGAAACCCTGATTGGGTTGTACTCGCTATAGAGTACCCCACTGCATGCTAGACAATAATAATATTCTGACACACCCCCATAGCCAAAGTGGGGTGTAATCAGCACAATGAGCAGGCATAGCAATAGTTCACAATTATAAGCAAAGCTAGATGTAATCACAGAGGGCAAGTGAGGAGGAGGAGGAACTGTGAAGGGAGAGAAGATTGGAGACGACGACTGAAGCTGCAGACACACGGGCAACAGGAACGCGCACACAGTGGCTACCGGGACAGCGCCCCGGACTACTGGAGTAACTGGCTCGGCGGCTACGAGGAGCGGCAAGAGCAACGGACCCACGAGCGACAGGCACAGCAGTCTCTCTGGGCTACCGAGAGCACGACGGCTCCGGACTACTGGCGCTGCAGGCGACACGACGGCAGCCTCCACGCAACCTCCCCCGATCATCCACGCCCCTCTCACACACCCTTTGCTGAAACCCTAGCTCCACTCCCATGGCACCCCCCTTAAACCCTAAACCCTCGGCTCCCACACACCCACCCCCCTCAGCGGCAGCTGCAGCAGTGGGAGGAGGAGCTGCAGGTTACCCACACCGGTCACCCCCATGCCCGCCACCCCCAAACCCTAACGCAGGCAGGAGCGCGGGAAGCAGCAGGGGCGGTTCACGGAGGGAAAGGGAGGCGGCGGGGGGGTCTCCAGGGCGCCACGAAGAAGCAGGGCGCGGGCCCCCCGAGGGCGCCACGGCGGGTGACGGGAGGGGGGCCGCGCACGGGCCCCCGAGGGCGGCTCGACGGGCGACGGGAGGGGCCGCGCGCGGGCCCCCAAGGCGCCGCGACGAGGCGACGGGAGGGGGCGGCGCGCGGGCCCCCAAGGCGCCGCGACGAGGCGACGGGAGGGGGCGGCGCGCGGGCCCCCAAGGTGCCGCGACGAGGCGACGGGAGGGGGGGACGTGCGGGCCCCCAAGGCGCCGCGACGAGGCGACGGGAGGGGCCGGCGCGCGGGCCCCCAGGGCGCCGCGACTGTCGAAGGAAATGGCCCCGCCCTCGCTTGAGCGTAGCTGATCTCGCTGTAGACGGGAAGTTCGCGACGGATCGGTCGACGAAATGGGCTTCTGCAGTTCGGCGGAAGTTGCGGTCGACGAGCTCTGCATGACGAGCTCTGGTCGACGATCTCTGCGCGACGATCTCCTGTCGAAGAGCGCTGGTCGAAGAACTCTGGTCGAAGAGTTCTGATCGAGAAGTTTTGCTCGGCGGATTCTGTTCGACCGAGCAGAATTGAGCGGATCGACCGAAGTTGCAGAGTTGTGCGAAACTCTGCGAAGGCGTGCGAACATTCGCCCAGGAGATTTTGGCGAAGTTCTACCTGCGGAACGGCATCACGTGCTCGACGGCGTGCACCTGGTGAAACCGACGACACGTTTTCTACCTGGCACCTGCGCAATGTGCCTGACGGTGAAACCGCCAACCTGCACCTACTTGGTAGGTGCGCACATCTGCGCAGATAAAATTACCTGCGATTGCAGATAGTCACCTGCGACTGCAGTGCTGGCAGACCGCGCGCAGTGCAGCGTTGGCAAGCCGCCCTTCTGCTGCGCTGGCATAGTTCGCCCTTGCTAGGTGTTGCATGCCATTCTAGTCCTTTTGTTCTGCATGTCTTCATTGTACTATATTCTTTTCTTTTCCTATCAACTTTGTTATTGCAAGTTGTTCTTTCCTTAGTGAAATTCTTGCCAAACTGCTCAGTGAACATACCGTCATCGCCCGGATATAAGACATATATGTCTTATCTCGTACACTAGAAAAAATGCTTGGGTTATCTTATAAATGGGGAGGTTTTGGGTGTCTTATAAGTCTTATAAATGGAGCCATAACCGTTTAGAAGATACCCCCTCGTTATACAATTGCCCCTAATCCTTACACTAGCTTAGCTCGTACACACAAATAGGTGTCTTATAATGAGGCTAGCCTGTTTATAAGAGACACCCGTATAATAGACAACCCCTGTCTACTATTCAACACTGTCTTATATCCGGGTGATGACGATAGCAAGCAGTAAGAACGCTAGCAGAGCGCTACGATCACTCGCACAACCCCGTGCCCTCCCCCGTAATCCACTCCCGTTATGTAGTGACTCTCCGCAGCGACGAGGCGGGCGACGGGAGGGGGCGACGCGCGGGCCCCCAGGGCGCCGAGACGGGTGACGGGGGGCAGCGCGCAGGTCCCCGGGGGCGCCACGACGGGCAGAAAACCGCCGTGCGAAGCAGGAAACCGCCGCGCGCCTCGGGGCGCACAGCGGGCAGAAAACCGCCGCACGCCCCGAGCGCACGGCGGGATGAAAAACGCCGCGCGCTCCGAGTGCGCGGCAGGAAGAAAGGGTCGCGCGCCCGGAGCGCGCGACAGCAGTAGAGCAGCGGAAGCATCGGGTGGGGCCCACCCACAGGATCGACCCAGGAGGGTCGACCTGCTCTGATACCATGTCAGAATTAGTAGGCAGGAACAGAAATTATGAAAGGAGGGTTTGCACTAGCAGCAGTTGGCATACATATAGGAAACCCTGATTGGGTTGTACTCGCTATAGAGTACCCCACTGCAGGCTAGACAATAATAACATTCTGACAATTGGACCTTACTCGGCCCAACCTTCGTAGTACGGTAGGCTGCTGCCGATGTATTGGGCCTAGGGTTCGATAGAGGAGAGGAGACTAGTGCTAGAAATGTGTGATTGTGTTTTTGTAAAGGGTGCTTTCTATTTATTGGATGTGATGAATGTGCTAGTACACATTATGGTACTGCTACAGTCCGAATGTGTAGAGATTGCTGTCTGAAAACGAACAGCGGATAAATAATCACAATGAAGTGCCACATTAGATGGTTCTGCTGAAGCTGATTCAAGGCATGTTAGTGTTAGAGATCATTGCCATGCATGGGAAGTAGTTTCAATCAAACTCTTGTATGCATTGTCATGTCACAAAAATATTATTCCTGATTAATTGGGCTGTTGTTGTGTAGACCAGAGCGGCGTGCGTCTGCCTGACATACGGTGTCAAAACAGCTTCTTAGGTGCCTTAAAAGTCAGTACCGTACATATCCATTCACTCGTGCTACCTTGCGTCGCATACTCATTCAAGCACTTGTCTACACGTAACACCACACGCAGGCATGGTCATCAGTGCACAGGTTTAACATACTCCTGCACATACTCCTTGACCAACGATGCCACATCCCTGGGAGAGAGACAAACGCAGCACAAGCAAAGGGCGGATTCAGCAACAAAAGCAGTGTGTGGGGGTTTTGGAAGCGGGTCAGGACTCAGGGGGGAGCAGAGGCAAGGATAGATAACTATGAGGACACTGCAAGTGTGCAGGAGACAGATGGTTCTAAATATGTTTTTAAATGTGCAGTGCGTGAAGTAGGAAGGAGCGAGGGGAAGGAGGAGCAAAAGGAGTGGAGGAATGGGGGTACCAGTAGGACAGTGGAAAGAGGGACGCATGCAGGCACAAGCAGACAAGATGGCAGTTTGGTAGCACATGGCACATGGTGAGGAGAAAATCAAGAGTGCAGGTCATAAAGGGAGGGGTAAAAGGGAGGGCACGATGAGTTAATTACGTGTCTGCCTTGAAACCCAGCTGGATTGCTGTGGGCGTGTGAATGTGGCCTGGCCATGATGCCACTATGCTGTTGATAAACGGGTCTGGCACCCATTGCACCTGCACATGAGACATGCCATGTGCCACGAGAGACATGCCATGTGCCCATGAGACATGCCATGTGCCCACCCATGAGACATGCGCCAAAAACCACATGCAAATTCCGCAACACCCCACACAGCACATAACATGTGAAAAAATAAGCTGAAGTGACATGGCACGCGCACGTCTCACATGTTATGTTATGTGGCATGTTTTCCGCACGCCATAGAACCGGCTCAGCAAAAGGCAGGGTGCAGCAAGATTAGGGATCGAGGAGTCAAAATTGCAGCAGCAACAGCAACAGCAGCAGCAGCAGCAGCAGCATGAGAGAGCGGAACTGTGAGAGAATCAAGGTAGATGAAGCAAGCAAGCGGCTCACCAGGGAGGGGTCGACTCCAAAGCGTGGCAACTGATCCACGAGCTCTGCTGAGGTGGTCTGTGCAGAGCCAGAGAGAGAACACACATGAAAAAACACACAAGATAAGGCCCAGAGGACATCAAAGTACTTGACCTTTTTAGCGTTGGCTGGTCCATGGCATGACCACGCCCATATTGGTATCTGCTAGGAACTGATTTTTGTCATGGGTGTTTGTGTCAGTGCTGCCACTCGCAAAGAGTACAGGTAACACGGATGGGTTTACATTCCAATATTTGCCATTTGGTGAGAGAGGGAGAGGAGAAGAGAAGGGAGCAGGGGGTTGGTGGAACATTGGGTGGCACGGCAGCTTTTTTAACTTTCAGTCGGCTCTTTAGTCACTGTGCGTGGGAGTGGAGTCGAGGGAGGCACTCACAGTGAGGCCAGGAAGGGTGATGATGCGCGGGTGGTTGGGTGGCAGAGATGGCATGCGGGCTGCGTGGACGATGTTGCTGATGACTGTGCGGGGAGACTGCATGCACCGCGCGCGCGCGCGCACACACACACACATGCGCACCACACGCACCACACAGAGTGGAGAAGGAGTGATACATATGGATGTATATGTGGGCGGTTTGACATTTGGGGCAGTATTGATGGAGGATGTTGCTGGTGACAAAGCGGGGGGGCTGCTTGCATGCTCACATCACACAAAAAAGACCAGAATTACATGTTCATGTATATGTGTGAGCGATTAAGTTGCGCGGGAAATGTGGATGTGTATAACTGTGAGCCTTGTTACACCAGCCATTTAGCAGCACAGAGAGGAAAACGCTGGATTGCCATTCAGAGGAGCAGACAGGGGGTGCTGGTTGGCCCGTGGCTCACAGCAGGCATCACCTGCAACCAGAGTGGCAGAGCATGTGATACAAAGCAAAGACAAGCCAACTGCAACACTCTTCAATGGGACTTGTCAATAGTGATACCTGCAGCCAGAGTGGCAGGGCAGGGTCCACGGGGCAGGTGGCTGGCTTGCCGTGTAATGGCTCTCGAACGATGGACGAGCAGAAGGAGGAGGTCGCTGCGTTGGGACTGCCATGCACAGGCACATGCACACGCACACACAACACACACAAGCACGCGGACGCACATGTACGCGCACACAAGCACGCAGACGCACACCCGCAGGGGAAGAAAACGCCAGCGACAGGTGGCGGATGTCCGATTTTCTCTTAATTCCAGCTGCAGTGTGTGAAAGCAGACAGCGAGAACGAGTGCGTGCAGCAGGGTCGTGCAAGAAAGCAGTACGAGTGAGTATGTGCTCATGCTGCTTGTTCTTTCATGCTGCGAGGGAGGCAGGAAGCTGTGAGTTCATAGCTGAATCTTGGGATAATGCCTGCTGTGGGTGAGCCGTGGAGGGTTTTGAGACGTCTGAAAACAATTTTATTATCACGTGGTCCTTCACAGCTGATTTTTGGGGAATGCCTGCTGTGGGAGGGCCGTGGAGGGATGGTAGCCGTGTGCGGGTCAGTCAAGGAACATGTGCATGCGTGTGTGCGGGGGAGGGGGGGAGGGGGGAAGGGGGGGGTTGTTGTGCATGTGTAGACGAGTGGGTGCGTGCATGTATCCATGTGTGAGAATGTGAGGTACCTACCTGCCAGGGCGCACGACGACAGTGGGCAGGCGCAGCACAATGGCTTCCACAAAGCCGCGCCTGCTGCCATCTGATAGCAGCAGCTCTGCCATCGCTTTCTGCTCTTGAGAGGATTGGGGGGAGAGACACGAGAGACACACGAGAGATACAAAAGAGACACACGAGTGACACACGGGAGACTCACGCCAAGAGAGATGGGCAAGTGGGGGATGGAGAGAGAAGGACGAGAGGAAACGCGCTGGTTTGGGACGAGGAAGAGAAAGAAGGGCGGACACGTGAGGAAGAGGGGAAGAAACGTGGGGGGGTGGGGGCGCTGCAGGGAACATCAGACGTTTCTGGGATTCGGGAAGGCACAGAAAGCGCTAGGAGTTGAGTTGACAGAGCTGGAGAGCGTAGGAGAAGTGGAGTTGGCGTTGGTTGGCACGGGCAGGTGGCGGGTTTACCTCAGCCCCATAGGAGGAGCGGGGCAGAGCAGGGGTGTCCTCAGAGTATGGAACCTGCAACCATGCAGCACCGGCAGAAACAACAGTAAACAGAAGTGACGCAGAAGGACAAGCAGAAGAAGACGCTATAAGCTAAGTGAGCATGGAGGGTGGAGTCCACCGGGGGTTCAAGGGAGGTCACTGGGGGTGGAAACGTGTATGAATCCCAATCCAAGCTCCATGCGACGCGCCGATTTTTTAGTCGACTCAACAATCCAATCTCCACATCTAATAATCTAGTCGTTAATGAAGACTCTTCATCGCACTATAACTTTACAGTATGGCGGTGTCGGTCAACACGTGCGCACAGCAAGGTGAGCGCACCTGGGAGTTGGAGGAGTTGGAGGAGGGAGCGCCAAAGACAGCGACAGAGGAGGCCATGATGAAGCGCGGGCAGTGGCCTGCTGCCCTGCACGCCTGCAGTAGCGCACGCGTGGCATCAAAGTTGACCTGCAGGCGTGGGCGTGAGGGCATGAGAGGGGGAGTGCAAGAGGCGGGAGACGCAGGGGTGGGAAGCGCAGGGTTGGGAGACGCAGGGGTGGGATATGGCAGGTGGAAGACATGGCAATCAGGTGGGATGCAGCGGAGGGGAGGGTGTGTAGTGTACTTGCCTTCATGCCCAGGTCGTAGTCCTTCTCCGCTGCCCCGCTCACCACCGCCGCCAGATGGAATATGCTGTGCGCACAGCGAGCGAGCGAGAGAGAGGGTGGGGAGAGTGGGGGGTTGAGAATTTCAAATGTCTCAAAAGGATCTTCCAGGTGGAAGATGAAATCACTTTTGAGCGGAAGTAAGAGGCTGTGTGAGAGGCTGCGTCGTAAGAAAGGAGTGCACTGGGAGGGCATGACTGGGATTGAGAATCAGGATTACAGCGGGGTGGGAGCGGAAGTAGGAGAATACTCGAAAGTGATTCCAGGTGGAAGATGCTGGGTGCACAGAGGGAGAGAGGGAGATAGGGAGAGAGTGGGAGCACGAAAGGAAAGGGGCTGGAGAGGGAGGGATGGGAATAAGAGTGCACCGGGAGTAGTAGGGAGAGGGCACATGCAGACGAGAGAACGTGAGGGGGTGGGAAGAAAGGGTTATTTACGGGGTGAGAGATGGACGAATCAAAGTGGAAAGAATTTTGAGTCGGCATGATAGGGGAACAGGTGCTGCTTACTGGGTGACAGATGGGCGAATCAGAGTGGAGAGGAAGGTGGCATTCGTGATGTCTCCTACCACCTGATTGGTTGGAACGCATGTGAGTAATACATGTGACGTTCGGGTCGACAGCAGAGGTAGAACGGCGCAGGGAAACACAGGGAGGTACAGGGAGTGAAAGGACGGCACATGGGGGGCAGGCAGGTACAGGGGGGTGGGTACAGGGAGGCACAATGAGGCATGGGAAGGAATGGGGACAGAGAGCCCAATGAATGGGACCAACGAAGAAGGAATGGGGAAACGAATGAAGGAATGGCGACCAAGACCATGGGCTGCAGACAGATGGAACAGGCTGGAGAGGAGGGATGACAGAACCGGATAGATGGAGAGATGGACGGAGCGGGCAGGGAGGGCAGAGTGATACATACGTGCGTGACTCCAGGCGTGGTGGTGTCGCGTTCGCCAGGAGGGGTCAAGTCAACGGCTATCACTCTCTCCTCTGTCACCCCCTCTCCGCCATCACTGAGATCCCGCTCCGCGATGGACTCCGCTCCGCTACCCCCTTCTGCGCGCCCCTCCGCCGTAGCGCCCGCGCTCTCCGCCAGTGCGCCTCCCGCAAGCGCCTTGGCCAGCAGGGACCCTAAGAAGCCTCTGCCGCCCGTTATAAGCGCCACCATCGCCGCCGCGTGCTGCACCCGCTGGCGACTTTCGGACTCCACACGCGCTGGTTGGTCGAGAGGCACAACTAGCAGCTAGCCGTCAATGCTCGCCGCAGGGCTGACTGGAGCGACGAACTGGTGCGAAAATTGCCGGAGATTACCTCCTCGTTTGGCTGGGAACACTTGCTCTGCGGCGCGGCAGCGCAGATGCTAAAAGCAGGAATTTGTGTGCGGCGGCACGGTTAGGCACGGTCAGGCACGGTCAGGTTTGGTCATGACGCTAGTGGATCTTTCGGTGGGACTCGGTGATTCGGGGTCCCGCTGGTCGTGAGTTCTGACATTCCCAACGCGGGTGGTGCAAACTCGTTATAAATTCAATCAATGTATGAGGGGTATTTGTGGAAATGTGGATGTGTTTCAAGTTACCTAAGTTAATGTGTGACATAAGCTTGTTCTTTCTTGGTAGAAAAAGAGAATGTGCCCTTCTTTATTGAACAACTATGCAGGGTTCCAAACATCCTTGTTCTCTGTTCTACTGCTATCTCTTCTATTCATTGCCCAGCGCACACCCACGAGCAGGCATGCGACCGCCAATGCTGTCACCGCAGCTGCTACCACCGCAATTGCCACTGAAGATCCATACACTTGCTTGCTGACGCCACTTGTGCTTTCTTCAGTGCTAGTGGCGTTGGTGGCGTTTGAAGCAGGTGCAGGTATGGGAGGGGAGGAGGGCGGTGCAAGGGTTGTGGAGGAAAGGGACGGTGGGGCGAGAGATGCAGGAGCAGGCTCAGATGTGGGTGCGAGGGATGGGAGAGAGGCGGAGGCGGGTGCAATGGGAGGGAGAGAGGGAGGTGAAGGAAGAGGAGGTTGTGGAGAGGGCTCAGACTCGGGAGCAGAGGCAGCCAACATCTCTGTTGGGGGGCAAGTATGGGGAGCAGAGTAGAATGGAAATGAGAGTAAGAGCAGGGGATGAGATGAAAACCAATAAGAGTGTAAAGTGTACTCATGTTTTATCTATGCGAAGGATAATTTGAGAGGGAAGAGCGCGTAAAAAAGAGGGAGGGGGGAGGTAAGGTGTGGGGGGGGATGAGGGGGGAGCTTGCCTGCGCAAGTCTTGCAGAAGTGAGTGCAGACGGAGCAGAATGCAGAGGAGGAGTTCAGCTTAACCGTGCACTCGCGCGTTGAAGGGCACACGGGCGCCGCCACACTCGAGTTGAACTTGCTGCCGCACGAACAGAGAGAGCAGCGACGGTATGTGGAGGCAGGTAATGGGAGAGAGGAAGGATAGGAGAGGAGGGAAGAGGGAAAGGGGGATAATAGCAAGTTGAACGATTGAGGGGAGATGTCGTGCATGGGATGGGATGGGATGGGATGGGATATGGATGGGATGGGATGGGATGGGCGTGTGTGCAGAGATTGACTGACTCACAGGCTCCGTAAATCTGTAAGGTTGCCGAGTGACGGCGGAAGGGCCCCCGTAAGAGAGTTGTTACTGATGTCGCTGCAATAGGGTGGAGGAGAAGCAGAGGGTGATGGTAAGTGAGCGACCGGGTGGAGGGAAAGTTGGGGATGGATGGATGTGGTGACGATGCTTGCCGGGCCGAGGCCTGAGAGGATGGAGCACGCGATGCCATGGCTTATAAAAACTTGTGGTGGAGTGCGGTGGACGGTGGTGAAGCGTGGTTTAGCATGGTGAAGTGGCCTAGCATGTCCCGCATCACTGTAGTAGAATTTGAGATTTAACAAATGCGCTCTACAGGCAAGCAAGCCAGCAAGCAGGCAAGCAAGCAGGCAAGCAAGCATGTGAGCAAGCATGTGACGAGTGGCGTACAGGTAGTGCAAAGATAGAAGGTTGCCCATGGTGTACGGCACAGACTCGGAGAACTTGTTGCCCGCCAGGTTGCTGCTCCGAGATGGTGTGAGGTGGTGGGGAGAGACGAGATCCAAGGAGAGGGCAAGGTCGGGGAGAGAGGGAAGGGGGGGTGAGTTGGAACAGCGTTGGCTGACACGGGTGAGGAGATTGACGGGGATTGATCATAGCACCAAAGGCTGATGGTATCTTCATTTTGACAAGCCTGAGAGATTGAAGCGGACAGTGGACGGGGAGCGGGCGCGTATCTGCTTGACAACATGGGCCCAGGAGTCGATTATGCAGCCCAGCATTCCAGCACACGCCCATACACGAAAATCTGTACCCTTTAATACATCCACCCAAATGCCCGCCCATCCATGCCCATCCATGCCAATCCATGCACATGCATGTGTGCAAGGTCGGTGACGCACAGGAAGGTGGTGCGGGTGAGGGAGCCGATGAAGTCAGGGATGGACCCGTTCAGCTCGTTCTTCGCCAGGTTGCTGCCACATGCGGAGCCAGCAAGCAAGCCAGTGAGCAAGCAGGTCAGCAGTGCAAGAAGAAAGGGGATGCGGTTCCAGCGGTGGGTGGAGATAAAAGACGTGGGAAGGAACGGGGGTGGTAGCAGGAGTTGGTGGTGGTTTGGTGTGCGCTTGTCACTCACAGAGTGTCCATGTAGGATAGCTGCTTAAGTGAGTGCGGAATGGTGCTGCCCAGGTGGTTACCGCTCAGGTCCCTGGTGGCAAGGCAACACGCCAAGAAACATGCAAAGGCAAGCGTTCAAAGCATGTGCAGGTAAGCGAACATACAGTATCATGCAGCATGGAGGAGAGGTACAGGAGAGAAAGTGCACGTTAGACAGTGGACGCATGTGGCAGATCACCATTGGAAACAATAGCCTGCTTCCTGGGCTTGCTCCAGCCCCTGCGAACCCAGAGAGCACACCAAACCGTGCACTTTCCTCACCAGCAAAGGCTTTGCCCCCCTGTTCTCCCTGCCCTCCCTGCCCTCCCTGCCCTCCCTGCCCTCCCTGCCCTCCCTGCCCTCCCTGCCCTCCCTGCCCTCCCTGCCCTCCCTGCCCTCCCTGCCCTCCCTGCCCTCCCTGCCCTCCCTGCCCTCCCTGCCCTCCCTGCCCTCCCTGCCCTCCCTGCCCTCCCTGCCCTCCCTGCCCTCCCTGCCCTCCCTGCCCTCCCTGCCCTCCCTGCCTGCCCTCCCTGCCCTCCCTCCCGACCCTGCACCCGCCCCACCCTCCAACTTCCTCCAGCTCTGACCACTCGCCTAAGTCATCCCACTTCCCCCACTAGTCTTACTCCTCCCACTCGTCTCACACCGCGTACTCACAAGTACGTCATGCGAGTGAGCAGGCCAATGGAGGAGGGGATACTGCCGCTCAGCCTCATGTCCACCAGGCTCCTGCGCTCCCCCGCACACACGCACACGCACACACACAAGCAAATCATGCGCAGTGTTGAGGAGAGCGACAGCATTGCGAGTGGCGCAGAAGATCAAGTGGGCACGATGGCGTGGCGGTGTGGTGCCATGGGAGGTGTGGTGCCATGGGAGGTGTGGTGCCATGGGAGGTGTGGTGCCATGGGAGGTGTGGTGCCATGGGAGGTGTGGTGCCATGGGAGGTGTGGTGCCATGGGAGGTGTGGTGCCATGGGAGGTGTGGTGCCATGGGAGGTGTGGTGCCATGGGAGGTGTGGTGCCATGGAAAAAGATGCTTCCTCGCGGTGTGGTTGTGGTGCGTGGTTCTGGGGTGGTGCGCACTGGCAGTGGCGTGTGGTACCGAGTACGAGCGCACTTGTAACGCCTAGGGCTTACACGTAAGGGTATGAGTGCATCCGCTGCGCCTCAAATATAACCCTCGTTTTGACCCAGTGGGTAGCGAGGTGTTACATTTGGTATCAGAGCCTGGGGTTCGATTCCCGGCTGGGTCACATTGAATGTGCCAGTCGCGAACCCAGTGAACGATCCGCCGCTGGCCTGGCCCGCCAGCGAAGTCGCTGTAGTGCGAGATTGAGGTCCTTGCGAGGGCCGACTCCCTGCCCAACGAGGACGTTGGCTCCAGGGGGGGACGAGTGTAACGCCTAGGGCTTACACGTAAGGGTATGAGTGCATCCGCTGCGCCTCAAATATAACCCTCGTTTTGACCCAGTGGGTAGCGAGGTGTTACAGCACTACTGCTACTCTCATCGCCGTCACATGCTGGTAACCAGGTGGCCGTTCGATTCGAATCAAACGGTAAGTAAACTTCCTGTGCTAATCTAATGCTCCTACTACTGCTGCTTCCTCCCCCACGAGCCTCACATGCTGGTAACCATGCCGTCTTCGTCGCACGTGACGAGCTCCGCCTGGAAGCACTGCGAGCTGTACGACCACCCGAAGAAGTCCGCGTTCCACTCCTGCATGCACTGCAGCAGCACCGCCGCTGCGCGCACCCACCAACGCGCCGCATACGGAAAGCGGTAGGGGGATAGGGGCAGGATAGGGGAAGCGAAAACGGGGGAGAGAGGGGGAGAAAGAGAGTGGGAGTAGGCCCAGGAGGAGCGGAGGAGACGGGGAGGGAAAACAGAGCCGTAGAAAACAAAGATTTCCGTTAGTGCACGATGGTCGTAATCGGCGGTCGCGCGTCGTAGCAGCAGCACGCGGCGCGGACGGGTTGTCGAATTGACTCAACTCGTAATTACTACGTTGCACTTTTTATTGCCATGGGGTTTCTTAACATAGTATGGCATAATATGTCACAGTAAAGCGCAGCGAAGCACAGTATACCTTGCGACGGCTCCCATTTTCTCCCCGCGGCCAACGCGAAGAGCCCCATCAGAACGCACGCGACGGCCCACGGCGAGACGACGGAACGTTGCGACGACGACGACGACATGACTATTAATTGTCCGCTGCGTTTTGAGAAGTCGTCAATGTAAACCTCTCAACGTGCTTTTCTCCATTTAGACTAACGATGGTGCTTTATGAGGTATTGTGGTTGCGGTGCCTGCGGCGTTTGCGGTGAGGATATAATCAGTACGGATATCGGCGTGAGCGAAGCGGGAGAGAACAGCAGGGTTGGAGTGGAGACAAATTGACGGGGTGGAGAGTGAGAGACAATTCACTTCACTTGCCACTTCACTTGCCCTTTTGACAAAAGCTGGCTGTGGGAGAGGCAGGGGAACAGCAGAAGGGAGATACAAATTTGTTCCAGGCCTGGGGGGGGAGGCAATGCGAGGGAGAACAGCGAAGAGTGAGTGAGGGAGCCATAGGGTCCACGCGGCGCAAAATGTCGTCGAGGCGCCTTTCGCAGTTTGTTACGCGCCGCAGGTTGGGTTGCTGTGCTGAGAGAACATCTTATCGAGTTGTCCGAAAACTAGACGTTTCAACTGCTGTTTCATATGGTGTTCTATTACATAAAGCAATCTAATGCATGTCGAATAATATGCAGTGTAGAACAAACTGGGCTTCTAACATCACAGGTAGCGAGCAGTCACAGACACTACTCCCACGACACCTGAAATAGTCACAAGTTACCCTGAAAAGCATCTTTCAAACTATCTCTACAGCAGCAAATTCAGCACCATCGCTGACACCAGGGAGGCCAGCAGCGTGCCGAAGCCAACGCCATAAATAGCTCCAGCTTTGGGAGGCGGAGGAGGAGAAGGAACTGTGGCGGGAGGGGGAGGAGGTGACAGGTCACCATATGGAGGAGGAGGAGGCGGGGGGGAGGCAATGGGGGGGGAAGCTGTGACAGGAGCAGGTGATGGTGCAGTGGTGGGGGGAGATGTGGGGGGAGCGACTGGAGGAGCGGCGGTCGGAGCAGGAACAGGAGAGATGACAGGAGGTGAGGTGGGAGTGGGTGCAGAAGTGGGGGCATTAGCAGGGGCAGGAGTGGGGGCAGAAACAGATGCAGGAGTGGGGGCAGGAGAGGCCACAGGAGGAATGACAGGAGCTGCAGGAGATGGCGCAGGGGATACAACAGGGGGCATGGCAGGAGCAGGCGACGTGGCAGAGGGGGGCGCGGTGGCAGGGGTAGGTGCAGTGGCAGGGGGAGGTGCAGTGGCAGGGGGGGGTGCAGTAGCAGGGGAAGGCGCAGTAGCAGAGGAAGGTGCAGTAGCCGGGGGTGGCGCCGCGGCGGAGTTAGTGTTCTCTGCAGGAATCAACCACAGAAGGGAGATGCATGGAAGGTCACACAATAAATGCCCGGGAACAGTAGAAGCCAAACTGGAAACTGAAAGAACCCTCAATCCCCCTCCGCTCCCCTCCCCCAAAAAAGAAGAGTGGGAAAGATTCAAGTTTGTGGGCGCAGAGAGGAAGGACGTACACCACATACACTCTTGAAAGACATGTGTGTTGAAGGTCCAGGAAGCAGGCCTTTAAGAACTCACTTCCAGGGGGCGTGCAGACTTTGCAGAAGGTGGCGCACGTCTGGCAGAAGGCAGAGGTGGTGACCTGGTCGACAGCACACACTCCCGCCGCTGCACACAGCACCTTGGATGGCCCCGTGGAGTTCACAGTGCTGCACCACAGCACATGGCACAGGTTGCAGGCCGTAGCGCAAGGGTGGGAAAGAGGGGGTGAAAGGGCGAGGGGACGGAATGGGGGTGGGAGAGGGAAGGGAGGGGTGAAGAGAGGGGGATGGGAGGGAGAATGGTTGAACATGGATGCGGCATGCAAGAGAAATGCGCCGGAGTGGGGCACCATGGTTTGGTATGGCAAGTGGAGGTGTGATGCGATTGAAAAGCGGTTGTGACGAGGTGAGAGGTGCAAGGTGAGAGGTGCGTACAACTGCTGGAGCTTGGCGAGCTTGCCCATGACCGCTGGCACGGTGCCCGTGAGCGAGTTCTCACTCAGATCCCTGCTCGTGCTCACAGACAGGCAGGCAGGCAGACAGGCAGGCAGACAGGCAGGCAGACAGGCAGGCAGGCAGGCAGGCAGGCAGGCAGGCAGACAGGCAGGCAGACAGGCAGGCAGGCAGGCAGGCAGGCAGGCAGGCAGACAGGCAGGCAGGCAGGCAGGCAGGCAGACAGGCAGGCAGACAGGCAGGCAGACAGGCAGGCAGGCAGGCAGGCAGGCAGGCAGGCAGACAGGCAGGCAGACAGGCAGGCAGGCAGGCAGGCAGGCAGGCAGGCAGACAGGCAGGCAGGCAGGCAGGCAGGCAGACAGGCAGGCAGGCAGGCAAGGAGGCAGGCAGGCAGGCAGGCAGGCAGGCAGGCAGGCAGGCAGGCAAGGAGGCACACAGACAGCCAGACAGAGAATCACACAGGCACACAGGCGCAGGCAGAACGAGTAAGGGGATGCGGTCGAGTGTCCAGGGATACGTTAACTTCCAAAACATAGAAACAGCATGCAGAAAGATGAATGACACGTGAGACGGCAAGGAGACAGCGGATTGTTAGTCCCCAAAGACTTACAGGTAGACGAGTGAAGCAAGGGCGCCAATGGTGGAAGGGATGCTGCCTGTGAGCTTATTGGCCTTGATGAGCCTGTGCATGGTGAGACAGCACGGGTAGCATGCGAGGCCAGCACAGGCAGCACACGAGGCCAGCACAGGCAGCACACAAAGCCAGGAGGCAGAGGAGAGGAAGCATGGGTGGGGTTTATGCAGTGAGATTGGGACAGGCATGGCAGTGCACAGGTGGTGGTGATTTAGCGGCAGAGCTTTATGCATGTCCCTTGCTGGGAGGGAGACATTGATTCTGGGGGAACCTAGAAGATCAGAGCGATAAGTGTGTGCTGTGTTGAGCGAGGAGCGTTGGAGGGGAGCATTAACGGTGGGCCGATGGAGGAGGGTGAGGGAGGGGTAGGGTTGGCGGCAGTGCGTACAGGTTGGTGACTTTGGTGAGGGAGAAGAGCGCAGGAGGGATGGGGCCTGAGAAGGTGTTGACGTTGAGCGTGCTGCCATGGCACACAACCAGAGGAAGGGAAGGCAGGTTGTGGTGGGGGTTAAGCTAGGGGAGGTGACATGCGACCGTCCTTTCCACGCCAAAATGGTGGGAGGTGGTGAGGAATCGTGGTGTGCCTGTCTGTCACTTCTTATTCGTTCTTTCCCCCCGAAGGCAGAGAGACGTGAATGAGGGGCAAAGGTGGAAGCAGGATGGAATCGATGGGCGCGAGGGTTTGCAGGGAACAGAATGAGGGGGAGGCAACGAAATGGGGCAGCGAAGAGAAACAGAAGAGAGTGGCAACAAGAAGGGTGGGTGTTTGGTGCTTTGAATGTTCAGGTTTTGGGTGCGGTGGAGGGGGGTAGGGGAGGGTTTGAAGAGGTGACGCTAGGAGGAAGAGATAGGACGAAGAATTGTGTAGAGTGAAAGTGGGTTGTGGAGGAGGAAGCAGGAAGACAAGGCTGTGGCAAGAGCAGCTCACAGGGCTTCGAGAGAAGGCAGGGCGCCGAGAGTGGAGGGAAGAGGGCCGCTCAGCTTGTTGTAACTCAGGTCCCTGCAGCATGCCATGCCATGCCATGCCATGCCATTGCGGTTGCCATGTCATTGTCGTTGCCATGCCAGGCCATGCCAGGCCATGCCAGGCCATGCCAGGCCATGCCGTGCCATGTCACACCATCGCCAGGTTATTCAGTCGTTGTATCAGTCGCCACATCAGGATTCCGATTCGACCATGCGGCCGAAAGATTATTGATTGAGCATGGGCAAGAGCATGAAGACGACTGTGAGTAGCGGCAGTAGTGGCACTGCAGTGCAGCAGCTGCTGGAGCAGTGACACGGTGCGATATGCAAAGGTGGAAAGAGCAGAAGGGGCATGGGGTGAGCGGCATGGGGGAAATGGCATGAGGGGAGTGGCAAGGGGGGAGTGGCAAGGGGGGAACGGCAAGGGGGGAGTGACAAGGGGGGAGCGGCATGGTGGGGAGTGGTACTGACAGGGTGGAGAGCTTGGCAAGCCCAGAGACGCTTGCTGGAAGGGCGCCTGTGAGAGCGTTGGTGCCCAGGTTGCTGGGGGGAGGAGGGGGACGCGGATAGAGGGGAGTGGGGGGGGGAGAGCCAGGAGAGTGGAAGGGCGAAGGGAGGGTGGGTGGGAGGAGTTGTGATTGAGACGGCGAGTGGGTAAGGGAGGAAAGGTGCTGGGGATGGGGGAGGCGAGGGAAGGTGATAAGAGCGAAAGAGGTGGCTAGACAGAAACAGGGTGCCGGGGTGTGGGGGGGTTGACGAGGGGTGGCGAAAGTGGTGGAGAAAGGGAGGGGGAGAGGTGAGCACAGGAGACAGAGCAAGGAGAGGAAAGAGCATTGGAAGCAGAGCAGGGAGAGGAGAGGAGAGGAGAGGAAAGCACGGCACGGCAAGGGCAGGGGCAAGGCTCACAGAAACTGCAGGCTGGCGAGATTGCCCAGGGCCGGCGGGAGGGCGCCAGAGAACTGGTTGGACTTCATGTTGCTGCACGGGATGGGAGGGATGGGAGGGATGGGAGGGATGGGAGGGATGGGAGGGATGGGAAGGATGGGAGGGATGGGAGGGATGGGAAGGATGGGAGGGATGGGAGGGATGGGAGGGATGGGAAGGATGGGAAGGATGGGAGGGATGGGAGGGATGGGAGGGATGGGAGGGATGGGAGGGATGGGAGAGGAGAGGGTCGGTGGATGGGACACATTAGCTGGACTTGGGAATCAGAGTTTGTGGTTGGTTGAGCCGAGGGGTAGTTTGGCATGCAGTGCGAAAAACGGAGAGGAGAGGAGGGGTGCTTGCTGGTGGCATGGGGGGGGGTACGAGGAGCAGGAGAGGCGCTCACAGGTAGGAGAGCTTTGTGAGTGTGGGGAGGCCCCCAGGGACGGGTCCTGTGAACTGATTGTACTGCACGTTCCTGGAGAGAGAGAGAGAGGCGGGGAGAGAGAGGAGCGGGGAAGGGAAGCGGGGGAAACAGATGGTGAGGAGGGGGAAGGGAGAGGAAGGGGGAAAAAAGGGAAAGGGATTGAGAAAGGAGGGGAGGGAAGAAGAGAGGCGCGCACGCGCAGGAGCACAGGCGGGACGGGAGGTGAAGGCCAGTTTGAGCGACAATAGCAGGAGCTGGGAGGTTTGAGACATGGGAAGGTCAGAGAAGACTTGCTTGGGACGCAAAATGGACAGGCACTAGATCGGATGGCGGGGGTGGTGGCGAATCTAGGCTTGGAGGTGACTTGTAACGAAAGTGAGACATGAAGAAAGTGGTGATGCAAGGAACGGTGATAGAGAAGGTAGAGGAGAAAGAGGGAGCAAGAGACGGGAGGAAAACGGATAAGATGGGAAGTGAGCGAGAAGGCTGCAGAAAGCAGTTAAAGGGGTCGTGGCGTGAGAAGTGGGAGAAGGGAGGCACGCACAAGTAGGCGAGCGCAGTGGGCAGGGTGGTGAGCTCGCCTATGAACCCGTTGGTGCTCAGATCCCTGCACATAGTGGAGACATGCCACACATGCCACACATGCCACACATGCCACACATGCCACACATGCCACACATGCCACACATGCCACACATGCCACACATGCCACACATGCCACACATGCCACACATGCCACACATGCCACACATGCCACACATGCCACACATGCCACACATGCCACACATGCCACACATGCCACACATGCCACACATGCCACACATGCCACACATGCCACACAAGTGGAAACATGACGCACGGAATGGAGACAAAGCTATTAACGGAGCGCGGCTTATGTGTGAGAGCGGCATGGGAAGGACCTGAAAGGGGAAGTTACAAAGAGGGTTCTGAGCGGAAATCGGAGAGGAAGCGTGATGAGAGGAGTTTGGACTGCGACGGGTGATGAGAGAGGGAAGAGTTTTGGGGCGGCTCTGGAAGCGTTTGTTTTTCTGTGTTGCAGGTATTCTTTGTAGGAAGAGAGATGCGAGAGGGGAGGGGAGGAGGGTGGGTTATACAGGTAGGATAGCTTCGCGAGGGTGTTGAGTAGCGGGACCATGCCATTGAAGTTGTTGCGTGCCAGACTCCTGTTGCCGCGTGCACACATACGTACAGATATGCACATGCATGCGCACATATGCAGATGGGCATGCATGGGCAGACACACACATGAAGACACATGCAGGCTCACGCACTCACCACAAACACACACGCAAACGGACACACGAACACGCAGACAGGAGAACGGTCGTGTGAGAAATTTGGGTGGATACGCGTTGCGCGCGGATGGATAAATAGATAGGGTTGGAAATGCGTGAGGGAATAGTACAAGGGCGATTGGCAGGGGTTTCATGGAAATGCGCGCTGGAGAGAAGGATCGGCATAGAATGCGGCGGCATTGAGTTGACTCTGAAATGATAGGACACAAAAAGTGATGTGGCGAAACAAGGATTGCGCGGGTGCGAAATGTGCAACAAGGCCGCAAGAGAACCGCAAGACGGTGCGAGAGGGTGCGAGAGGGTGGGGAGGAGCAGAAGGAGGGCGACGGCAAAATCGAGGGTGGTGTGGTGTGTGCGAGGCAGCAGGGCGTAGGCGTGCGTGCGACTCACATCCACTGCAGCTTGTTGGCGACACCCACGGTGATGGGGATCCCGCCCGTCAGAAAATTGTACGTGAAGTCGCTGCTCGTGCCGGCAAACACACGTTGAGAATACCCGCGTACACGCACACGCACACCCGCACACACGCGTGCACGCGCGCACACCCGCACACACGGGCAGATCCGCATGCATGCGCGCACCCCGCATACCCCGCGCACAGCCGCACACACACGCCCACGCCACACACGCGCATACCCCGCACGCGAGACGCAAACACGAAAGGAAACAAGAGAGGTGAGAAAGGTACAAGATACAGCGTCCGCGCGGGTGGCAAGACAGAGATGCCCGAGAAAAGCGCGACTATCACGTGTGACTCCCATCGAGCCTCCCGCCCACCCCGCTTCCCGCGCCCTCCCGCTCCCTCCCGCGCCCTCCCGCTCCCTCCCGCGCCCTCCCGCTCCTTCCCGCACCCTCCCGCACCCTCCCGCTCCCTCCCGCTCCTTTCCGCACCCTCCCGCACCCTCCCGTTCCTTCCCGGTCGGCCCTCCGCGGTGGTGTTTTCGTCACACGATGGGCGCAACTGGCCGCGCAATGATAATCGAATGCACGACCGATGTTCTTCTTCCACAGCATCGGCAATTTGCTCACAGCATGGTGAGCTTGTCGAGCATCAACAGACTCTCGGAAAGGCTGCCTGAGGCGCCTCAAAAACACCATGAACGAGCTCTTATTCTTGCACACAGCATGGGCGGTTTCGGGTTACTCACAGCATGGTGAGCTTGTCGAGCATGAACAGGCTGTCGGGGAGGCTGCCTTTGAGCCCCGATCCCGACATGTTCCTGCCGCAAGAGAGAGAGGGGGAGGGGGGGGGGAAGGGGGGAGCGGGGGAAGGGGGGGGGGGGGGGGGGGAAGGAGGGGAAGTGGGGAAAGGGGAAGTTTGAGGACGGATGGAGAAGGAGAGGCTGCTGCAACAACGGCCGGCATTCTTGGATTGACAACGGCAATGGTCATTGCAACAACGGCCGGCATTCTTGGATTGACAACGGCAATGGTCATTGCCGGTTAACGACGCTCGAGTGCGGCCGGCAGCCCCGTACGGAGCTCGCTGCTACGCTGTCGTGCAGATCGCGCGCGAGTCGAGCCGCGACTCACATGGAGGTGACGTATCCCCCGACGTCGCACGTGATCTTCTCCGCCGTTGCGCAGTTCGCTCCCGCCGCCCATCCCGTGAACGTCTTGCCCCATGCCTTCTGGCACGCCTGCAAGACGGTCACTGCGCGCCGAGCAGGGGAGATACGCAGAGACAGGCGGGAAAGAAAACATCGGGCGAGGAACGAAGACGAGGGCACGGGAATGACGGGGGAGGGGGAGAGATGGGGGGGGAAGGAGGGGAATGGGGAGGGGGAGTGGGAGTCGAACGAGGAAACATCGGGCTAGCGGCCAGAGCGAGACACTGGATACGGACGGAAGAACGTGGCGGGGACAGGGCAGACAAAGAAAGATCCCTGAACGAGATTGCGACAGGTCGAGCGCATCGCGTGAGCAACGATGAATGTCAGGGCGTGAGCAGATATGAGATGTTGCAAAGACGGCATTGAAGAGTCGATTCAGATTCAAGGGAATGCAGTAAAGATTTTCCTTCGTTAGGTCAACTGAGATCTGAATTAGTGGTTGCTGGATTGGTTTACCTTGAGAGGGATCGATGACGACAGCCATGGCAATGCTGCTGCAGCACAGCAGCAGCAGCACGCTGCTAAGCACCGCCGCCGATGAACGCGCTGCCGAACCCATTTGCGGAATGTCAGACGGGGAGGCACGGCAGAGGTGGCGTGGCGGCTACGAAGCCTAGCAACGCTGAGGAGGATGGCGGAGGAGGGAATTTCAAAACCAATCTCTTGGATTTGAGCTGAGAATGGTGAGAATGGTGAATGCTGAGCAGTGCCGTCGTCCCCTGGTGCAAGTTGCTGGTTGGGTCGGGGAGGGTGGTTGCTTCTGCTGGGGTGCTGTGGGTTCGCTGCTGTGGGGGTCCTGAAGCTCTGGTTCGCTGATGTCGGTGATGGAGGTGAATTCCTGCTATGAATCTTTTGTTCGTTCATCCGCCAAACCAGTTTCACCAAATGGCCGTTGCTCATTTGGTGGAAGTGCGGAAGAGAATCGTTTGACTCGGAACCGCAAACGTGTTTTGAAACGTTGGGTGTAAAAGCTTCGGAGATTATATACAACAGAGTACTGCCATTTGCTTTGCTTCTGAGACATAATGGTTGAATGACGACTTGGATATTGAGGTCCGACGCAATTGTTCGAAGTCCGTCTCCTGCCCGAATAGGTGGCTCTTGTAGGGTTTCCAGGAAACAAAGTGACGTTCGGCGGTCGACCAACGACCCATCCATTTCCTGGCCGGAAAACCTGGAAACATCAGGCGAGGAATCCGGGGTTGCCTTTTGGAGGGAGATTTGTGGAGTCTCCCAGCAGCATTTTCAAAAAGCTGCGTCATGCTGGTTACCTTCCCCGTGATCCATTCGCAAGCACAGTTGTATTGGAATGCTGCTTCGTGGAGTGAGTGCGGATTGGACGGCAGTTCTCATTCAATTTGGGATATTGCCACCCTACACTAATTCCCATTGTTATGAGTATTTTAACAGCAAAATAATACGACCAAATCATGATTGTGCTTACATCTACAACCATAAGTGTGACCACATAAACCCAGATTTAATAAGATGGGTCAATATACTGGATAAGAGCAACCAGAACTTTCAAAGGGAGCAGAGCATGAACAATAGGGCTTAGATTGACTCCTTAGGCTTCGTGACCCATGAAGGTTTCACAAGGTGCAAAAAAGTTCAAAATGTATAACATATGGCATTTTTACACAATGGGTTAGACAAAAGAGGGCGTGCAGAAGATGTAATGTAAGGGACCTGCCCACAAGTATCAATATTGTGCCCGTGGAATAGTGATTTTGATGGTGTATGCAAATACTCGTCTAAGGATGTTTGCAGGATTCAGGTGGTTGAGCAACAACACAACGGCGTGTCAATTGGAGACTCGAAACCCTACCCAAACGCAAGAAAACAGCAAACCAGCCGCTCTGTCACGCACAACATCGTACTTCACCGTAATAAAGTCAACTCATGTCACGCCCTCAGCCTCCCCCACTTCACGCCCCGCATATTTTGTCCTTTGTTGCAGGAGGGGGGTTCTGTCCGTACAGCAAGCAATCAAGCCAGAAACCTTCACCTCGTGGAGAGGTGCGGAGCGAAGCCACCATGCGACCCCCTCCCCGATCCGATGAGAGTTGTACTCTACTGTACACCTGGGCTCCGGTACACAGAATGAGAGTTGTACAGTCGGTGCTCATTTCAAGAACACCAGGTAGGCGGGCGGCATGTGAGTGAAACGAGTTTTGGACATTTCGCCACATTCGCCCTTGTCGCCACGGGCAAAAATGTGATTGTAAAATGAAATTGAAATGTGAAACGAGACTGGGGGTTTAAGTTCGTAACCAGGTAAACAATTCTGATGACAGGCAGCCGTTGTTGTTTATGAACTGTAGATGTTTTTCTTCCTCGACTTGGTGACTGTACCCTGAAATCAGCACAATCACCACTCACAGGCAAAACGTTCGCGAGTGATTGATTTTCTAATTGTGATAAGCAAATTTTTGTGATAGGCTGAGCATCGACTGTAATTACAGAATGTGGGCACCGAGCCGCGTCCTTGTCGTTTTCCCCTGGAGTTGAAATTGGGGGGAACAAAAAAGTTCCCTCTAATTTCAACACTCTCACGAAAGATTTCGGGGTTTCGGACTTTTCTGAACTGAGCGAAAGCGGTTGTATTCGGGATTTCGGGGTTTCGGACTTTTCTGAACTGAGCGAAAGCGAGCAGGCAAAATAGTGAAGGGAGGCCCAGCTTGAAATCGGGGGGGATCAAAGCACTGTTGCAAAAAGATGGGGCAATGGAGATCGAAACTTCTTGTCCAACCCGATTGGCTCCCGCCAGATAACTGATCACACAGCGGAAAATGAGGGCGCCAAAGTTCCGTGCTTCTGAAAAACTTCACGTTTGATCACGCGACACCAACTGGTTGGGTGGAAGCCGACGCCTCCCATATCCAGTTGGACCCAACTGGAGTTTCAAGTAGGACTTGGGTTCACTTTACCGTTCGTGCATCAGCCAATATCATAATTAGCACAACTATCATGGTAGCTTTAGTAGTTACTTCACGGATACTCATGCACGACTCGAACATGCTCATCCGCGCAACGATCACAAGCCCTCGCCACATTCTCATTCCACCTTTCTCGTCGCCCTCGCTGCCGCGCTCGGCCGGTCGTTATCTCCACTCCCTACACGTCGCGCTCGGTATCTACCTTTCCCTTCCCGTTGAGCTCTTGATATTTCCCCTCCCCGTCCGGTCGAGCTTTCGTTTTCCCCTTCCCTTTCCGTCGAAAATTCGTTTTCCCTTCCCCTTCCCGTCGAGCTCGCGTTTTCCCCTCCCCTTCCCGACGCGCTTTCGCTATTTCCCCTCCCCTTCCCTTCACGCTATCTCCCCTCCCGTTACAGTCGCGTTCACTGTTTCCCCTCCCCTTCCAGGCGCGCTTGCTATTTCCCCTCCCCGTCTAGTCGAACTCGCATTTTCCCCTCCCCTTCCAGTCGCTCGCTATTTCCCCTCCCCTTCCCGTCGAGCTCGCGTATTTACCTCCCCTTCCCGTCGCGCTCTCGCTATTTCTCCACCCCTTACCGTCACGCTCGCTATCTCCCCTCCCGTTACCGTCGCGCTCGCTATTTCCCCTCCCCTTCTAGGCGCGCTCGCTATTTCCCCTCCCTTTCCCGCCGAGCTCGCGTTTTCCCCTCCCCTTCCCGCCGTGCTCTTGCTATTTTGCCTCCCCTTCCCGCCGCGCTCTCGCTATTTCCCCTCCCCTTCCCGTCGAGCTTGCGTTTTCCCCTCCCCTTCCAGTCGAGCTCTCGCTATTTTGCCTCCCCTTCCCGCCGCGCTCTCGCTATTTCCCCTCCCCTTCCCGTCGAGCTTGCGTTTTCCCCTCCCCTTCCAGTCGAGCTCTCGCTATTTTGCCTCCCCTTCCAGTCGCGCTCGCTGTCTCCCCTCCCGTTCCCGTCGCGCTCGCTATTTCCCCTCCCCTTCCAGGCGCGCTCGCTATTTCCCCTCCCCTTCCCGTCGAGCTTGCGTTTTCCCCTCCCCTTCCAGTCGAGCTCTCGCTATTTTGCCTCCCCTTCCCGCCGCGCTATCGCTATTTCGCCTCCCCTTCCCGTCGAGCTTGCGTTTTCCCCTCCCCTTCTAGTCGAGCTCTCGCTATTTTGCCTCCCCTTCCAGTCGCGCTCGCTGTCTCCCCTCCCGTTCCCGTCGCGCTCGCTATTTCCCCTCCCCTTCCAGGCGCGCTCGCTATTTCCCCTCCCCTTCCCGTCGAGCTTGCGTTTTCCCCTCCCCTTCCAGTCGAGCTCTCTATTTCCCCTTCCCTTCCCATCGCGCTCGCTATTTCCCCTCCCCTTCCCGTCGCCTTTTCATGGTCTCAATTGTCGGCGGTTCTTACCAACGAACTGCATTCCTCACATGATGTCCGGTAACGTTCCATAGGGTTCGGTACGGTGACATTGCTGCCTCCGCGGACAGCACGTATGCTGTGTTGGTGACTCCGTTGACAGAGCGTGTCTTGCACTGGTGGCTTCTTCCCTTCCCGCCGCACTCGGCTTCTCCTTTCCTCTCCCCGTTTCCCCCGCTACCGTATCTCCCGTCCCGGCCCATCATCTTCGTTCATCATCACTTTCCGTCGCGCTGCCTCATTGTCTCTGTTCCCCTTCGTCGCATTCACGCTCTCACATCATGTCTCCCTGGACACACTCCATCTCTCTGCCATTCTCATCACCATACCCGCCCATGCGGGTTCCTACCCTACACCATTGCTTTGTCATCCATTCTGTTTCTTACTCAATAACTGTGGACATGCTGCGTGCATGGTGCCAGGCGTGAATGTAGCAGTTTCTCACATGTAGGAATCAACGAGCTCAATGCAAATTTGGAAGTGGAAATGCCATTGCATGCGTGCGACAGTGTTGTGCATGTTGCGACAGCTTTCTTGTCATTGCACCAGGGATTGGAAACGATGTCAATTCGTCGCTGAAGACTTGCCTTGGTACGGACAAAACAAAAACAGAAAGCCAACTTCCGGAAAAAAAAAAAAAATCTTCAAGTTGGACCCAACTCGAATTGGGGGTCACTATTTTGCCTTGGTATCGGAGGGTTGTTGGGAGGACCGAACCGCTCTCAACCAGGAGCCACAGATGACGACAGGGGCCTTGCAATTAGGGGGAATGAATTTATTGGAGCCCAGGTGTACTGGCGGTGCGCGTTGGGAAACTGGAAAGACCCCACATCGGCAGCAAAAGCACCTCCACTCCCCACTGTATTTGAAGAACTTTCGAACGGGTTTGGAGTTGGACGTCGTGTGCCAAGGTCAGGGCGCGTACCCTCCCTCGATCGATCCTGGCCTCGATCGATCGAGGGACATATACAATGTCGCAATTGACAGGGTAACCAGAATTCGAGAAGGAATACGAATCTTCAGTAACGGGTGCATAACGATCTTGTCACCTACGCTGATGAGATCGATGTGCCCTCGTGGCCACACCGATCTCGGCTTTAGTAGGATCTAGGGTTTTTTTGCCCCTTGTATTCTCGAACCTGTCACCCAGGGATCGAGATCGATCCGCTGCTGTCACCTCCTACCAATCCCTCCCCAATCCTGCGATCGTTGTGCCCGATCGGTTTTTCACAGCGATCGCGCGATCGATTGAGGGAGGGGACGCGCCCTCACTTGGACGGTGATGGAGATGCTTCGTTCACAATCGCAAATATCGTGCAGAGGTGTAATGCGGTCGTTTGCTAGCTGTTGTTCGCAACCACCTGAATGCTGCTGTTTTCGTGCCTGCCTGCAAACAATTTCAGCACTTTTTTCGTTCGGGGCTGCCGTAAATACAGTGCGGGGATAACGAGCTGTACAGTACACTGCAGTTTTGGATTGCCTGGACCAAGAAGACCAATGGGAAAATATGCCATAAGTAACGAACTTGGGACTCGATAACGTAAATGGTACAAAAAAAACGCGTACGGTCACTGTATCGGGTTTCCAGACGGGTTTGGTAAGTGGGGTCACGGATTCAGTCATTAACAACAGGTAAAAAATCACGCGAATGGTCACACATGTAACTCCCGCAAAAAAAAACTTGAAACTCAACAAAATTCCCGCTCGCCCCCAACCAATCTGCGAACTTGTAAAAAAAACTAAAACCCAATCGGAATCGGATGCGGTTCGGGAACGGATCAACCCTAAACACCTGGCTAGTTACGTGTTAGGGTTGATTCATCCGAAAATGCACCCAGATTCTTTTTGGGTTTCATTTTGTTTTGGCGGGAATTTCATCTGTGACCATTCGCGTTTTTTTTTACCTGTTGATTGTGACTGATTCCGTGAAACTCTTTATCAGTCGCGTGAAAACACCCTTTGCAGTGACCGTACCCTTTATTTTTTTACCAACTGTGTTATCGAGTCCCATGAAGGTTACGAATGGCATATTTTCCCAAGACCAATGGCCCATCACACTCTCGGGGGCAGATCATGGACAACGGCTTCGGAAGTCGTTCAAAGCGGTTACGTACGATATTGTGCAATCCACGCTCACCCGGCCCAAGCACTGCAAAAACACAAGCTGACCCGCCCTCCCTCGCCTGGGCACGAACCCAAAGCTTGACAGCAGCACCAACCAACCAACCACCGCCGCATTCACTTCGGTACAGTCCTACACATTCCACAGTTGCATCCAATCCAACGCAACGTTTTTCTGAATGCACCGCCATCCCCAAGTGCTTGTGCACAGTCCTCCTCGACTTTCCCCGTCAGTCAGTCTAACGCAGGCAACAACCATCCATCCGCTATTGCTCCTCCTAATTAGTTTCTTATCATCGCCTTAACTCGCCCCAAATCGGATCAGTTTTCTCCTTGGCCCACCGACACGAGTACTGTCGTGATACGTAACTTATTGACACTTTACTAGCCATACCAAGTCGCGATGCGTTTCTCATTTCCTCCTCGATCCCTCAGTCTTAACTCGCGCTAACCCACTAATCCTTTAACATGGCATCATCATCAGCGTACATGCAGCGTCCCACCACCGGCGGCGGCGGTGGCGGCGGCGGCCACCGAACGTCCGCGGGTACCAACCGGCCAGCAACCAGCGGGGGTGGCCGGGAAAGTACCGTGCGGGGTAGGGCGTCGACGGGAGCTCCGCGGAACAACCACGGGCGGAACTGCCCATCCCCGCTGGACGTTAACGACGATGGCGGACACTCCTTCCCCTCTCCCCGCAGTCGCCCCGCCGATACCTTTTCGACCGCCAGGCGACACCATTCCCCCTTTGACTCTCACCGCGGCGGGGGGCGCGTCGCCCGCAGCGGCGCATCCGGCTGCTTAGATAGGTATCTGGGGGAAGACATGGCGGAAGCTAGTTTGGAGGGGCCTCAAAAACAGCGGTATCCGGGGAAAGGGATGGCGGAGATGGCGGAGGAATGGCCTCCGCGGAGCTCCGTGCGGCGCTCGATGCGGCGCGCGGGTTCCATGGAGGTTTCCGCGCTGATGCTGCGCGCCAGCGATTTCGACCCCCCAACCTCCCGCGGCCTCGCCGCGAGCTATGGCACCCGCGCGGGGAAGGGGCGCGCTGAGCACGGGGAACACGGGGATGCGCGGAACAACGCGAGCAGCCGCATTGAGGGAGGAGCGCGGCAAGGGTGGCGGAGCGAGCGTGCGGACGGCGCGGGAAGAGCAAGGGCGTCGCGGGAGGGCGGGGAGGAGATGCGCGAAGGCAGAACGGGGCGGCGGAGCCACGCGAGTGCGGCGACTGTAGATATTTACCGGGCGGAGGAGGAGGGGGAAGACGAGGAGGAGGCAGGCGATACGAGCTGCGACATGTCGCCATACGCGACAGGCGACACCTTTGGCGAAATGTCGCTCTACTCCACGGGCGACACGAGCAGCTACAGGAGCAGCCGCCAATCGCGGTCCAGTCAGGAGTCCGACGAGGCGGACAGCGCCGCCTGGGGGGGCTGGGGCGCGCCGTGGGCGGAGGGCGGGGGCAGCGAGCGGGAGAAACCGCGGGTGGCGGAGCCGAGGTTCGCGGAGACGGCGGGCGCGGGGGGACGCGCGCGGAGGATGCGGCGGGCGGTGAGCAGCGTGGGGGGCGGGTCGTTCGGTAGCAGGGGGATGGGGAGAGAGGAGGCCGCGTTTCATGCGTTGTCCCCCCGGCGGCGCACAGCAGCAGGAGAAGCGGGAGGAAGGGGAGGAGCAGGAGCAGGAGCATTTGAAAATGGTGGTGACATCGGCTCGAGAGCAAGGATTGGGAGGAGGAAGAGCGGTGTGCGGTGGGATATAGCGATCCGGGACGACGAAGAGGAGGAGGGGGACGGGGAAGGGGAGGGGGAAGTGGAGCAGGGGAGGGCAAGGGGGAGGGGAGGGGGAAGGGCAAGGGAAGGGGAGGGGGATGTAAGGAATGCGCGCAGAGGGCACGAGGCGGACGAGGAGGAGGACGAGCGCGCATCTCGTTCCCCCCACTCGTGCAGCAGCGGCAGCTACCTGCGCTCGCCCACGGGCAGCGCGGAGACGAGCGGATCCGCCACTCCCCGCGCTGCAGGCGCGCGCGCCGGCGGCGCCAATCGCGCAGGCGCGAGAGCGGGCGCGGGAACGGGCGGTAACAGTAGAGTAATGGAAACAGGTGGTGATGTCGCAGGTACGAGATGGGTGCAGGGTGGGGCGACGCGGAGAGAAAGCGAGAGGAGACTGAGTGGCGGCAGTGAGAGAGGGGCGGGGAGGGGAGCAAAGGGGGTGGCGGAAGGGGAGGAGGAAGAGGAGGCGGAAGGAGAGGAGGACGGGGCGGGGTATGCGAGGGAGGATGAGCGGGAAGGAAGGGGAGGGGAGAGCGCGTTGCTAGGGCTGCGCTCGCCACAGGGACAGGTGCTGCCAGGCATGGTGCTGTGCCCCGCGTCCCTTGCCCTCCCCGCCACACCTGCAGCGGAGTCGCCTGGTGGAAAAGCAACAGCATCTCCGCAGCAGCAGCAACAGCAGCAGCAGTCATTGGCCTTTGATTCGAGCCAGCAGGCGCAGGTCTGGGGGCGGGGGACTGGGGAGGGGGAGGGGAGCAGAGGAGGCGGGTTGGGGGAGGAAAGGGGGAAAGGGGGTAGGAGTTTAGAGGAGGAGGGGCGCAATGGGATGCAGAGAGGGGAGGAGTGGCTGGCGGGGATGCATGGGATGATGCTGCCTGGGCGGGGGATGGGACGGGGGCGGCTGTCTCGGGGTCTGTCCATGTCTGCATGTGCGCTGCGGCGGTTACAGGAGGATGGGAGTGAGAAAACCAGCAACTGTGATAGTGGCAGTGACAGTGACTGTAACGGGGGAGGAGGCTTTCGTGGTGGAGCGAGCACAGGGAGCGTGAATGTGAAGCACTCTGGTGGGGGGGCAGGGGAGCAGCGCGGGACGGAAGGGGGAGGGCGGGGCGTGGAGGTTGGAGGGGGCGTGGGGAGGGGAGGCGGGCGGGGGAGGGGCGGCAGCGGAAGTGGGCGGGGGATGAGGACGACGTCGCAGCATGGGCGGCACAGCAGCATGTCCTGGGCGGCAGAGGCGGCCATTCAGGCAGCGATGGGCGTGGGTGGCGATGTGGGTGTGGGTGTGGGAGAGAGGCGGGGAAACGGGGAGAGGTTGGCTCGTAGGGACTCCATGCCTCTGCTGGCACTGGCGCATGTGGATGAGCATGAGGGGGAAGGGGGAAGGGGAGGGGGAGGCGGAGGGGGATGGGGAGCGGGAGGGAGACAGGGGAGCCGGGTGGTGCAAGAGGAGAAGGATGATGCGCGTGATGGGAAGGCGAGGAGAGTGAGCGGAGGAGGGTCGCGCTCCCCCTGTGTGAGCCGGAATTGCACTGCAGATGCTACTGCGACTGCTGATACCGCTGATACTGCCACAAGCCATGGCAGCAGCACCAACCGTGGTCTCCGAAACAGCGTTGCTCTGCCCTCAACCCAACAGCGCCAGCAGCAGCTATCTCCTCTCTCACTCACACCCCGCCTCCCCCACATATCCCCTCCCCTTCGCCAGCAATCCTGCGCCGCCCTCCTCGATCCGGACCCCTCCGCCTCCTCCTCCTCCCCCCCTTCCGCCTCCGCCTCCTCTCCCCTCCGCCCCCCCGCCCGCACTGTCTCGCGCGCTCTGGACGCATGCCAGGCTGCGGGAATAGGCGCAGGGGGAGTGGTGCCCAGCAGTAACAGCAGGGGGGGCGGTGGGGGCGCGGGGGGCGTGGCGGAGCGCATGGCAGGGCGCCTGGCGTCTACCCTGTCGGGGAAACTGATGGGGCTGGCGCGCCTGGGGAGCGGGGTGCTGCTGGGGGAGGCGCGGGGGGGGAAGGGGGGGAAGGTGGGTGGGGGGAGTGGCGGAGGGAAGCATGAAGGTGATGGCGCAGCAGGTGCTGCTGCTGCTGCTGCTGCTGGTGCTGGGGCTGGAGCTGGCATGAATGGCACAGCTGACACTGTTGGTGCCTCTGTTCCTGCAGCCACCACCACACGAGTAGCATCATCACTATCATCACCTCTCTCATCATCAACATCACCACCATCAGCAGCAGCGGCATTTGCTGCAGAGCAAGCAGCAGCAGAAACACTGGGAGGAGAACCACCAGGAGCAGGGGCAGGGGAGCCTAGCCTCCTCCGCCCTGCCACCGCCGCCGCCGCCGCTGCCTCCCGCCCCCGCACTGCCGGCTTTCGTTCCGCCTCCATCGCAGGCCCTTCCAGCCCAGACGCGTCAGCAGCAGGGGGAAGCTTTGCGGAGCTTCTGGGGGGAAGCAGGGCGGAGAAGGGGCTGGGGAGGGGGCGGTTGCGGTCGTCTGGGGGGAGTGGGATGTGGGCGGAGTGGCACTCCTCCTCCTCCTCCTCCTCCCGTGGCCCCGGTGGCTTTCTCGGCGGCGGCTTGCTGATTGGGAAGGCTGTGGGCCAATCGCGGCCCGCCACGGCGGCAGCTCGTGTGTTGAGGTCTCCGACTGGTGGTGGGAGCAGCAGCAGCGGCGGCGGCGGTGGTGGTGGGGTTGTCTCGTTTGAGAATTCTCAAAAAGGTGTGGGGAGGGAGCAGGAGGGGGAGGAGCGGCGGAAGGGAGGGCTGGTGCGGGCGGTGGAAGGCAGTGGGAAGCAGCCCAGGTATGTGTGCCTTGCGCCCAGTGAGGACAGTGAGGAAGAGAGTGAGGAGGGGAGTGAGAGAGGGAGTGAGCAAGGGAGTGAGAAGGTTGGTGAGAAGGGGATGGAGAGGGGAAGTGAGAGGGTTGGTGATAGGGGGAGTGAGAGGAGTAGTGAGAGGGGGAGTGAGAAGGGGAGTGTGAGAGGGAGTGAGAAGGGGAGTGCGAGGGGGAGTGAGATGGGGAGTGAGAGGGAGAGAAGAGTGGATTTGTACGAGGATGACCGTGCTTCGGTGGCAAGCAGTGAACGGACAGGGAAGGGGTTGGAGGTGGGTGGCAGGCATGGCAGGGATGGGAGGGATGGGAAGATGTATGAGGAAGAAGAGCAAGGGGAGCTGTATGGTGGCAATTGGCGGGGTGGTGATGGCATGGGGGGGAGTGCAGGAGAGAGCGAGCAAGGCAGTTTGGGACGGGGAAGGAAGGGCGTGGGTGAGGGGCAATGGGCGGGTTCGCAAAATGGGGCCCACCCCTTGCGTCATGAGGCCTACACTGCGCATCATGACACTCACCCTGGGCATCATCACGAGGCCCACTCCTCGCAACAAGCGAACAGGGGTTTTCCGGCGGAGGTGGTGTGGGCTGATAGTTCGCTTCGTGGCATTGACGATTCCCTGTGGGTTGATCCTGATAGCAAGAGCCACGGACATGGGGCTTGGGAGGAGGAGGAGGTGGGTGCGGAGGAGGGGCAGGGAAGGGAAGTGGAGGAGGAAGAGGAGGAGGGAGGGGGAGGAAGGAGAGAAGGTAAAGGGGTTGAGGGAGTGTAGGGTGAGTCCGTTTGTGGAAGATGAGGAGAGGGGAGGGTGGAGAGGGGAAGGGAGGCGCGGTAGAGGGGAGGTAGAGGAGGATGAGGAGGGAGAAGGAGAGCAGGTAGTTGTGAAAGGAAGGGATTCGTGGGAGTCAAGGAATTCTCAAAAGCGTAGGAATGGGAGTGAGAGGCAAGGAGAGGAGGGAGGGCAGAGCAGGGAATATGCAGCCCCTAAGGAAGAGGATCTGTATGGGGAGAGCCATGTTAATGGAGGAGGAGGAGGAGGAGGAGGAGGAGGAAGAGGAGGAAGAGGAAGAGGAGGAGGAGGATGATGATGGGTGGTGGCGGGACGGCAGACGAAGAGACGACAGGAGACGAGAGGAGGCGATGGAGGAGGAGAGGAGACGGGGGGAGCGGATGAGAGAGGAGGGGAGGAGAAGGGAGGAGGAGAGGAGAAGAGAGGAGGAGGAGAGAAGAGAGGAGGAGAGGAGAAGAGAGGAGGAGCGGAGGAGAGAAGGGGAGAGGAGAAGAGAGGAGAGGAGAATAGAGGAGGAGAGGAGGAGAGAGGAGGAGAGAAAGAGAGAGGAAGAGAGGATTCGGGAGCAGGTGCGAGCAGAGGAGAGGCAGAAAGTCCTGGAGGAACTGGAGCGGGAGAGGGAGCAGCGGAGGAGGGCAGAGGGGGAGCTCCGGAGGCTGGAGCAGGAGAGGAGGGAGCAAGAGGAACGCATGCGAGCAATCAAGGAGAAGCGGCGAGCAGCCAAGCAGAGGCTACGGGTTGAAGTAGCCGGGCTGCGTACACCCACGTCCGCCTTTCCCTCGTCTTCCTCCTCCTCTTGCTCCTCCGCTACGTCCTCCCCGGTGTTCTCCCCCCTTATGTCGTGTCCTGTTAGGTCTCCTTCTCCTCTGTTCGCCTCCCCGCTTTCTGCCTCCCCTCTGTCCGCGTCCCCCCTCTCCGCGTCCCCTCTGTCCTCCTCCTCTCCCTTCCGCAAGACAGCGAGGAGCAGCAGAATGGAGCAGCAGCGGGCGGAGGCGCGAGTGGGAGGGGGAGGGGGAGGGGGACACTGTGAGGCGCCGGCACGGACTGGCGTGGCTGCGTGGGCTGATGCTGTGGACGCTGGGGGGAAGTGGCCGGGGGGTGGGGATGCGAGGAGGAGAGATGAAGCGGGTGAGGGAGAGGGAGAGGGTGCGGGAGAGGGGAGGTGGGCGGGTCATGGGGGAATTTGCGGCCTGTGACTCCCGAGCCTATGAGAGCACGTCTGACACGGAAGAACAGAGAGGTGATTCGGCCCGGCAAGGCCAAGAAGAAAAAGAGGGAGAAGGTGAAGGAGAAGGGGAAGGCGAAGGGGAAGGATAGGGATGAGACGGATAAGGAGAGGGAGCAGGGAACGGAAAGGGAGGACGAGGAGGAGGGGAGGGGGAAGGCTGGGAGGAGAGCTGGTGATGTGGTGGGTGAGAGGGCTGTGTGGAGTGAGACGAGGCACAGAGAGGCAGCAGCAGAGGATCGGGAGGGCACTGGTCTCTGCTGGGATGGTAAGAAAGGGGCAGGGACGGGGAGACAGAGAGAGGAGGAGGAGGAGGAGGGCGAGGTGGAGGGGGAGGAGGGAGAGGAAGGGGACGAGGAGGAAGAGGAGGAGGAGGAGGAGGAGGAGTGCGAAGGTGGGGAGTTGCAACTGGAACCAGATGGGACGTTGAACATTCTGCAGCGCCCCTTTGTGCCCGTTGCAGACAGCTACTGGCTGGACCGCAGCGAGCTGGGGCGCGGCAGGTTCGGCATCATCCGGCTGTGCCTGTGCCGCAGGACGGGCGGGAGGTTCGCGTGCAAGACGATCAGCAAGGAGCTGCTGACGTGCCAGCAGGACGTGGAGGACGTGCGGAGAGAGGTGGCGGTGATGGCGTTGATGCACGGCCACCCGCACGTTGCTGCACTCATTGACACGTTTGAGGACGAGCAGGTTGGTTCTCCTCCCCCTTCCCCCATCCCCCTGGAAGCCCCTCTGAGAGGTGGTGGTCATGGGGTTGATGCACGGCCAGCCACCCGCATGTGGGGGCGCTCGTTGACACGTTTGAGGACGAGCAGGTGAGTTGGTGTGACTCTTGAGAATTCTCTGACGTGCCTGCGTGCCAGCAGGACGTGGAGGACGTGCGGAGAGAGAGGTTGTGGTCATGGGGTTGATGCACGGCCACCCACATGTGGCGGCGCTCGTTGACACGTTTGAGGATGAACAGGTGGGTTGATGCAACATGCTTTTTGAAATGATGTGACTTGGATGCGGGGACACAAGCACACATGGTTGTGCTGTTGATTGCTTGATGCTGATCCTCCCACCCTTTGGCCCCCTCCCCACGCCTCTGCCCCTTCCCCTTCTCCCTTCTTTCCCACTCCACGTCTTCCAACCCCCCCGCCCGCCCTGCAGCACGTGCATCTGGTGATGGAGCTGTGTGCGGGGGGGGGTCTATTCGACCGCATCAAGGCCAAGGGGCGCTACTCCGAGCCGCAGGCAGATGGCGCGTGGGCACAAACAAGCACACATTCTTGTGCTCATTCACAAGTTGACTCCTTGACACATCTCGCCCTGTCCTGTCGTGCGTCCCCCCATTCCTCCCGCCTCTCTCCCCTCTTCCCCCCCCCCTTTCCCCCTTCCCTCCCCCACCCCTCCCCCCCTTTCACCGCAGCACGTGCATCTGGTGATGGAGCTGTGTGCAGGGGGCGAGCTGTTCGACCGCATCAAGGCCAAGGGGCGCTACTCCGAGCCGCAGGCAGCGGTGGTGGTGGCGACGGTGGCGCGCGTGCTGCAGCAGTGCCATGCGGCAGGCGTGATTCACCGCGACGTGAAGCCCGAGAACATCCTGCTGTGCACCAAACAGAGTGATACTGATGTGAAGCTCATTGACTTCGGCGTTGCCACCTTCTTCCACCCTGGTGAGACGAGAGGATGCAGGGGGGGATGAAGAGATGGGAGGGAGGTGGGGGATGAATAGGCAGGAGCACGGGCGTGGTGCTGTACTGTACATCCTTCTGTCGAGCCTGCCGCCCTTCTTGGCTCCTAACAACGAGGGTATATATGCCGCCATCAAGGCCGCCGTGGTCGGTCATCTCATGCATGCAAACACTTTCCTGGTTGGTTGTTCTTCCCCCTTCTGCTCATTCTTTCCCCGCCCTGCTTATTCCCCCTCCCCTTCCCTCCTTCCCCTCCCCATCCCACAGGTGTTCCCTGCACGGACATGGCAGGGAGCCCCTACTACCTAGCTCCAGAGGTCTTAGCAGAGAGCTACGGCCCGGAGGCGGACGTGTGGAGCACGGGCGTGGTGCTCTACATCCTGCTGTGTGGCCTGCCGCCCTTCTTGGCGCCCACCAAAACAACGAGGCTTCCTTCACCACCATCAAGACCGCCCCCGTCAACCTCGTGCCCTCTCCCGCCTAACCTCCTCCTCCTCCTGCTTATTCTTTCCCCCCTTCCCACCACCCCTTCCCCCTCCCCCCCACCCCTTCCCCCCCCCCCGGTCCAGGCGTTCCCTGCACGGACATGGCAGGGAGCCCCTACTACCTAGCTCCAGAGGTCCTCGCAGAGAGCTACGGGCCCGAGGCAGACGTGTGGAGCACGGGCGTGGTGCTCTACATCCTGCTCTCGGGTCTGCCGCCCTTCTGGGCGCCCACCAACGAGGCCATCTTCCAAGCCATCAAGGCCGCCCCGGTGAATCTAGTGAGAGCGCCGTGGCCATCGGTGTCGGGGGAGGTGCGGGACCTGGTGCGGCGCATGCTGGAGAAACGGCCGGAAGACCGGATCACGCTGGCGGAAGTGCTGGGTGAGTGTGTTTCCTGCGCGTGTTGGCGGGGTTCTTACTTGGGTCTGGGTTGGGTTGGGTTGGGTTGCATTGGGCTGAGATGCATGCATTGGGTTGGGTTGGTTTGAGCTGGGGAGAGCTGCAAAGCACTGGTAGGGAGCGTTTTTCGGCTGTGGCCGTCAGTGTCGGGCGAGGTGCGGGACCTGGTGCGGCGCATGCTGGAGAAACGATCGGAAGACCGGATTACACTGGCGGAGGTGTTGGGTGAGTGTGTGGCCGCATGCGTGGGTGGGTGGGTTGGGATGGCACGGATGAGTTTGGTTGCGTTGGCCTGGGATGGACTGCATTGGTTTTCACTGGGTTGCACTGAGTTGCACTAGGATGCACTGGGATGTGCTGTGCTGGCATGTGCTGGCAAACCGATGGAAGGGAATGAATGTGCTGGTGACTCCATCCCCTCAAACCATGTTCGTTCACTGATTCAAAATTCTCTTTCCGCTGTGTGCAGAACACCCGTGGATTGTACGGCACACATGCCCCCCTGCTGCGCCCAGAGAGGGCAGCTTGTAGCTGGGCGCAAGTGGCACACATGTGCAAACTGAACTGAGTACTGACCAGCAATCACCACCTAGGGTAGCGTTAGCGAGACTAACATTACCTACGTGCCGTTGATTCCTTCACAATGTATGTATTTTCTCTGCCCTTGCCTGACTGCAGCAATATAGGCTTGTTCCTGGTCCTGTGCATGACGTTTCTAATTATATTTGGAAGGAAAACAGTTCCCCATATTATCATTCACCTGTTTTTCAGTTCGCTAAGCTCACACAAAGCATACGGTAGAAAAGTCGCACTAGCTTCCCCACAAGATCATACATTGAGCCCATGCCACACCCACCCTCCCTCCCTCCCCATACATCCACACCCACAGGCCATAGCCCGATCCGATCCCCTCACCCACTGGTGTCAGCACCTCCCGACACCAACTTTCAAGTCTCCTCAATAAAGCAGACCCAACAGCGGCCTCAGTCAAACCGCAGCAGGAGCGACAGCAGCATGCCTACCTGCCTACCTGCCTGTCTGCCGTTTGAGAGCCACAGGACGTGATGAATTCAACGGTGGGGGGACCGGACAACGTCACGAGAATGCACCGCAACCACCTCCAATACATTACTGAAGCACGGCACTAGACTAGAGCATGAGGGCTGCAGCCAGCAGGGCCAGCAGCAGCAGGCAGAGAGCAGCACGGGCTGCAGGGAGAGGACCGGCGGCTTTGGGCGGTGGGGGTGCAGGCGAGGGGGTGACAGGCGCAGGAGGGGGAGGAGGAGAGCTGGGGGGTGCAATTTCGGGAGACGGGGCAGGGGAGGACGCGGGGGCAGGGGAGGACGCGGGGGCTGGTGACGTGGGAGGTGATTGGGCCGGGGTGGAGGTTGCTGGGCCTGCACACAAGCACGCACGCATGCACACACGGATGGACGTGGAAAAAATCACGAGGGGTTTACGAGATTTGAGGGAAATCTCTCGACGGTTCGTGCTAGCTAGCAAGGTTTTGCAAAGTCTAGCAATAAAAATATATCTCTCACTCTTTCTCGAGAGTGCATTCATTCGCTGTTGGGGGAAGTGCAGTGCTGCAGTTGGTGGTGCAGAAGGCAAGGCAGGCCTGGCTGGCAGAAGGAGTTGGGTGTTGAGACGTCTCAAAACTTACTGCCGGGGGGAGTACAGGTGGTGCAGAAATCGGGGCAGGCCTGGCAGAAGGAGGAGTTGCCCTGCTGATTCACGCCCATGCAGCTGCCGCCACTGGGCGGACACACGGGACTGCTGGGACTGGTGGAGTTGTAGAACCTGCGATAGGGGAGGGGGGGAAGGGGAGTGTATGAGAACAGGAGGTAAGTTCCCAATTTTTAAGATTGGGATGGAATCACACGGAGGTGCTTCACGAAGGTGATATGGTGAGGTAATGACAGCGAGGCCATAAGACCGAGATACCGTAATACAGCGAGGCCATAAGACCGAGATACCGTAATACAGCGAGGCCATAAGACCGAGATACTGTAATACAGCGAGGCCATAAGACTGAGATACCATAATACAGCGAGGCCATAAGACTGAGAGGCCCTAAGATCGAGGCCATAAGGCTGCGAGAACAGGTATCCAACTACATACTGTGGTGTGTGAAGCTACAGTGCACAGTGTGTGGTGTGACAGTGTTTTGAGAACTGTAAAAAGTGGTGCAGACATGGGCTTACAGGGTGAGCAGATTGGTGAGGTTGCCCAGTGAAACAGGCAGAGAGCCCGTGAACATGTTCTCACTCAGATCACTGCTCATGATGCATGCACACATGCACATCCACATGCACATACACATACACATACACATACACATACACATACACATACACATACATATGCACATACACATACACATACACATACACATACACATACATATGCACATACACATCCACATACACATACACATACACATGCACATACACACGTGTAGGGAAGAATGAGAGCTTGATTGAACCGTCCACAGAAACACAGGCAAGGCAGGAGGTGGCTGAGCAGGGTATATAAATGAACGGTTTAGTGGTGTTGACATAATGCAGCAGGGCTTTACAGCATAGCAGCTGCACAAGGTTATGAGATTTTCAAACGAAACGAGAGAGGTGCCCGTTCAGGGAGAGGTGGAGGTAGAGGCAGGGTGGACCAAGGCCGAGGGATGCACTAAGGGGCCTGAAACGAGGACCATGCAGAACAGACATGACTCGCGACTCAAGGGAGACATACATGAGTGATAATGGTGCGGCAGTGAGGCAGTGAGGCAGGCCCAAAGGGCAAGTGCGGGGGTGCAGGGGTGCGTACAGGTTCTTAAGGTTTTTGAGGAGGCCCATGGAGTCGGGGAGAGATCCGGAGAAGGCGTTGTTGCTTATGTCACTGCCGGGCAAGCCGGAAGACGGAGCAGGGCGAAAGGATGTTCTTGAGTTGAAGTTTCCGCAGGGGAGGTTGCAGGAGGGGCAAGGAGGCGCAACGCTTTGAGCATGCCTTATGTGCCACGCATGGTGCATGCAGCATGTGCGGTGTGTGGTGTGTGCGTGGTGGACGTGTGTGTGGTGTGCATGTGGTGTGTGCGTGTGTGAGGTGTGTGGTGTGTCCGTGTGAGGTGTGTGGTGTGTCCGTGTGAGGTGTGAGGTGTGAGGTGTGTGGTGTGTGGTGTGTCCGTTTGAGGTGTGAGGTGTGAGGTGTGTGGTGTGTGGTGCGAGCATACAGGTAGTCGAGGTTGACAAGGTTGCCAATGGAAGCTGGAATGGACCCAGTGAGTTGGTTGTTCTGCATGTTCCTGCTCGCGTGCATGCACACACATGTTCACACACATGTACACACACAGGCATGTGTACACGTGCAGACACACATGCGGACAAACATGCAGGCACACATGCAGGCACACATGCAGACACATGAAGGGACGCAAATTGGAACGGTGACAAGCGGATGGGAGGGGAAAAACCAACGTGTAGAAACGGAATGGAAGTCAAAGAAGGCATTTGAGACAACAGTGGGGAAGGGATGGGAGGAGGGAGAGGCTGCAGAGAAAAAGCAGGAAGAAGACATGAGAGGGAGTGAGAGAGGGAGTGAGAAAGGGAGAGAGGAGGGAGGGAGGGAGGGAGGGAGGGAGGGAGGGAGGGAGGGAGGGAGGGAGGGAGGGAGGGAGGGAGAGAGAGAGAGAGGGAGGGAAGGGGGGACGAGGGAAAGAGGGTGGGAAAGAAAGGGGCACGTCTCACATGTATTCCATCATCACGAGGCTCACATGTATTCCATCATCACGAGGCTTCCAATGCCCGAGGGGAGGGGGCCAGAGAGGCTGTTGCGGAAGATGTTGCTGCTCTCCGGAAGAAAAGCGGGTGAACAGGAACCAAAGGGGTTCACACAAAAAGGAGGGGAGAGAGAAAGGGGAGGGAGAAAGTGAAACGGTAAGTGGGATGTTGCACACGGAGCCAATGTGAGAGTAGTTGGAGGAAGGGAGTGCGAGGAAGGGGAGGGAGGCGGAGGCGAGGTGAAGCGGGGGAGGCAAGTGTGTGTGTATGAGGAGGGAAGAGGAGGTGGAGGTGGAGGAGGAGGAGGAGGAGGAGGAGGAGGAGGAGGAGCGCAGTGTGTGCCGTGCGAGTGTAGGGAGCAGCTGAGTGGGGGAGCAGTGGAGTGGGGTAACAGGGGGCCAGTGGTGGTGCTCTGATGAGAATTCTGATGAGCGGAGGGGCTCACAGGTCCTTGAGCTTGGTGAGAGTGCTGATGGCGTCGGGGATAGAGCCCACGAATTGGTTGTCGTACAGCGACCTGGTGCAGGCAGGGAGAGAAGTGTGTGCGGTGAGGTGAGGTGAGGTGAGGTGAGGTGAGGTGAGGTGAGGTGAGGTGAGGTGAGGTGAGGTGAGAGGTGAGGTGTGACTTGTGAGTGACATGTGCATGTGTAAGGTGCGTGCACCCGGTGTGCATGAAAGTGCAATGCCTGGCTGACTCCCTCACAAGCACAAGCAGAATGTTGGTCATTTCATTTGCCAGAAAAATAAATGAGCCTGCATGGCTTGTTTGAATCGTGTCTGACGACAGGAGACAGCACACAGCACACATCACAGAGCACAGCACAGCACAGCACAGCACAGCGCAGCGCAGCACAGCACAGCACAGCACAGCACAGCACAGCACATGGCATACGCAGCGTATGGCATGGAATGGTAGTGAATGCGAGTGCATAGTAATGAAAGGTAGTGTGGCAAGGCTTGTTGAATTGAAGCCACGTACAGGTCTCTGAGATTGGAGAGCGAGAAGATGGATGGGGGAAAAGGGCCTGTGAAGTTGTTGTCTCCCAGATCACTGCAGTGCCGCGCCGACGGGGGGAGAGAGAGGGGAGGATGGGGCGTATGTTTTTTAAGAATTCTCAGAAAACGGACGGGGGGAAAGGGCCTGTGAAGTTGTTGTCTCCCAGATACTGCACCACGGTGCAACCGATGAGAGAAGAGAGGCGGGAGAGAGAGAGGGAGGGGAGTGGGAGGGGAGTGGAGAGGAGTGGGGGGGGAGAGGGAGGGGAGAGGGAGGGGAGTGGGAGGGGAGAGGGATGGGAGAGGGAGGGGAGAGGGAGGGGAGAGAAAAAGGGGAGAGTGGAGGGATGGGGGAGGGAGGGGAGAGAGGACACGGAGTGGGAATGCAGGGAGAAGGTGAGTGAGAGGGGAGGGGGTGAGGGAGGAGTTGAGGGTCATTGAAGGAAGATGCTGTTAGCGGATAGAGTGCAGCAGAAAATAGGGTAAGCGCAGGCAGAGAGCAGCACATGTTGAAGGCCAATGAAAAGGCGAACCAAAAGTGGAGAACATGGATGGGGAGAGAATGGATGGCTGGTTGGTGCTTGCATGGATGGACTTATGCTGATAGGGTGGAGATGGGAGGTTGGTGGGTGGGAGGTGGGTGCATGGGAGGTGGGTGCATGGGAGGTGGGTGCATGGGAGGTTATAATGGGAGGGGTGGTGGAAGAAGAGGGAGGGGAGGCGTGGCGGAGGAGTGGGGAGGCGTGGCTGGGTTTTGAGAAGTCACTTCTTTATACACGAGAAGAGGCATGGCTGGTTGACATACAGGAATTGAAGGTTGGTGAGGGTGGAGATGGCATTGGGTACCGTGCCGGACAAGGCGTTGCAACACAGCTCCCTGGCGTATGCGGTCTCCCCACACGGTTTCCCACACACACACGTGCACACATGCACCACATGCACACAGGCAAATACATGCGAATACATGCGGAAACATGTGAAACCATGCACACATGCACAATCACATGCGCACGCACGCACGCACGCACGCACGCACGCATGCGCACACGCATGCACGCACGAGACGCTGGCACAAGTCAGAATAAAAGAAAACAGCCTGGGAGCACAGCAAAGGCAGCTGATGGAAGGGGACCGAGAGAGAGGGGAGAGAGGGGAGAGGCGGGAGGGGCGGGAGAGGCGGGAGGGGGGGCAGAGCGGGGAGAGGGGGCAGAGGGGGGAGGGGGAGAAGAGGGGTGATCAGATCCAGGAGAGGGGGACGAGGTGAGCGAGTGCGAGAAGAGGGTGAAGGGTAGCAGTGCGGATGATGCAAGGGGCCAATAATGGAGGCGGTTAAAAACTGGTGGCATGCGAATGGATGATGCGAATGGGAGAGCGCTCAGCTCACAGGACCGCAGCACTGGTGAGGTTGCTGATGGCGACAGGTAGAGAGCCGGACAGACTGTTGAAGGACACATCGCTGATGGGGGGTGCACGCGATGGGTTGGGATGGGATGGGATGGGATGGGATGGGATGGAAATGCATGCGATGTGTTTGAGGAGGCGATGATAAACAAGTGGGCAAGGTTCAAGGGGGCTTGACTTGAGGGACAAACATGGGGAAGTGCGTAGCGAGGGAGGGCGGGAGGGAGAGGAGGGAGAGGGAGAGGGAGGTGAAAGAGGAGGAGGAGAAAGAGGGGGAGGTGCGACTTCCTGCAGGCACGAGTGATGGATGGATGAGAGATGGACCTCCCATACAAAGTGAGGCGGACATGTTTAGGGATTGGGACGCGATGGAGAGGGCTGGAGTGGATGAGTTGATCGGGATTCACAGAGCAAGATTGGCGGACAGGGATGGGCGGAAAGGGATGGGCGGAAAGGGATGGGCAGAAGGGGAAGGGGAGAAAAGGAAGGGGAGAAAGGGAAGGGGAGAAAGGCAGTGCGGTGGAGTACAGTTCAGTGAGGTGGAAGAAGCTCCCGATGGCGGCTGGCAGCGAGCCTGTGAGGTTGTTGTGGAGGAGACGCCTGGAGAGAGGGGAGCAGCAGGGGGGAAGACGTGAAAGAGGGGGGGGTTGAGGCGGATAAGAGACGGGCTCGAATTGGTGGTTGAGGCGGTAGCAGACGGGAAGGAGACATGCAGGCAGGAAGAGAGTCGACAAAGGGGGCATGAACGAACCGTGATGGTTGGCGCCAGTGGTGTGTGAGGGGGTTGCAGAGAGGATGTGGTGGAGTGTGGGGGAGATGATGTGGGGTGGAGTGGGGTGGGGTGGGGTGGTGGAGATGTGCAGTGGTTGCAGTGGTGGTTACATGAAGAGGGTGGCCGTGAGGGACTGACAGGGATTGGAGGGTGGGATGGACGGCCGCTGGCAACTCCCCCGATAGCAGGTTGTATGCCAGATTGCTGCACATATAAAGGTGGGGGATGTGGAGTGGGGATTGTACTTTTGAGTCGACACAAAAGCAGACTTTTGAGTCGACTCGACGGCCGCTGGCATCTCCCCCGATAGCAGGTTGTATGCCAGATTGCTGCACATATAAAGGCGGGGGATGTGGAGTGGGGATTGTACTTTTGAGTCGACACAAAAGCAGACTTTTGAGTCGACTCGACGGCCGCTGGCACCTCCCCCGATAGCAGGTTGTATGCCAGATTGCTGCACATATAAAGGCGGGGGATGTGGAGTGGGGATTGCAGCACGCTTAGAGCAAGAGATGGGGAAGAGTGAGCGGGGCAGGGAGGTGGGGGGCGATGGGAAGAGAAGGAGCGGCTTGGTTGGGATGGGATGGGATGGGAAATGGTGGTGGGGGAGAGCAGCGCGGCCGCCCAGACGTGGTGTCGCAGCAGGGAACGTCCATGGGTTCGTTTCGGTTGACTAGTGAAATGCAAGTGCATTCGTGGTTACGCACGCTTCTGTGCTGTGCAGTTACGCATGGTGCGCGAGCGGTTTCGTTGTGGGTACGCGTGGTTTATGCGCGGTTGGTTTGTGGTTATGCGCGGTGGCAAGGAAGGAAGAGGTGGAACGCGAAACCAAGAAGATAGAAACGATGACAATGGCGGCCGGCAGGCGGGCAACAACAGAGCAGAGGGCGCACAGATAGGAGAGGCTGGAGAGGGCGGTGCATGGGGGTACGGGGCCCATGAGGAAGTTGGATCCCAGGCTCCTGTGACACGCACGCACGCGGACACATTGGAGAGAAAAGGTGTGGGGGGGGGGGGGGGGGGGTGGGGGGGGGGGGGTGGGGGGGAGTGTGTGATGGGGGGGAAGGGGAAAAAGGGGGAAAGGGGAGGTGGAGAGTGGGGCAGTGGGATGTGAGTAAGGGTGAAGGATGGAGCGTGAACGAGCATCCGAGATTCCTAAGCGTGGCCGAATGCGCGTAGTGCAGTGCAGGCAAATCCACTATCGGATCGAATCCACTATGCGTGGGTGGGACAGCATGGCATAGCATAGAATGGCATAACGTGGCATAGCGTGGCATTGCGTGGCACGGCATGCACAGCACGGCACAGCACAGCACAGCACAGCACGGCACGGCACGGAGACTGACATCCACTGCAGCTGGGAGAGCGCGGTGACGGTGGAGGGAATGAGCCCCGTCAGGTTGTTGGACGACAGGTCGCTGCTCCGCTCCATCCGCGCCCAGCCCACGAGAAAGACACACGCGCCCAGACGGGAAAATGGGGGAGAAGGGGAGGGGAAGGGCGTAGGAAGGCGGGAGGAGAGGGAAGGGGGCGAGAGAGAGATTGAAGAGGGTGAATGCGAACGGTCAAACGGGGGGGTGGGAGTGAGAGGGTGAAGCAGGCTGGTGTCACAAACCTCAATGCGATTGCAAGCTTAAAACGGTAGCCGCAAGCAACCATGGGACTTGGACTGAATCACACACTGAGGTTGCGCGAGAGAGAGCAGCGCATCAGCGTGCATGCATATGAGCGCGCGGGAGTGACCGCGCGGGAGTGAAGCATACTCCTTCGGTGTGTGTGTGTGTGTGCAAGCGTGAACGTCTGCATGCGTGTGGGGAGGTGAGAGTGCGCGCGCACGGGTGGCGCAGGGGTGGCGCAGGGGTGGCGCAGGGGTGGCGCAAGGGTGGCGCGCGGGCGATTGCTCACAGTTTGGTGAGCGCATTCAGCCCGCTGATGCTCAGCGGAATGCTCCCGCTCAGCCCCGCGTATGGCATGTTCCTGCCACACCAGCATAGACACACACACACACAAACACTCACACACGGATGACATGACTTGACATGACATGGGAGTTTGTCAATGCAGGTCGAGGATGATGAGGGCTAGCAGCATGGCAGGAGGGCGCTTTCGACAACTCCTAGGCATGCAAATAAAAAAAAAGGCAGCGGAGGGTGGAGGGCGGAAAGCGCAAGCCGGAGCGCGGAGGGCGGATGGGTGAGCGCGGAGGATCGCACAGCAGTGCAGCGGGGCTCACATGGAGGTAACCATGCCCTGCGCATTGCACGTCAGCCGCGCAGCTTTCGCGCAGTCCGATCCCGCCGACCATCCGGGGAACGTCTGTCCCCACGCCTTCTGGCAATCCTGAAGAACAGCGCCTGTAGCGCGATTCACGCCGTGAAACGCGGAGAACGCGGTTACGCGATGGGATGGGCACCGGAAATGCGAAGGGAAGGTTCGAAAGAGGAGGGTGAGGCTTTTGCGTGAAACGACGAGGACGGCATTTCTGTTCTAGCGTTTGGAAAGGGATGAGTGCGATGAGAGCAAGGGTTGTGTGCGCACGCGAGAGGTAGGAAGCGCGAGGTGAAAGAAGACTCGGAAAGGGGATTGATGCGGAGAAGGTTGACAGCGGGAGCGCAAGAGGAAGGTTGACAGCGGGAGCGCAAGAGGAAGGTTGACAGCGGGAGCGCAAGAGGAGGGTTGACTCAAATGAAACAATGTGCTAAGAGGGGCGGCACCGGTAGTGCCACAGTAAGTGTCGCGTCGTGACTTGATGCAGCAATGCAAGGATGCGCTTCTTTCTTCGTGTGTGCGACGGTGTTATGACAATGGAGAGAGCGATGATGGGATGGCATGCTGACCTTGGGATTCGGCGATGGGTACTCCCGCGGCCAGCAGAACGCAGTGTAGTAACGCTAAGGCGCGCACAAGCGCCGCCGCACGCGATGCCGGCGCGTGCCCCCGCCGCGCCATGCTGTGCGGAGTTGAGCGGGATACGGGGGGCGCGGAGAGGCGGTGGAGGAGCGCGACTGGGGGAGAAGAAGCAAGAAGGTGGTGACGCGGTCTGGTGGTGGTGAGCCAAATCAAGAAATCAAAACACGAGCAATGTGGGTACGGTATGTGGGCCGTGGTGCGTGCTGCAAGAAATATCACAAATTGCAATGTTCAAAAATAGCACTTGATGCCGAGCCGAGCTATGGTCCAGCCAGACTCCAGAAGCCTCCCAGTTCGGAAGGAAAGTGGCGGCGGGGTGACTGACGACGAACGACGATGTGGGGGATGTGGAACCAATGGCAGGGGCGACCAGCGCGAACAGCCAACATCAACACTTTTACAGAGGGTACTGGATTCGTATACTTTCGTTAACGGGTGGGTAAAGCGTACTTCCCCTCGAGGCTCAGCTGCGAAGTCTTAGATGAAGAGGGGACTTTCGGTCTCGCTATCCCTACAAATTGAATCAGGAGCCTCGTCCCACCAGACAGCGGCAAAACAAAAACCTACCGACCAGGGTCCTCTTGTGTCAATGTCAGCAAAACAACCTCGAAAATAAAGGCATAGGCTCCTGGGTCCTGCTCAAACCCAGGTTCAGGTCGCAATTTCTTGTGGCTGTCAAAATGAAGGTGCCCCTTTTCCAGTGTCGGTGGCAATTACTGTAGGGGTGGCGTCGCAGTGTGGTAGATACATTGATCGAAAGTGTAATGAGCAGGCTTCATAATTACGGCAAAATTGTTGCATGTTGTAAAATCACACTAGACCATTATATGGTCTTGATAGGGTGTCTTGATGAGGTCTTCATGAGGTGTCATGATCAGGTTCCCCCTATGTGTCTTGCTATTGTGGTATTCTGTCAGCTGTGCTTTCACTCCTTTATCACCTCCCTTTCCCTCCCCGTAATCACTCTTTCCGTCCACACTCACCTTCCCTACGTACCGTAGTTTTGATCCCTTGCTGTGTTTTGTGTATCTGTTTCTTGTGTCAATACATCTGCATGGGGCACGGAACAAATCGAGCCAATCAAGCAATTAGTAATATGACCAAGTAATGTAGAAGAGCACGAGTCAGATTGGACAGCAGCTGGTTTGCTGAACACACCAAGCGAGCGACTATATAAAATTACATGTGACCAGGAGTAAGAAACAAAGCATGAACAAATGTACCTCTAAGCTTAGCATTTAAAATGTACAGGAGAAAGAGGACAGAGGCATGCAGAGCAAAGGAACACACACATTCAGACCCCCAAATGGACTCTATAGATTACGATACCCAAAACTGCCGTTAGCAGCAACCACCTTGAACCATGTCCAAGGATGTTGCAATCATCGATGCCATCTTCAAGTCCCGTATGATTGTTTGTTACCGTATAACACAAGCGAAATATTCATTCGCCACCACCTTTCTCCTTCCACACCTGATCCTTTTTCCCCCCTCGCTTCCTCCAAGTTTTGTTTGCAGCACCACTGGCACCACCACCACCCCCTACATTCCCCACAGCTCCTTGCCCCCCCTGGTACCCATTCTGCTGGTGCCCCTGCACCCCCGCTCCCCGCCCACCCTGCAAGCCTCCCTGGGCTGCACCATACCCATACCCCTGCGCACCCCCACCACGACCATGCCACCCACCATGCTGCCTCCACCCTCCTCGCCCGGCCCCATACCTCTCCTGCCCTCCCTGCCCACCCTGCGTCCCTCTTTGTCCCTGTGCCCCTCCCTGTCCGCCCTGTGCCGCCCCCTGCACACCTTGCATACCTCCCTGTGGCCCTCCCACCCCTGATTGTCCCTGATCTCCCCACGACCACAGGGCCTGGCTGGGTGGTGGAGGGGGCTGCTCTCTACGCTCTGACTCTGTGTCTGCCCATGCCTCGTCCCCATGGTACCCTGCCCCGTTCCCCCCTCCTCTCTGCGCTCCTCCTCCTCTCCCCTTCCTTGGTCTCCGCCTGCCTCTCCGCCCACCATCCATGCCCTCTTGCATCCCTGCCTCACCACTCGTGGCTACTGCCCCTGCTGATCCTGCTGGTGCTGCCGCTGTGGCTGCTGGTGCTGCAGGGGCCGCCGCTGCCCCTGCTGGTGCCGTTGCTGCTGGTGGCGCTGCTGTTGCCTCCCTACTGACTGCAGCGTGCCCTGCTTCCGTAGTAGCCTTGGACACGGGAGCATGCGCGGCCGCAAGAGACTCAGACGACACAGCACCACTTCCTCCTCTCCCTCCCCTACGACCCCCTCTTTCCCCTCGACCCCTTGCCCCTGCTCCTCCCATTCTACCACCCCCTCTTGCCAAAGCTGTATTATAAGCGGCCGCAGCAGGAGCCGCAGCAGGGGCAGGATCAGGAGCAGGAGCAGGGGAAGGAGTAGTAGCAGGAGCAGGAGGGGAGTGGGCAGGGGCGGAAGTGGGGGCAGTGGCAAGAGCAGGGGCAGGAGCAGGAGCAAGAAGTAGCAGCAGTAGCAGCAGTAGCAGCGGCAGCAACCGCAACGGCGGCAGCAGTAGAAGCAGGAGCAGGAGCAGGAGCAGGAGCAGGAGCAGAAGCAGGCGCGGGAGCTTGGGCAGGAGCAGGGGAAGGAGCAGATTCAGGCGCTTGAACATCTGGGGTATCAACGGCAGCCGCGGAAGAAAGTGCAGTCTTGGTTGCAGTCTTGGTTGCTCCCACATGTGAATTGGATTGACCACCCGAACCTCCCTTCTTCTGACCTTCCCTGTGCAAGTGCTTTTTCTGCTCATCCCCCTCACCCACTACCCCCCCACCCGTCTCAACGCCCCTCTTCCCCTCACCCTCTTCCCCCTGTTTCCTCCCTTCCACATGCACCTCGTGTCTCCTTCCCTCCTCTCTCCTCCCATCCTCATGCTTCAAAGACACTGAGCCTAGCTGCCCAGCAATGGCTTCAGCAGCCGCTACATGTCCGTCTGCTGCAAGGCGCTCGCCTTTCACACCTGCCGTTTTCGCCTTGCCTCGGTCGATCAACACCCCGTGGCTCCTGTCCCCAGCCACGCTCCATGAAACCCCTCCTGTCACGTGCCCCGCAACTTCCCCTGATGCACCGGTCCCCCTCGCATCAGACACCGTTCCTCCTGCACCCACATGGCCAGACGAACTGGTGCTGCTGCTCCCGCCACCGCCGCCGCCGCTGCCAGCAGCAGCAGGGGTAGGAGCAGGGGTAGGGGCAGGAGCAGGGACAGGGGCAGGGGCAGGGACAGGGGCAGGGGCAGGGGCAGGAGGAATAGGCCCAGCAGCAGCGGCAGCAGAAAAGTCACTCCTCAACCCACCGAAGCCCAGGGGGTGTGGAGGACCAAGAGAGGGGCGGGCGAGGCTAAGCACTTCTGCCAGCCCAGGGCCAAGCGGAGCAAGACCCATATGGGGATTCAAATGTGAGGCCGCCAGCCCTAGAGGGTACCCTGACGGTCCAAACCGCATGCCTGGGAACGCTGGGTTGTGGAGTTGGTACGGCGATAGGTATGGACTGACGGCACGTGGAGTGGTGGCTGAGAGAAGAGGGGATTGGGGATTGCCGGGGTGGTTGAGAGTGGTGGGAGCAGCTGGAGCGGAGGATTGGAGAGGAGGGAATGCGTGGTGGGGTTGGGTTCTGTGAGGTGTGGAGAGGAGGGAGGGGACGGATGTGGAAGGGTTGGAAGATGCCTGTGCTGCTGCTTGCTCCCCGTTTAAACGCGACTGCTGCTGCTGCTGCTGCTGCTGCTGTTGCTGTTGCTGTTGCTGTTGCTGCTGTTGTTGTTGCTGTTGTTGTTGTTGCTGCTGCTGTTGTTGCTGCTGCTTCTGCCTATCCTCTTCCCCTGCCTTCTCCCCTACGCCCTGTTTCTTCGCCTCCTTAACCTTTGCTGCTTCCGCACCACTTTGGTTCCCTGCACCGGCAGCAGCAGGAATTAGCTCAGCAGCAGCAACAGCAGCCAGCCCCCTCCCTCCCCTGCTATCCCGCCCAACAGGGCCCCCAATCATCCCTGGAGCAGACGCAGCAGCAGCAACGGCTGCAGCAGAAGCAGCAGCTCCAGCAGCCGCAGCAGCGTGGTGCAAGCCCCTGCCTCTCCCCACACTCACCAGTCCCCGCCCAAACGCGCCCCCTCTCACCCAATCCTCCCCTGGACTCCTCCCAACGCCCCCCCCGCCTACCCCTCCCCCTCCGGCTCCCCCTCCTTTCGGCCCCATCCGGCCTTGATTCCCCCGGTTGAAGCGCACGGGCATGGTGTCAACGGGGTGCGAGGTGGTGAAGGAGGGGCGTGCTTGGTTGGACGGCCACTTGAAGAGGGCCACACGCAGCTGGCGGAGTGAGTGGGCGGGCGGGAGGGGGGAGAAGGCGCGTGCTGCGGCTGCAAAGGCGTCGCAGACGCTTGGGAAGGAGTGCGGCTGCACGGACCGGGCGCAGTTCTCCCGCGGGTCGAATGGATCCTCCACCTGGTGTGAGAGGGAGTGGAGTGCGGTGGAATGGGATAGGGCAGGGTGGAGTGAAGCGGAGTGGGGTGGAGCGGAGTGACGAATGGTGAACAAGTCCACAGTAACACAAGCGGTTGATGGGGATGGTAAGCACGATGGGGATGAATTGAACAGACCAGACCCCATCCCATGCGTGCCAGTCACCAGTGCAGCAGCAGCACTCACGACCCATGTAGTAGCTGCGTTGAGCAAAGGACGGGTGAGTGATAGTGAGGTTTATGCGCCTAGAAATTAGTCATGGTTGGGTGGGTGCAGTGCAGCAGCACTCACGATCATGGAGTAGCTGCGTTGGGCGAAGGAGGAGTGAGTGTCTGTTTTTTAGTCGACTCAAAAGTAGTCTTGGGTGGGTGGGTGGGTGCAGCAGCAGCGGCAGCAGCAGCAGCAGCACTCACGATCATGGAGTAGCTGCGTTGGGCGAAGGAGGAGTGAGTGACTGTGAGGTCGCCCCACTCTGCCGTCAGCGGCCGCACCGCCAGGCCCTGCGCCCACTGCTCGCGCACTGCATCGTACTGCCATGGGACAACGGCATTCGGGCCAAGACGTGAGGTGCATTCCTTACACATCTCTTCAACAGGCAGATGGAACACGACTTACAGTCACTGGGTGGTGTTTTGCCACATAGACACCTGACGTGGGAAAAAGAAGAACTACTGAACGCAGCGCAGAGAAGAGAAGAGAAAGCAGAGAACGAAGAGCACACACCTTGGCAAAGAAAGACGCGAGGAGCACGGCGACACAGCTGGTGTTCTTGCCGGCCCCGCCCCATTCCACTGCCTCGCCCTTGTCCCGCGCTGCTATCATGCTCTCCACCCGCGCCTCACACTCCGCTATGCGCTGATGCCTCACCGCCTTCTGCTCCATGCCCTCCACTGCCCCGTGCATGCACCACACCACACCACCACACACATGCATGCATCGCATGCAATCATGCATGCACACATACACACATCGCATGCAGACGTGCAGCATGCATGCATGCATGCACACGCGCACATGCACATAACGCATGCAGACACGCGACATACATAACACATGCACATAACGCATGCAGACACGCGACATACATAACACATGCACATAACGCATGCAGGCAGACATGCGCACAAGCACCCCAAGATATAAGTGGGTAAGAGTACATTTTCCAAGGTGCTTAAGAAGCAGCCTCCCGCTCTGTACTCTCCATACGGCACGCGCATATGAGGGGGGTGAGGGGGGGCACGAATAACGGGGGTGGTCCAAGGCAGGAAGAGGACAGGGGGAGGAGGCGGCAGGAGCGAGAGGGCATGTGCAGCGCTGATTAAGGAATTAAATATTATATGCGTGCTACGGCTGGAAGCCTCGGCCACAAAAGGGAGCACATGAGAAACACAATGAACGCTGCAGAGTCAGGTAGGGTAGGGTGGGGTGGGGCAGGATGGGGTGGGTTAGGGTCAGGTGGGGTGGGGTGGGGTGGGGTGGGGTGGGGTGGGGTGGGGTGGGGTGGGGTGGGGTGGTGGGCACGCACGTCGTCCGAGGATGTGGCGGATGGGCGGGAGGATGGGCGGTTGCACGGTCTGCAGGTGGAAGATGACGAGCAGAGCGAGCGCAAAGGAGTTGAGCGAGCCGCCCTTGGGGTCGTTGATGCCCTGCGCCTTTGCCCACGCCTTCACCTGCTCGCCATGCCATGCCATGCCATGCCATGCCATGCCATGCCACGGGGAGAGGTTGCACATGGTGGGAAGAAGTGATAAAGCGATGGTCGGGGAATGAGGGGATGGGGGGATGGTGGGACGGGGGGAATGAGGGGACGGGGGTTGAAGGGAAAGGGGGAAAAGAGGACGAGGAAGAGGGGACAGGGGAGCAGGAGGGATGGGCGTGAGAGGGGGGGAAGGGCGAGAGGAAAGAGAGGACGGGTGGGGATGGTATGAATGAAGTGAAGAACACGGAGGGTTAAGGGAGGAGGCGATGGTGCAGCCACATTGAGAGAAGTATTGCAATGAGATTTTGGGTTTCTTTTTGGAGAAGTGCCAAAAAACGTGGCTCACAATGACAATGCGTCAGGGCGCACATGAAGCGAGTTGCGGGTGCGGAGGTGGGGATTGGGGGTTGGGAGGCCTGCAGGCGCGCAGCGCAGAGCTGGGCCGCTGGCGCTAACTAGGAAGAGTGAAGAGGTGACTTTTGAGTCGACTCAAAAGTCACCTCGCAGAGCTGGCGCTTACAAGGAAGAGGAGCGGGCGGCAGCGCGCATCGAATCGCAGCAGCGAGCGCAGCACGGTGGACTTGAAGACGCCCGTGCCGTTGCCCACGGACAGGTCGCACGCGATGCCCGTCGCCGCGTCCGTGAACATCACCAGCGGCACCCGCGCGTGCGCCACGATCTGCACTCCCCGCGCCATGCCTACGCGCGCGCGAGCGAGCGCGGGGGGAGGGGGGAGGGGGGAGGGAGAGGAGGAGGGCGGTGGAGGGGCGGGCGGAGGAGCGGGGAGGAGAGTGGAGGAACGGATGCGACCCCGAGTAACAGGGAAAGGAGAAGCCATGAGCACGTGCGCGCGTTACAGTGAAGAGCGGGAGGGTGAGGTTCGGTGATGGGGATGTGGAAAGGAACCAGAGGGAGGAGGAAGGTGGAAGGGGGCAAAACGTCGTGAGTTTGTGTGTGTGGGGGGGAGGGGTAGGTGTGGGTGTGGAGAGAGAGAGAGAGAGAGAGAGAGAGAGAGAGAGAGAGAGAGAGAGAGAGAGAGAGAGAGAGAGAGAGAGAGAGAGAAAGAGAGCGAGAGCGAAAGAGAGAGAAAACAGACGAACGTGCCTGTGTGCAGCAGGCGGTAGTGACAGACATGGAGCATGTTGACTTCCTGGCTGGCGGCGCAGCTTCGAGACGTCTGTGGAACACAAGAAACAAGAAAAACTATCACACAGAGGACGACGACGACACACCTGTGTGCAGCAGGCGGTAGTGAATGGCATGGAGCATGTTGACGCCCTGGCGGCGCAGCCCGTTGCCGCCCGTGCTGCGCACCTCGCCCTCCAGCGACAGGTCCAGGTCGCCCCACGGCGAGAACAGGTCCGACGCGAACGACCCGAACGGCACCACCTCCATGCCTGCTCGCGGGGAGCGCGCACGGGCGCGCGTACGCGCGGACGCGCGGCGAGCGGAGGGGGCAGGGGGGAAAGGTGCCGGAAGCGGGGAGGGCCAGGGGACAGGGGAAAGGGGAGAGGGGAGAGGGGAGAGGGGAGAGGGGAGAGGGGAGAGGGGAGAGGGGAGAGGGGAGAGGGGAGAGGGGAGAGGGAAGAGGGGGTGTTCCGTCAAGCGTGACCAACGTGTCGTCACGTTTCCACAAAAAACGCGTCACTTGAACCCACGCTCATTTGTTCTTGTTTAGTTCCATTACCATCGTCAACCACACGTTCGTAGCAAACGCTGTCGTTACCTCTGCTTCTACATCTGCCTCTGCCTCTGCCGCCTCTGCCTCCCTCCTACTTGTGCCTCCGTGTAAACCCGGGGGAGTGCCACCGCATCGCATCGCACCTTTGCAGGCGGGCACGGAGGCGACGAGCATGTTGATGCGCTCGACGAGCTCCAGGCGCACGTTGTAGTCGGGATCGCGCGGACACATGCGCTCGTACAGCCCGCGCAGCAGCGCCTCCAACCCCACCTCGTTCTCGCGCTCTGACGGATTCAATACCAAGGAAAAAAGAGGACGAAAAGGAGAAAGAAGAAGACGAAGAAAAAGCCCGTCCAGAATTAGGGTTCGCGGAGGGAGTTTTCATGAAAGGGTTTACGTCGGCGGTTCGCGGAACCATACTGTTAAGAGCAAGAACCGACTCGGAACCGAGTAAACCAAGGTGGGTAAGAGATTAAGAATGGTCTCAATAAGATCGTCTGTTGTGTTGCTAGGGTGTGTGGACGTAGGACGTACCATTGTCTGGCCCTCTCGCGGTGCTGTCGGCCATGAGCCCTTGCGTTACACTCGGCGCTGTGGAAGCAACGGCCGCGGCACTCCCGGCCATGGGTGACACTCCTTGATGGAGCACCGCGAACAGGGTTGGTTATTGTAACGGGTGGTAGAACGTTCAGCGCCGTGCGACGGAAAGTCGCGACGAATCCACTAGTAACTTCCGAGTACGCGACGGATAAACCACGTGTCGCCGAGATTGCTGCCCTGTGGGGTTAACTGCTGTGTTCTGCTTGTTTCCTCAAGAAGTAGCTTGAATGCGGCTCGCGATGCTGACTTCGACGCTACCTAATAGTGTCCATGGTATAATCACGGCATCCCGCTCGACGTAGAGACATATTGAAAGTGACTAGCGTATGGTATTATAGAGGGGTGTAGCTGGGAAAGACCAGGAATATTGAGTAAGGCGGCAACGGCCAAGGAATGTAGAGGCTTGGCACGCAGCTTACTAACTAACAATAGCCGGACAGCATCAACCAAAACATGTTTGGCGAACAGACCATAACAACCAAATCGGGCATCTCGACCTGTCTACGCCAAACTAACATAGATTCCATTGCAGCTTCCATTGCAGGAACACCATGTTCCTCACCTTGGCAACTAATATCATCCGCGCGCATTGAATCACGAGGCGGCAACCGACAACTCCAAGGGGTTGGGAGAGAAGGAAAGGGTCGGGAGTCGGGAGGGAGGGAGAGAGAGAGAGAGGGTTAAGGGACTGAAGATGACGTCAGCAAATAGGTGGGTGGGGCACGGAGGCAAAACGGCCTCCAAGCGGCAGGCGGAGATTTGTTCATGTTTGGCGGTGTCAGATTGAGAAGGTTCTATATTATGTGCTTGCCCTTCACCAGTGTCACTAGTCTCAACTGTTAGATTGTCTCGACACTTCTTATACACAAGCATTTTGGAAACGCTTTGTTGTGAGCACCTACAAAAAATTTGGCAAATGAAAACCCAAAAGCAGACAAAGAGCCAAATGATAAACTTCCCTGCTGCTGTTACATTTTCCGATTGCTACCACTTCTTCCCCTTACACATCCAAGAGCATGAAATGGGAATGCAAGGCAGCCACTTATAGGCAGCTGATGAAACAAAGACACAAACTAATCAGGATAAGCCATCACAGGCACCGCATTGCTCCTCTAATCACCCTTCCGGCGGAAAGAGCAGCCCTCAGTAAGCCGAGCCTTGCCACCAGTGGGCTGGCAAAGGACCGTGGAGCAGGAGCCACATAGGACAACGGTCTGAGAGTGACTGAACACCGTGGTGCTGCAAACAGCCAAGAGGAACATCCTCAAGAGAGTGGAATTAGAGACAAAATATTAATGAACACCATACAACGAAAAAGCCCTGGTTTTAGTGCAAAAACTTACATGTTAAAACAGCCCTGGCATTTGACATCCTGCATGGCATGCATAAAGAGTGGAACAGACCATCGGACAGATCAATCGTGAGTAAGCATGAGAAGTAGACATGGCAGACCGAATCCAGAATGAAACATGCGAGGGAAAAACGAGATCGGGGAGGAACGGGAAGGGAGGTTAAAAAACGTTGGGCTAACATTGGGAGGGAGGAAAATGATGGAATGGAACACTAAACAGGTGGGCCAGAGGGATGTAAGTACGATATGGAAGGCAACCCAGTCAATAACCTATCAACGAAATGATGATAACCTAACCTATTTCGCCATGCCTACAGAGCCGAACGACAAGGTTCCTCAATCTGAGGTAACACCCTTAGTTTCTACTAACACCCTCGACTCGATGAAAATAACGGGAAATAAGCGAATGACCGTGCCTACGAAATGGTGGGGAACGAACAAGGTCTCTTGGTGTGCAATTGAGACGCCAAAGATCCGACTTCAGAAAAGAGCAAACCAGAAGGACAGCTACAGTACACATCTGAGTCGCCCGTATGCGAGCTCACCATGAAGAAGCTGTTCGGTGTGGGTACAAGGCGCTTCATCTTGTGCTTGCGCTTCTCCAGCTCCGCTGGCGGGTGCAGCAGATCAATGTCGTTAGAGAGAACCTGAACGAGGTCAGAGGGATCAACAACTATGAGTATTCAGGATGGCGTAAACATGGCTCCCAGCTTCGCCAGAAACAGCTACAGCGCACAGTAGTAGAGGAAAGGCAAAAAGTGCAGATGTTTCTAAATAACGGCGTCTAAAAGGTCGATAGGCGATTTGGGAGAGCACTCGGACAACTAATCAACAACCCTAGAAAAACAGCCACCTTGTAACCTAACACGCATCCTGTACACGGAACTTCGCAACACGAGACACGACCGATTCGCGGATAGAACGATGAAACCGCAGTCTACTAGCCTAACAAAGGTCTCAAGCTTCGCACCATGATGGCAGATGGGCCGAGGGTTCTGATGAAGTGGGTAGGCGACTAAACCCCAACGCAGCCCGGAAGGTAGAGGCTCGAGTGGGGAGAAGAGAGAAGTGGAAGGAAAGAATTCCTGAGCCAAGGGAGGGGAAAAGAAGAAGGTGTCGTTCGATATAACGATCCTCGGGTTTCTAGCAGAGGTCGAAGATTGTGCGGGTAGTACACTGGTTGCGCGTGGTGATCTAAGAAGTATCTTGGAAAGGCTCGTTGGGATCGACGTGTTGGAGAATACCTGACAATAGCGAAAGAATTACGAGAGTTCCAACATCTACAGTGTTATTAGATCCGTTAGGGCTCATTGCAAGAAACAGATTTCACATCAACAAATCTGGCCCTACCAATGCCTACACGCGAAGCCCTGATTTACGACGGCCCAAAGTTTTCCCAACCTCCTGAAAATTCAATCCATTTCCAAGAGCCACGTGAGCATCGGCCTCAATTCTTCACCTGTCGACGTCACCGCCTCTCATAAGTGCCGAATGAGCGGACGACAGCGTGGCCTTAGGGTCACGCCTCTTCACACTTTTCACTTCACCCTCGAGCTTCGCCCCAAACCAACCTCTCCCTTCCTCCGCGCGCATTGTCCCCCTTCCCTTCCGCCACCTTCATCCGTCCCTCCACCCTCTGACCCACCAGCCTCCCCAACCCAACTTGCTGTTGGGACTCGTTTGCCCTAGACCTAGGAACTTTGCAAAAACTTGGAACATCTCCCTGACTCACGCGATCCGACGTCTCACCATGGCTGGCTCTATCGCGCAGCTCTCGCACTCCCTGGCCTCCGTGTCATTGGGCTCGGCCACATCCTGCTCCTTCGCAGGATTGAGGGCGAACAAGCCCGCTGCCTCAGTCTCCCTCGTTGCCTCCAGGGTAATCCATTGTTCTGGAGTACCCGCCGATAGCTAGGAGCGGTAGCGTGCCAAAAGGTTTCGCAACATTGCGGATCGTCGCAATGTGGGGAGCTAGAAAACACCAGGGCAGCATGACAGTGGAACGAGTGACCTACGTGTCGTTCATTCCGTTACGACCAGCCTATTACTTAGCTAGTCCGGCGTCTCCTTTTCCACACCTTAGCCATTCCTGAGTCTACTACAAGGCATTTTCATGGCGCCACCAAGGTTGCCGTGCTGTTTTGCACGTAGCTTAGTCGATTTCATCCTGCGGTTTTGGTCTCATGAGCTCCGACCTTTCTACCCCTTCTTTTTCTCTCCCTTCCCTTTCCCCTCCCCCCCCCCCTCTCTCTCTCTCTCTCTCTCTCTCTCTCTCTCTCTCTCTCTCTCTCTCTCTCTCTCTCTCTCTCTCTCTCACTCTCTCTACCGCACTTCCTCTCCCATTGCTGTCCCCACGATCCTCAACAGACGTCCCCAGTGGTGGCTGCTCCCTCGCGCCTGGCCGTGAGATGCGCGCGTGTGGCCGGAGTGGAAATCCCGAACTCGAAGCGCGTGGAGACGTCGCTGACGTACATCCACGGCGTGGGCAAGACGACGGCGCGGCAGGTGCTGCTGGACGTGGGGCTGGAGAACAAGCTCACGCGCGACCTCACGGAGGAGGAGCTCACGCGCCTCAGAGATGAAGTCTCCAAGTACATGACCGAGGGCGACCTGGTGAGCGCGCCTGCTTCGGCTGACTTGCCTGCGCTGTGTTCGACTCTGCTGAACTGGTGACGTTTGATTTCGAGCTGATTCAAAAGGCTCACGCGCCTCAGAGATGAAGTCTCCAAGTACATGACCGAGGGCGACCTGGTGAGCGCGCCTGCTTCGGCTGACCTGTCTTCTGTGCTGCTTTTGGCATAAGTCGATTCAAAAGGCGCACGCGCCTCCGAGATGAAGTCTCCAAGTACATGACCGAGGGCGACCTGGTGAGCGCGCCTGCCACAGGTGTCTGTTGATCTGAATGTCCAGAAGAGATTCATGGAATGTCTGCCGGATGTTAACTCGGGCGTGGTTATCTGCGTAGGTCAAGTTGCTTGTTGGAAGGGGAGAAAAGGGTGGGGTGGGGGGGGGGGGGACGGGGAGAAGGGGGAAGGGGGGGCGGGTGGGGGGAGGTGAGGGGGAGAAAGGGGGTGGGGAGAGATGGAACTTACATTTTAGGGTTTGTCATCATGTGCCGCAGCATGTTGGATTTGCGACGAAAACCACTCTCTACGTTGTCGCATCTTTTCTCAACCGAAATCAATGGCTGACTAAAGGTCTATTTACAACGTTGCTTCTCTTCCCCACATTCGCTCCCGTCCCGCTGTCCCACCCCTTTCATCTCTGTTTTACCTGTCCCCAGCTTCCGCTCATTCCTCGCGTCCCTTCTCCCTTCCCCCACTCCCCTCCCTCCCTGTTATGCGGTCTCCTCCACACCTTCGCCCTCCCCATCCCCCCCCATCCCTTCCCCCATCCTTCCCACTCCCTCCCCCCGCGCTCCCTTCCTTCGAATCTGTGTGTCTCATGGTTCTCTCCCCCCTGAGCAGAGGCGGTTCAACCTGATGGCGGTGAAGCGGCTGAAGGACATCATGTGCTACCGCGGCAGGAGGCACATGGAGCCGCCCTCTATTTGTCCTTTCAATCTGTGTTGTGCGTCGTGGTCCCCCCCCCCCCCCCCCCCTGCTCCACACCCGCAGAGGCGGTTCAACCTGATGGCGGTGAAGCGGCTGAAGGACATCATGTGCTACCGCGGCAGGAGGCACATTGAGGCGCCCCATATGTTCCCCCTTCCCCTCTCTCTGCCCTTCTAATCTGTGTTGTGTGTCGTGTTTCCCCCCCCCCCCCCCCCTTCCTGGCCCTCCCCCACTCCCAGAGGCGGTTCAACCTGATGGCGGTGAAGCGGCTGAAGGACATCATGTGCTACCGCGGCAGGAGGCACATCGCCAACCTTCCGTGCCGCGGCCAGCACACCAAGTGCAACGCCCGCACACGCCGCGGCAAGAAGGTCACGGTCGCTGGCAAGAAGAAGTAAGGGATGCAGTGCAGGGAGCGCTAGGGATGATGTACGGTAGGCCGGTGGTATTAGGGTTGAAGATGAGGCCCTGGAGACTGCTGGTTTCGTGACGTGACGTGAGTATCAGCAGGTCGTGGAGTTTGAAGGCAGGGGGAGCAGGTGGAGGCTTCACATGACACGCCTGTTACTGATATTGCTATATTTTCCTGTGCTGTGACATATTAGAAATCAATGCACAAACAAAGCCGACTTCAGCAAAGCACACTGAAAGAACCTGTTTACAATGTTTCCCACACGAGTGTATCACAATGCCATGTAAATTGTGACACGACTCTCCGAGGAGTGTGCAGTGCAGTCGTCATAGCATTACAAATATCGATTTTACAGCACACTCAGATGGGCAATAACAATTGGTTCAATCGTAAACTACGTACTAAGAATTACCTATAATAGAAGGGGGTTGGGAGGGAGGGAGCAAATCAAGATCTAGAAAATGCAAATGAGACTAGGTGGCAGGTCTGAGAGACCTGCCGGAATGTCAAGGAGTTTGTCTCCTTTACAGCAAACTCCTCTACAGGCCCTCAGATTCGTTTTAGGCCTGTCTGATTCATCAGACTAGTACACAATTTTACCGTAATCGCCCGGATATAAGACAGTGTTGAATAGTAGACAGGGGTTGTCTACTATACGGGTGTCTCTTATAAACAGGCTAGCCTCATTATAAGACACCTATTTGTGTGTACGAGATAAGACATATATGTCTTATAATCGAAACTTCAATATATTATAGCGAAAGTTGAAATACCGCGTATGCGAAGCGCGAATTCTTCCACGCGCTGACCCAGGACCCACCAGATTTGACTCTGCAGGTGTTCTCCATGACGTGGCGTCCCGGGCAGTGGTTGCCGAAGTGGCACCTTCGCAACATCCACACTCATTATGAGGAACTCTTTTTAAAAAAAGTACGGAAAATATTTCTAAGTAGTTTAAAAAGTTTCCATTTATAAGATTTATAAGACACCCTAAACCATCCCGTTTACAAGATAACTCAAGCATTTTTGCCCGTGTACGAGATAAGACATATATGTCTTATATCCGGGCGATGACGGTAGTCTGAAAATCTCAGACTTGGTATAAAAAAAAGGCTGAAATGTCAGAGTGTCATAAAACAAAAGTCTGATCATTCAAAATTGTTACGATATGAAGCTTTATGAGAAGGCATTCCTGTATGCTGCAGGAGCCGACTCTACCGAGTACGAAGTCGAGGAGTCAGAAGAGTCGAAGCGACACAGCAACCGTCTGACTAAGGCCGATGCAGGCAGGAGCATTTGAAGTGAAAAGAGCGGGAACAGGTTTGAAACTGATTCCCGCGCCGCACGGTTTAAATTTCGCTGCAATAAGGGAATGTACCCCTTAGAGTACATGGCTAGTCTAGGTCGTTTCGCATTCCTTTGTATTTCTATATAAACCCAATGTATGCATGCTATTATCAATCTCAGTCATTTACATTCACTCTGACCTGAGTTCACTACTTCCGCTGCGACACTACCTGCGATCAACCCTGAACGATCCTTTCGGACAAATCTCATTTCAGATTGTAACATGGTATGAGAGCTGCTCAGGGATTCTTCGCAACGTCAACTCCGTAAAATTCGCCAAACCAAAACTGGCGAGCGGCACACGTTCCAAGACCAAGATGGCCGGAGGATCCGGAGGTCAAACAAATCTAACGGCCGAAGGACAAACCAACCCGGCTGCGACAAATGAGGCGACAACTACGATTGGCACTGCCGCGCTCGAGCAGTTATTCGCTCGACTGTCAACAATGGAGAAAGAACTCCAAGATCTGCGCAAAGGCGATGCGGGAACCACTTCCCAACCAGTTCAACCTGGACAACCGGCTGCGAAAAGCCGCGATACCGCCGCGCACGGCTTCTCCCTCGACTCAGACAAATCTGCAACAACTGCCCCTCGTCCAAGCGACGAAACCATCAACTCTGCGCAAGCACGCTTTCTCAGTGTGTCAAAGATCAAGACTA